CGCTGAACTGCTTGCTGCTGCTGCTCGCTTTGTCCCAGGAGCCAGGTGCTTGTGTCTAATCGTAGTGGGGGCCCTGGCCCCCCTCTGTTTTCTGTTTTCTGTTTTTCAAAACGCCCGCCCGCCCGCCACCCCGAGGTGGCTCGGCCCCCCACTGACCCAGAGATCAAAAAACGTCGGCCCAGACGGCAGACGCGGGCGGGCACGTTAAAATCGTAATCCGTAAACATCTAAAAAGTAAAACACACAACACACACACACACACACCGCTCACCCACGCGCACTGGGCCTTGCACTTTCGTGAATGCCGTGGGGCTCCTGTCGTCAGACGTGGAGACGCGAGGGTTGCCCCCCCTTGCCCCACCACCTCGTGTGTGTGGAGAAGTTTACCTTACCTTACCTTACCTAGTAAAATTCCACCCCGCCAGCAAGGTCGGGTGGGCGCTAGACACGGAGCGAGGGAAGCAGTGGAGCGGGAGCCGCAGCACGAGTGACGGAGGAGCCAGGCCGGCGGCACCCCTCTGCGCTGTCGGCACCGGCGGCGCCGCTCGTACGAACTTCATTTTTTCGGGGACTCGACACTTGACTTGCGAAGACGGACGTCCCGGTCGGCGGTCGGCAGAATCGTCATCGCCGCGCCCCCAAGCGCGCTGCAGCGATGCGAAGGAGCGTCTTCAACGAGGGGCCCGAGGACGCTCTGGTGCCGGACAACGCCCCGCCAGAGATACGTAAGGCCACTGCCTGCTTCACCCGCCAAGCCAATACCACCGCCTGGCCGGTGCTGGGCAACGCTGCATGTGTCGCAAGCATCATCGAGTGCTCCCGGTGCGGCCACCGCATGCATGTCAAGTGCGGCGAGATCTGGTTCCAGCAGAGGCGAACGTGCCCGTACTGCAGCGTGGCGGACGACGGTGGCAACGTGCTTGAGATCAAGGCGAACGGGCCTGTTACGCTGCGGTACTGCCAGCCGGGCAAGCCCAGCCAAGGCACGCCCTCGCGGCTGACCTCCACTGGTCCACCGCCCACTGGTCCCCGAGCCCACGTCGGCCGTGCACACGCATAGGTGTTGGTAAGGGCAAGCTCGCGGCGCCGGAATGCGATCGCTCTCACTTCATCGTTGGCGCCTGAACAGTATCGGAGCTTGCACGCTACCACCACTTGATACGCTCGCCCCCTCAGAGGTCGCCTTCCTTCCGCGAGCGCGACCCTGCACGCGTGTACTCTGAATCCCCCCCAACATGCCCCCTAACACACCCCCTCTCCTGTCTTGAGCCGCCTCGTCTACTCTGCTGAGCATGTTATCCCTCTCGCCTCGTGTGTCGTGGTTGTAAAGAAAAAAGAAAGAAAAGAAACCCACGGGAGGGAGGACGGCACGCCGAAAAAGAAAGAAAGAAAACGGACATGCCAAGGGAGGGATGGGAGGACGGCACGCCGCCACCACACAGGGATTTTAAGGAGAGGCACGCCGACTCGTGTGATCGGATTTCTTCAGTCGGGCCGCTGGCGCCGGGTGGGCGTCTGTTCGAGTGAGTTACGAACCACCGTGACGCTACCGCGATGTCCTTCCACTGCATAGTGCCCGGTCACCCTCCGGTCAGTGCGAACGCCTTCAAGCAGGTCGCGTCCAATCGCTGGATCGTCACGCTCGAGTGTCAGGAGGCAATCAACGAGGTGCGCTGTGATCACCCTGCACACTGTGCGCCCGTGCCACCGACGGCACGCCGCCGACGCGCGAGCAGGTCGTCGCTTTCGTCACTGAGCCCCTGGAGCCGAGCACTGCGCTCGGCTGCCACATCGCGTCGCCGCCTTTTGAGGAGTCGTCCTGGCACTACCTCGGGGCAATCACCGCGCAGGCGCCGTCGGTAGTGTTCAAGACGCGCCTGGTGTGGACGGCGCGCGACGCGCTGCCAACGTGCGTCCAGTTCGGGATCGAGCTGCAGCCCACCGCCCAGCTCGCTGCCCGGCCCGCAGAGATGGTCTCTGTTGAGGTGCTCGAGGCGGGCCGGCGCATAGGGAAGGACCTGTATGAGTACGTCGCCTCCTTTGCGGCTCCGGGAGGCGGGGTGCCGCCGCCCGGGTACATCGTCCTCCGCGGGGACGTCTTTGAGCGATGGCTAGCGCGCTTCAACGACAAGTGCGCGCGCTCTGGGCTCGACTGGCTGTACAACTCTGGCTGATGGCGTCGAGACGATACACGATAGAGCAGAAGCAGAGGAGGGAGAGGGTACGCTTAGGAAGCCGTCGCTTTAGCTCTTAGTGCTCCGGTCGTACTCAGGTAACACTCGCGTGTAGACGCGCACACTTTCTCCCGCCCGATCGAGCAAGATGTACACAATATGGTCAATGCACATATGCCGCTGCGGGTTTTTTACTCTTTTTGTGCATTTGTCGATTTTGTGGCCCCTCGCCGACGCGAGGCGTCAGGCGCATGTCGCGCACATGTTTACCGTGTGGTCGGTTCGTTACGCGGTTATTTACGTCATCTTCATGGAGCTAGCCAGAAAATAAACAATATGCCTCTGTGCGCGCTCTGTGCGGCCGGGCGGAGGGAACAAGACACGCTACCTACATGGTCCGTGTGTGTGAGTGGAGGCCCCCAGGGGAGTTGGGAGCTCAGAACAGCTTGCTGCCGGTGGCGAGCTCCTGCCCGACCATTCCGGCGATGGCAATCATCGCGAGCCGCCCGTTGTTGAGCTCCTTGGTCTGCATCTCGGCGAGGGCAGCGGCGTTGGACGGCTTGAGGCCGAGCGGGTCGAACCCGAGGTCGCCCGGGACGTGGTCCTTGCGGATGCCCCAGAGCTTGGTGCCCGGGTTCTCAAACGTGAAGACCGAGAAAACCTCGGCGACCGCGATGACGCCGACAACCACCGGCCAGAAGGTCTGGAGCGGCGTCTGCTGGAAGGCGACGTACGAGGGGGCGTCATCTGACGCGAACAGCGGATGGAACTGCTCGGCCACGGGGAAGCCCAGCGCGGCGAGCATCGCGACGCGCGCGTGCTTGATCTCGACCTGACGAGACAAAGTTGAGGTGGGAGGCGGGAGGCTCGGGTGCTGGTGGCAGGGTGGCAGCTCGGGAGATTTGGCGGAGGAAACGGACCTCACGGAGGAAGCGGATCGTCTCCTCGTCGCGCTCGGCGCAGAAGTTGAGGGGGTCGAAGTAGCCGAGCGGAGCAGTCGCACCGGGAAGGGCAGCCGCGAACGTGGCGCCATTGAAGGTGGTGGGCGCAACGGAGTTAGAGGCGGTGTCCATCATGTCGGTGAGGTTGTCGACGTTCCAGCCCTCCTCGGGCTCCATCTCGTTGGCGAGGCGAATAGAGGCGGCGGCAGGGGCCGCCGTCGGGCGAATGACGCGCGCGGGCGCGGCGAAGGCGTTGGAGGTCGACGACACGAAGGAGAGCATGGTTGCGTGGTTGATCTGCTGGAAAATTCCGGGAAAACGGAAGAAGGAGGGAAGTGGACCAAAGGTTCTTTTAAAAAATGAGAGAAAGTTCCAAGACCAGTCAGGAGCAGGAGAGCCCCACCTGTGCCCCTGATCGTCCTTCCAAAATCCTGCTCGTGCAGGTGGGGAGGATGACCCTGACACTGACACCCTGTCCTCCTCCCCTATGCCCTATCCCTCGTTTGGCTTGTCTGTTTTCTTTCTTTCTTTCTGCTCCAAGACCAAATGGTGCGTAATGGACACACAGCGCATGGCCATCGCACACAGCGCTATAGACTCTGCTCCGCCAACTGACTCCGTGCCGCATCGCTCATGCGGACTCTCGCGGTCACTCCCTGTACCTTGACGGCCCTACCATCACAGCTGACGCGGCCAGCCCTCACGCGACCGGTGCGGGCATGGCGCGCAGCCTCGCGGCGCGCTCGCGGTCGTCGCGCGCGCTCGGCGCGTCGCGCAGCATCTCGTGCACGTCCGCCCGCTGCTCGAGCAGCAGCGTCAGCAGATGCGCCGCCCGGCCCTTGAGACTCGACGCCTCCTGCAGCGCCTCGGTGAGGAGCGCCAAGGCCTCACCACCCTTATTGGAGCGCAGCGCCCGCATCGCGTACATGCGCCGCAGCCACGCTCGCTGCGCCGCCTCTGGCACGGTCACGCCCACATGGTCCAGGAGCGCAGCGCACGATGACGGCTTGTAGACGTCGTGGAAGACGTCCGACGGGCCGCCGTCGGTGGTGACCACGTTGGGGCCGGACCCGCAGCCGCCCAGGCAGCCGCACGCCTGGACGCGGCTTGCCGCGAAGGCCTCCTGCAGCGTCGCGAGCGCCACTCCGCCGTTCTGGTTGGAGTTGGCCTGATCGGAGGCGGCAGCCAGCGCAAAGAGGGAATCGAGTGTGTCCGCCGAGCCCGCCTTGCGGCAGACGCTATTCTTGCAGATTCTGAGGCCGATGGGATGTATGGAGAGAACCGCGGCAGCGAGCAGGGTGGCAGCTATCATTTTTCGATGAGATGAGTGGTGAGAGGCAGGTGATGTGAGATGGCCGAAGCTTTCTTTTATCAGAAACTGCTCATGGACCATGCATAAGAAAGGGATCCGCCTGTGTTACTACACTCTGTGCGAGTCGGCGTACGTGTAGTCATCCACATACGGCGGGGGGTGCGAGGGCGAAGGCCGCATCTCACTGCTGCCGCGCCGGAGGAAGTTGAAGTTCAAGTTGAGCCGGTTGATCATGTTGTTGTAGTTGCGCTCGACGTCAGCCTGCGCCATGCGTAGGGGCGGGGGGGGAGGGGTCGGCTGGGGGGGGGAGGAGGCAACGCGCAGCTTCCACAGCTTCCGCAGCTTCCGCGCGCGCACCGCAAACTCGTCGGATATCACCCCGTCGTCGCCTTGCGCCAGCATCGCCAAAATATCGCTCTCCACCTGGGGCGCGTGCCTGCGTTACCGCCCGCGCCATAGTGGGGTGGGCCGGGGGCACTCTGGAGCCCGCCTGATTCGCGTACTCCGGGTCCTTTGCCCAGGCGAGGCGATGGCTCTCGCCGCCCAACGGGTCGAGGAAGGGATTGACCATCCCTTCCGGCAGCTGCCCCGGGTTGACGACGCGGGTGGACGAGCCGATCAGCTCGCCTTTAGCAGCAACGCGGATCCATCCTAGTGTGGTGCTGAGCCGAAGCGCGTGAGGGCGCGTCAGGCCCACCGGAGCACATGTGCGACATCGCATTCGCGTGGATGGCCCGCAGGATCTTTTCAACCTCAAAGTCGATGGCATCGTGCCCAAAGGGGTTGGAGAGCTGCGAGAAGGGGGGGGAGGAGGGCGAGGACGGATGAGAGGAGAGGCCGAATGCTGCCGCACAGCAGGTTCGAGGCAGCGAGCGGGCCTGTACGGCGATGCCGCGCATGCCAAGCAGCACGACCTTTGGGCCAGGGCACGGCTCTCGGGCACACGGCCCTCGCCGTCGGGGAAAGAGGGCCATAGGCGAGGGCGAGCGATTGGGCAAGGAGCGGGTCGCCGCGCCGTAAAGAAGGCGAGGATCGGTATGGATAGGAAGACCTTCAGGTCGGGGAACGACGCGAGAGAGTACGAGATGACGAGCAGCTGCACCTGCGTGCGGGGTGCGCGGGCGGCAGCGCCTGCGATAAGCGGTGCGCCCGGGCGGTCGTGGCGGCCGGGTGGTCGGGCGGATGCACAATCATCAGGATGTTGAGCAAGTGAAAGTATCCTATTGCGTCCAGCCCAGGTGACTGGTGGCGTAGCTGCGGGAGGGCGAGGAGCCGCGCAGTGAAGCGAGGCCGACGGGGACCGGCTGCTTGACCATGTTGATGATCTGGCTCGCGTGGTTGCGAAACGCCCAGGTCACGCCAGTGAAGCGATGTGTGATGAGCTCGCGCGAAATGTCGGGGTACGAGTCGCCTTCCCGCGCGAGCAACGCTCTGACGTGCTCCAGCGCCCAGCAGAGAGGGATGAACTGCTTCATCCCCTTGTACGCCTTGATCGTGGCAACCTCGTCCTGGCTCATGGTATCGCGCATCCTGCGAGAGAGCCGGGGCGCCCGTGAAGCAGTGCGCCGGCAGCTGCGGCGGGGTGGCGCCACCGGGGAAGGCGCACTGCATCATCTTCCATTCGTTCTCCTGGATGCCCTGGTCATACACCGCATAGAAGGAGAGGTGCGCCGATGCGAGGAAGAAGCGGAGCGCGTTCCAGCGGAACGTCGACCTGACAAGGCGCGGTGCGAGCTGTATCGGGCGCCCGGCCATTGCTCCTCTGCCTTGCGCGTGTGCGAGCCTGTATGGCTCCTCGACCGCCTCGGAGTAGACCTTGCAGAGCGAGACCCACTCCATGGTCCGGCCACCGATGCCGAGCACATGGCCGTAAAAGGTGTAAAAGCGGTTGTACATGGCGTTGCCGTAAAAAATGACGAAAAAGAAGAGCAGCGAGGAGCACAGCGTCCCAATCTTCCAGTCGAGCACCGGAAGAGGGTGAGGGGACATGCCGGTCTCTATCCGGCCGTCGAGCAGCAGAAAGATGATGTGGGAGGACATCGTGAGCCAAAAGATGGGGCCAAAGAACGCGCCGACGAGGACGGTCCCCCGCCACATGCAGAGGAGCCGTGGCAGCCCGCACCATCCAGTGAGGTCGCCGGCATCGTATTCGATCGTCATAGCTGGGGCAGGCGCTCCATGGGCGCAACCATCCCCGGCAATCACGACTTTACTTTTGCCATTGAGGCAAAAGTGCGCATTCAATTGCCCCATTCTTGACGCGAGCAGGCGCAGTGGGGAGGCTCTGCAGCGCATGGCCTTTTACACCCCCCACAGCAAATCGGTTTTTGCCCTTAACTAGTGCCGTTTTCGTTGGACCAATTTTCGCTTAACCGTTGGTCGGTTTGAGCACTATTTCAGCCAACGCCCACAGCAAATCGGTGAAAACCTGCTCTGCGAGAGCGAGTTTTGTGGCTTAATCCGGCTTCCGTCGGCCGTCCCGTGACTCATCGCGCCGCCGCGTTGCACATTGGACACATGCTCTAGGTCTAGCGCCTCGCCGAGGCGCACAATAGTCCCCAGTCTGGCAACGGCCAGTTCTGTCATCCTGGTGCTCAAGGAAACGGAAAGCGGCGAAAGCCGACGGTTGGTAGGAATGGGGCTCTGGCCAGATTTGGGCTTGGAGTGGCTGCGTCGAGTTTTGGATCTCGACGCGTCGATAATAGTGCGAGTTTTTTTGGCCCATTTTGCGCTTGGCATCGCTGGGAAATCGCACTATTTAAGGGCAAAAACCGATTTGCTGTGGGGGGCGTTATAGTTGTGAAAGTGGTGCTTGCTGTTGCCCTCGCCGTGTAAGTGTCCCACTTATCGAATTTGTGCAGGCGAGAGTACTCGTCCGAATTCCGGCGTTTTTCATAATTCTCACCCTACTATACTACAAGTACTCTCATAGCTCGTTCGACTAATTACTCGTATGCAGTACACTCGCTATCCCCGGACCCACAGCGGAGCTGCGGGACCAGTGCCCCATCACATGACCCTAGTAGAGTCATAGGGAGGAGGAGACAATCGAGCCACAATCGCCGCTCGGGAGCGATTCTAAGATCAGGCCTGCCACTGGGCGAAAATCGGCCGTCCCTCAGTGCTTCCAGCCTGCCCGCTTCAGTTTCCTCAATTGGCTCGAATTTTGCTTGTAGAAAAAAGAATAGCGCCGATCGCGGGCCGCCGGAGCGGGCATTTCGAAGTGGTCAGCGGGCATTTCGAAGTGGTGCGGCGGCAGGCTGCCACCGCTGCCCGGGCGCCCCGAGCGGCGGCGGAGGGCCGCCCAGGCCACCACCAGTGCCCCTCCCACCGGCAGCGCGGCGGCAGCGGCGCCGACCGCCCCTCCATCAGCGGTGGCGCGACGGCTGTCGTCGGGGCGCCGGCAGGTGCCGCGCGCAGAGGGTGCCACCGGACCGGCCGACGCGCGCCCGGCGGAGCCTTCGTCGTGCATGGCGGGCCGAGCACCCCCGCGTCGCTTCTCGGCGCATTGGAGAGCAGAGGAAGCTGCTGGCGTCGCCGCTGGGATCGGCGGCGGCGCCAGCAGCGTTCTCGGATCTGAAGCCGACTTTGAGCGCCGATCGATCGATCTGAGGGCTGGCCGATGGGTGGCGCTGGGACATCGCCGCCGCCGCGGAGGCCGGCGGCGACCAGAGGAGCGGTTGGGGCGCGTGGCGCATATGTTACCTGCCAAAAGTGAGCATTCAAGTGTGCTTCGAGATTTATTCGAGATTTGTAACTTAGATTTTCGTTTCCAGCGGGGAGGTGGCAGACCTGATCTTAGAATCGCTCTCGGCGCGACAATTCATGGACCGACTGAGGCTCGAGCTGCTTCTCGGGCACAGGGGGACCGAAACTAGTCAAGCCCGCGCCGGCCAAGACAACGACGACAGCGACGAGGGCGCAAGGAGCGACGACGAGGAGACACCCGACCACGCAGCAGAGCCAGGACCGAGCGAGCAACCACCCGAAACGGGCCATCCGAACGATGGCAGCCAGGCAGACGACGAATTTACAGTCATGGAGGCGTAGACGAAGAACAGCCAGAGCACGAGGCATCCCAGCCGCCGAGGAAGCGGGGACGATTTGAGAACGAACGGAGCGATTCGATGAGTCAGGGAGAGGGGGCGAGCCAGCAGCATGACGAGGGCGAGGAGCAGATGACGAAAGCGCAGAGGAAGCGGGAGCGCCAACGAAAGGAGGGCCCGCCACGGAAGCCTAGAGATAATTTCAGACGGAGACGCGCTGACCAACCGTACTAAGCCGACAGAGGAAGGGGGCTCCGAAAGGCCGCGCATGCCCCCGCATGCCGGGCGAATAGGCAGGTCACAGACCTCCCCCTTCCCGATGAACGTGGTTCATGGTGGGTGTTCTGTTCATAACGCTACTTACTTGTAACCACGATCGATGCGAGGACGCAAGTCCACCAAACTCGGCCATTCCAACGGCCAGACCGCTCGCTTAAGGCTGATTGGCTAGACGAGCGGTCTACCTCCGACAGGGCGGTCCGACAGCGCGTGGATCCGGCCCGCCCCGGCGGGTTACGGTTTATTTAGCGCGCCGACAGACCGCCCTCTCCATCACCCTCGCCCAGGGATCTACAATGCTGTCTTAAGGTCCGACAGGTTCGGCACCGGGCACCGCCTCGGTATACAAAATGCGCCTGCGGGCGGACCCTTACAGATCACAGATCACAGATCATAGATCTAGGGAGGGTCACCCTGCTCCCTCATGCAAGCTGGGAGAGTCAAATGGGCATCCGCTCGTTGGACACACCGCAATCGTCCTTGCTGGCGTGATCGACCTGCACCTCCGAACTCGACAGTCGCACGTTGTGACGGGGGGTGATGTGGTCGGTACGGACAGAGACATTGGGCCCGAGATGGGGCACAGGCCATCCCATAGTGCAGCTCGAGGATGGCTGGCCGCGCTGGCAGCGCTGCGCTAAAGGAATGGTTGGCTTGCAATCCTGCCGCCCAAATGTGCCATCGAGCGTCGGAGGCTGCAACCAGACTGCGACTATCGGTGGTATGGGCCCGCAGCGTGGCCTCGACCGCTTTGGGTACTGGAGGCAGAGCGACTGCATCGGGTCACCCTTGCCGTTCCTGGATGACAACACACTCGTGCCCGTCGTCCACATCGCGCAGCGCGCCTTCTACCCGCGTCCGAAGCTGCGCGAAGGGGGGCTCAAGGGCTGCTGGTTCTTTGTCGCTCCGGGCAGTGACACGTACATTTCTATCGGTCGGAGTCTTCGCGCGGGTACGCGCGTGAGGGCGGTGCAGCTGCTCGGATTGAACATGACATTGCCACCTCACTATCCGTTTGCGCTGGACTACCAGCCTGTGTGCGAAGCTACGCAGAAGCTCGGTTTCGACACGATTCAGTACCACAACCAGACGCGGGTGCGGAGGTTCACGGATGCCATCCCTGAAATCGTCGTGTGTCGACGCGAGTGCACCGACTCGAAGCCCTCCTTTGATGACGCATGCGCTGGAAACATCACGGTGTATCGAGGAGATGGCAGCCGGTGCTCTTGCGACAACAAGCAGCGAATCCTGAATTGCGCGGGCACGCCAGCGGGCGAGACTGAAACGAATGGCGAGAACGGCCACGCCTCGCTCCATCCATAGCCGTCAAAGCAGGCGGCATCGATTTCGCGCGAACGCAGCGTTGCCAGGTGACTCTCCCAGCGATTATGCTCGAGGCGGAAGGCAATGTCATCGAGAGGCCGCGGCCGCTCCCGCGGCTGCAGCCGCACCGGCTGCCTAGCCCGCTAGCCGGCTGGCGGCCGCAGGCCGCCCATGAATGCGACGACGGCCGCAATTGCCGCCCTCCTCGCCCAGCGCATTGCTTAGTGGTGCGCTCGCCTCCCTCCTGCGCGACGCTCATTCGAACGCGTTCTTGTCTGTCTCGGCGCGCGCGCAGCGCGCGAAAGAGGTGAGGTGTGAAGAGGGGGGTCGTGTCCGGTGTGAAGGGTAACCCACGGAAGGTATCAACTAGGGGCCCAATGCGGATTCAAGAGGGTATCAGAGTATAGCCTTAGGGTATGATTCGATGATACCATACCAAGCTGAAGTACCGAATCCAGCAGCCCAAACTATGTGCCTTCCCGCCTCCAGCACAGCAGACGCTACGCCGCCGCCGCCGCCGCCACCTCTGCCGCCGCCGCTGCTCGCAGCCCTCGCCGCCGGCTGGGGTGCCGGCTCAAGCTTGCGGCCAGCCCAAGAAGCGGCAATCCGCGCGGTGCTCGAGCGGCGAGACTCACTCATCGTGCAGAGCACAGGCTTCGGCAAGTCGCTCTGCTTCCAGCTCCCTGCCGCGGCGTCGCCGGGTGTCACCGTCGCCATCACTCCTCTCGTCGCCCTGGCTGCTGACCAGCTCCGCGAGTGCGGTGAGCGAGGCATCTCTGCGGCGTCGTGGTCGGCGTCGCTCGACGCGGCGGCCCGAGACGCTCTGGCGGCGGACCTGGAGGAGGAGGCGCCCGACACCAAGCTGCTCTACCTGACGCCCGAAGGGCTGCAGACGCCGCGCGTCAAGGAGATGCTGCGCAGCCTCCACGGGCGGGGCCTGCTCGCTGCATTCGCGGTCGACGAGGCGCACTGCGTCAGCCAGTGGGGGCACGACTTCCGACCGAGCTACCTCGAGATTGGCGCCATCCGCAGCCAGCTGCCCGGCGTCCCCTTCCAAGCGCTGACGGCGACGGCGACAGACAAGGTCCGCGCGGACGTGTGCCGCTCGCTCCGCCTGGCGGACGAGGTGCGGGTCATCGGCTCGGTGGACCGGCGCAACCTCTTCTGGAGCGTCGCGAGCGGCTTCGTGAGCGACGAGGACGAGCTGGAGGACCTCTACGAGTGGCTGTGCGACCACGAGGGCAGCGGGATCATCTACTGCGCGTCGCGCAAGGGGTGCGAGACCCTCGCGACGACCCTCTCGGAGGCAGGGGTAGACGCCTCCGCCTACCACGCCGGCCTCCCGCGCGAGGCGCGCCACCCTCCCCTACCCCACGGTACCCGAACCCACCCTCCCCTGCCGCCTACCACGCCGGCCTCCCGCGCGAGGCGCGCGAGCGGCTGCAGCTCGACTTCCTCGACGGGACTGCGCGCGTGCTCGTCGCGACCATCGCCTTTGGCCTCGGCGTCAACAAGCCGGACGTGCGCTGGGTCCTGCACTGGGACCTGCCAAAGAGCCTCGCCGCGCTGGTGCAGGAGGCGGGCCGCGGAGGCAGGGACGGCGCGCCGGCCGTCTCTCGCGTGTACGTCAACGAGCGGCGCGGCTCCGCCGACGAGCGGCGCGGCGGAGGCACCAGCGGAGGAGTGAGGCGCTACTGCGACACTCGCTCGTGCCGGCGCGACACGCTACTCGCCCACTTTGGGGAGGTGGCGTCGGCTGAGGGCGCGCGGGCCGCGCCCGAGAGCTGCTGCGACCGTTGCGCCGAGCGAGCGCTGCAGCCCTGTCCGCCGCCGCTGCCGCCAGTGCCCGTCGCCGCCGCCGGGCCGAGCGCGCTCCACGCGCCCCGCCGGCCGCCGCCGCCGCTCGGCGCGCGGCCGAACCGCCGCCCCCCGCTTGCGTCTCGCAATCCCATCGTCGCTCCGGGCGCCGCGCCTCCGTCGGCTCCCTCGGCGGCGGCGCGCCCCTTCAAGGTGCCTCGACGCGCCCCTCCGGCCGAGTGAAGGTCGGGGGGCGGCTCTCGAAGGACGGGTGCGCAGGCATCGTCCCGCCGTGCGCAAGCGCAGGCATCTTCCCGTTACAGTTGGCAGAGGTCGGACTTCATGGGCTCGAGTGCGAACGTGCGAGGGTGACGCGGGGTTGACACAGTCTTGTGCTACTTGGGTGCGGGTCGATTTTTCGGAGAAAGAGAAGAAAGAAAAGAAAGAAAACAGACAAGCCAAGGGAGGGATGGAGCCACCACGCGCACCAGCCAGGCCCAGGGAGAGGACGGCACGCGTCACGCGATTTCGAAATTTTGTTCTCGTCGGTTTCGGGAAAAAATGCTGTGATAGTGCTAGCACGCGCCAGTCCGCACCTGTGTCGAGCCTGTAGTCTGCTGTCCCGGAGACTTCTTTTGGAGTTTTGGTTAAAATATTTTTAGTGCACTTGCCGAGCTTCGTGCCAGTGCGGGGCTGCGCGCCAGTCCCGCGCCTGCCCAAAAAAACCAGGAAGTGCCTGTCGCGTGAATCGTGTTTGTGCCACGGGTTTTTGTAAAACGTGTGTATCGCGCGCCTTGCGGGGGGGGCGCGGAAAAGAGGAACCTCTTAGCGCCATCGCCACGGTGCTGCATGCAGCGCCGGGCGACGACGGCTTACCGCCTCCCGGTCCCCCTCGGCACACCTCCGCTGCTCAATGTTTGACGGCTCGAACCCGTGAAGCTTCCCCGTGCGCGGGTTACCCCGCACACGGGTCAGCCTGCCAGCCACGTATCCACGCAAGCGTGGTCCGCGTGCATGGCATACAGGCGTCCGCCAGACAGCGCAGAGGCTAGGCGCTCGTAAAATTCTCCTCGCGGCCCCACTCACTGGTGACACTCACACTCGCTCACCGCTCACTCACCGCTCACTGCTCACGGCAACGCAATGTCCGCCGCTGGCATGGGAGGCGTCATGGAAGGCCTCATTGAGAACAGCGAGAGACCCACCCTTCCAGACCCCGCCTTGATGCAGCTCGTCGCTGCGTCAGCCTCCCTTCGGCACCTGACTGGCCCGCTGGCGACAGTCACGTGGGAGGAGCTCGCTGCCGACTGCGCGCCGCCGTCCGGAGAGGTTCGGCTGGTGCGCACCGTCCTCCTGCGCCGGCTCGCTGCTCTCGGCGTGTCGCTGTCTGACCGACAAGCGTTTGCGTCCACATTCTGCGCGCTGCCTTGTCGGCCTGGAGGAGGGCCAGCGAGACCCACCACGGCTGACTGTGCTGCTGCCGCCTCCGCCGACGCCTCCGCCACCGCAGCACCGCCGGACAGCAAGCTGCCGGGCGAGGTTTCCGACGCTCTCTCCTGGAACTTTCAGCAACCCCTGCCTGCCGCCGCCACAGCTCCGCTCGAGGAGCAGCCTTACCCGCCGCCGCGCGGACAGCTCTCGGCGCCACCGCCGGCCCCGCCGTCACAAGACCGTGTCACGGCGGAGGCTGCCCGAGCCCTCTCTGGCTCGCTGAGCAGCCTGTTCGCGATGCTTGAGGAGCGCGACGAGGAGTTGAGGAGGCTGCGCGGGCAGCTCGAGCTGAGCCAGCGGCGGGGCCGCAAGCTGCAAGCGCTGCTCAACGAGGCGTACGATAAGGAGGCGGCGTCCATCATCGATGCCGCCCTCAAGGGCACGCAGCAGATTCTGACAGCACAGGCGGCTGCCGGCTGCGGCAACGATCGGCCGCTTGATGCGTTGGACATGCCATAGGTAGAGCCGTAGTTGTTGGGGAGCCCCACTGTTGTTCTGTTGTTACTGTTAACACTAGCAACACTGTTAAGCTCCCGTTTGGCAGGAGGCTACCCCGCGGCGCGCCGCGCTCGGGGGGCTCTGGGGGGCCTCCTTTCTCCCCAGCCCGCTGTCTCCGCCCGCAGCGAGGGGACCGAGCCCGGTAGCCCGCTAGTCGTCTGCTGTCTGGCCGGTTTTTTTGCGGTATCTTGATGTATCTCTCCATATCTGACCGATCCCGGTAGTGGCCACCGGAAACGGACTATACGCGGCACCCGCGCTCGTAAGAGGTGGCTGGCGCCCTGAGGCGGCATTTGGTGGCGTGGGGAGTGCGGAACGCTACTGGCGGCGTGACAGGGGGCCTCTCTCGGCTGAGTGTGCCGCCCATCGGCACGCGGGTGCGCAGACGACATCGCGACTCTGCCCGCTCGCTCGACCCTTTTGCCGCTAGAGGGCGCCGGCCGCGTGTAAGAGGTGGCTGGCGCCCTGAGGCGGCATTTGGTGGCGTGGGGAGTGCGGAACGCTACTGGCGGCGTGACAGGGCCTCTCTCAGCGGAGTGTGCCGCCCATCGGCACGCGGGTGCGCAGACATCGCGCGACTCTGCCCGCTCGCTCGACCCTTTTGCCGCTAGAGGGCGCCGGCCGCGTGTAAGAGGTGGCTGGCGCCCTGAGGCGGCATTTGGTGGCGTGGGGAGTGCGGAACGCTACTGGCGGCGTGACAGGGCCTCTCTCAGCGGAGTGTGCCGCCCATCGGCACGCGGGTGCGCAGACATCGCGCGACTCTGCCCGCTCGCTCGACCCTTTTGCCGCTAGAGGGCGCCGGCCGCGTGTAAGAGGTGGCTGGCGCCCTGAGGCGGCATTTGGTGGCGTGGGGAGTGCGGAACGCTACCGGCGGCGTGACAGGGCCTCTCTCGGTTGCGTGTGCCGCCCATCGGCACGCGGGTGCGCGGGTGCGCAGACATCGCGACTCTCCCGCTCGCTTGACCCTTTTGCCGCGAGAGGGCGCCGGCCGGGTGTAAGAGGTGGCTGGCACCCTGAGGCGGCATTTGGTGGGGTCGGCGTGCGGGGCTGAGTCTTACTCGTCGGCGCTGGGGCCAGATTCCAGCGCAGAACTCTGCAACGCTGGCATATAGACCCAACAAGACTAACCCTAACCCTAACTAACCCTAACCCTAGCCCTAGCCCTAACACCCTAACCCTAACACCCTAACCCTAACCCTAGGTCAGCGTACGGGGCTGAGTCTTACTCGTCGGCGCTGGGGCCAGACCCCAGCGCAGAACCCTGCAACGCTGGCATATACAGACACAACAAGACTAATTTTAACCCTAACCCTAACCCTAACCCTAACCCTAACCCTAACCCTAACCCGAACCCGAACCCGAACCCGAACCCGAACCCGAACCCGAACCCGAACCCGACCGGACCTGTGGACCGGACCCCTAACTCCACACCGCAAATTTGAAAGATCTTGATGAAAATCAGGGGCCCGACCGCAAATTTCTCCAAAATTTTCGCAGGCGCTCCGCGCCTGCAGATTTTGATTTTGAAAGAAATTAAGTAAAATTGCCTATTAAATTGGGGGCTGGGCCAAGCGCTCTCTGCGCGCTCTCTAGAGTACCCCTGCCGCGCCTCGCCGCCGCCTCGGCCTGCGAGTGCGACGCGCGGACGGTGTAAACTGTATTATCACTTATCAGTCACCTTTGCCACCGTCGCGCAACCATACGCTTTAACCCTTTATCCCCCTCATCCGCCCCCGCGGATCCGGAATTGCGACACGCCGACGGGTGGCATAAGGTGACTGATAGTGGTACACACCGTCGCAGCCTCTGGCTCACAACTCGATCAATACAGAATAGCAAAACACACACACCACAAACCTGAACGGGCACACACCAGCGTCTGCCCCACGGACGACGGAGATACCGCGCCGGCAACCACGCGCCACACACACACACACACACACACACACACACACACACACACACACACACACACACACACACACACACACACACACACACACACACTTACACATGCCAGAACATCTCACGAAAACGTCCGTCAGGGGCCACGCCGGCTTCTGGGCCGCGGCTCAGTAGCGGATGCCGAGGCAGCACCACTGGTAGCAGTCGTACCTACAGCAAAAAGGCCTCCCGGGATCACACCCGCTGCAGTGGCGAGCACGCACCCGCACGCGCAGAGACGCACGTGCGCGTGCGCCAGTGGTCGAGGGACTCGGAGACGAGGCTCGCGGCGAACCGCGCCGCCTGCACCTCCGAGTCGTGCGGCCGGAAGCGCTGACGCATCGCGTCGATCGACGCCTCCCCGGCGCGGAAGCAAGGCAGCGAGCCGCCGGTGGCGTGGTAGGCGGCGGCGACGGAGAGGAGGAGCTCCTCGCGGTGGCGGCGCGCCTCGAGGTAGCCGCGCACGACGAGCAGCCGAAAGTAGGCGAACCACGGCGACGACGCGCCGCCCATCACCTCGACCCACTCGCGCGTGAGCTTGAAGGGCGCAGACTCGAAGCCGATGTTTTTGCCGGGCGAGTTGGAGAGGAGGAAGCCAAAGTCGATGTGGACGACGGAGCCGTCGGCGCGCAGCAGGATGTTGCCGTTGTGCCGGTCCTTGATCTGGAGGAGGTAGCACGCGACAGAGTACGCGGCGCTGGACTGCACGAAGTTGCGCCGGGCGGCATAGAAGGCGCGCGAGGAGGGGCCGCCGTAGCGCGCGCGGAAGAAGGCGGCGAGCGAGGAGAAGGAGGCGGTCTTGCAGATGCCGTCGAGCGACTTTGCGTCGGGGACGACCTCGATGAGCCCGGCGGTGGCCGAGGTTGCGAGGATCGTGTACGGGAAGAGGCGGAGCGGCATGCGCGCGCTGCTCCAGACGCGGCCGAGCTGGGCGATGAAGGAGACGGCGAGCTGCTCCTGCGAGGCGGCGGGGGCGGAGGGGGCGGGGTGGGGAGCGGGCGAGGAGAGGCGACGGACGCGCGGGCGGAGCAGCCGCTCCTGCAGAAGCTCGTCGTCCGCCTTGACGATCATCGCAAAGAGGCGCCAGCCTGGCTCACCGCCCCGCGGCGACGCAGCGCGCAGCCGGTCGACCCGCTGCGACCAGAGCTCGCCGAAGCCCTCCTCTGGGGAGTAGGCGCCAAGCCCAAGCCCGCCGCCCTCCTCCTCGCCGCTGTGCGGGCTGCCTTGCTCGTCGACGCCTCCCGCTGGCGGGGGGGGCGGGGGCCGCGCGTCGCCGTGCGGGCCGGCGGCCGGCGGCAGGGCGTGAGAGGAGCTTCCGGCGAAGCCGGGCAGCGGCGCCATGGCGGTCGGCGAGAGTTCGTCAGAGTCGGAGAGGAGGGAGACCTGGAGGAGAGGGGCGGGGCGAGGGGGCGATCGGAGGGGATCAGAAAGGGGGGGGGGGGGGGGCGGAGGCGGTCTTGGGGGCCGGGGGGGAGGGAAGGGGAGGGGAGGGAGGAGGCGCCTTGAGCTGCTTCTCGCTCAGCTTGAGCCGAGGAGGAACTCCTCGCCGCCGCCCCGACCCGCTGCCGCTGCCGCTGCCGGCGTCGGCCGCCGATGCGCCCGCCGAGGCAGCGGGCCACGCCCCCGCGGCAGGCGCCGGCAGCCCGGAAAGGATCGGCTCCAGGCGCGGAGGCTCCAAAGCGCTCGACGAAGCGGCTGCCGCATCACCGCGCTCTCCGGCGCCCTCCCCGCTTGCTGCACCGCCGTGGTTCGCGCTGGAGGTGGCCGCCGCCTGGCCGCCCGTGCCGCCGCTGCCGACAGCGCGCAGCCCCTTTCCGCTGTTGGAGTGGTGGCGGCGCCGGCGCTGCCGCTCGGCGTCCGAATCAGACCACGGCTGTCTCTGCTGCCGGCGCAGCAACCGACGCTCGCCGTGAGAGCCGGCGTCGGTCCTCGCCGGAGAGAGCGCCGGCAGCTGCAGTGGCAGAGCGTCGCCGCCGCGGCGAGCCAAGGACAGCTCGTTCTGCAGGTCGGCGTCCGACGACTGCGTCTCAGAGTCGGACGCCTCGCCCGGCAATCGGGCGTGGCGCGCCCCGCCGCCACCGCACCCGGCAAAGCCGCGCCCGTCGGAGCCGACCGCGGTGAAGACCTCGCCCAACCGCTCCGTGAGGCGCCGCAGAGGGTACGACGCCGCGCGCGTCTCGAGCCGCTGCCCGTGAGACACGACCGCCTCTGCCGACCGGCCGCGCGCGTAGCTGCTCGAGCTGCTCGGGCCGTCGTAGCTTGGCCCGTCGGAGCTCAACGCGAGCTCGAGCGGCTCGCAGCTGGAGGCGCCGGCCGACGCCTCGCCAAAGTCCTCCAGCGGCGCCTCGCTTGGCGCCAGGTCGCACGAGTTCGCCCCTCCCGGAAGAAGCGCGGCCACAGCCTCCCTGCCAGCCGCGCCGCTGCGTCGCCGCCGCTGCCGCCGCGCCGCCGCCGCCCGCCCCAAGCCGGCGGCGCGGCTGTCGGCGCCGGCGCGCGGCGTCCCCCTGTCTCGCGCCTCTCCAACTGCGGCGAGGGCGCGCCCCGCCACCTGCTTCGTCACCTCAGCGGCCGCGGAAGCGAAGCGCGATCCGGCGGCCGCCGCGCGCTGCGCCGTCGTCGTCGCGGCGAGGCGGTGCGCGCCCTGCGCCGCCTTCTCGGCCAGGTGTGAGGCCCGCCGGAGCAGCGCGCCGCGCGGCGTGGGCGACTGCTCCTCGCTGCCCGGCTCGCAGAGCAGCTCCACAAAGACGAGGTACGGCGCGCGCTCCTTTGTCGAGAGCACGACCGCCTATTCACGGCGTGCGCTGTGAAGAGACGCCGCTCCCGCGCGCCTGCATCCTCTGCCGCGAGGAATGAGGGGCCTCGTCCTCGACGAAGCGGAGCACCTTGTGCGGCGGGTCCGAGGCGGGGAGGAGCGGGATGAAGGGCGACCACCCGCCCGGCTGGGCGGCGCGCTCGCGCAGTTCCTCATTGAGTCTCGCCAGCTCGTCCTTGAGTGCTCCGGCGCGCAGGGGGCGGTCGAAGTGCTTGAGCCGCTCGGCGACACCGGTGAGGTCGGCGACGAAAGCGAGCTGCTCCGCAAAGGCCTGGCGAGCAGGGAGAGGGGTTCAGGTGAGGGGACGGGCGGCGGCCGATCGGTGGGAGAGACCCCCCCCGCCCCCCCAAAGCACAGCTTCAGCCGGAGGTGAACCTGTGTTTGGCTGATCATGAGTCTAAGACTCTGTTTATCGGCTGCGCGCGCCTCAGCTCGCTCATCGTCGGTCGCCCCTCTACTCACCCCGCTCTCCGTCCGCCGCCCGACAGCCGAGCAAGCGCCCACGGAGCTCACGCCGCCGTCCGACTCATCCGACGCAGCGCCACCGCCGTCGTCTCCCCCCCCGCCGCCGCCGCCGCCGCCCCCCTCCCCGCCCCCGCCCCCGCCGCCGCCGCCGCCGCCGCCGCCGCCGCCGCCGCCGCCGCCGCCGAGCGAGGAGACGTCTCGGATCAGGCCGGCGGCGTGGCAGACTCGGAGGCGGAGCGCGCCGGCGTAGTCTGCCCGCGCGGCGGCGTGCGCCAGCGCCTGCTGCTGCGACGCGTGCTGCTGCGAGCCACCCACCCCCCCGAGCGAGGGGCGGCGCGAGTGGCCGTGTCCTCCCCCGGACGGCGTGGCCGGCCTCGAGCCCGGCCTCGAGCCCGGCCTAAGGTGATGTCCCGGACATGTCATGGACGTGTCCCGGACATGCCTCGATCCAGCCCTCGAGCCCGGCCGGCTCCGCGAGGAATGGCCGGCGGGCTGGTCGCAAGAGGGGCCGCCGGCCGCGTCGAGCGCGCGGCCGGCGGTCGCCGCCCTCCGGATCGGGGAGGGGAGGGACACCTTGCGGCGCGGCAGCTGCGGCACGGCCGAGGCAGGCAGCTGCGGCACGGCCGAGGCAGGCAGCTGCGGCACGGCCGAGGCAGGCAGCTCCTCCATAGACATGACGCGGCCTCGCTCTTGCGCCTCGGGGGCGGAGGCTGGTCCGGCGTGGTGCGGCAGCAGCGGCTGCAGCTGCGACGGCGCCGCGACGACAGGGACGGGGACGGGCGCAGGGAGCGGGCCCGGCGAAGGAGCGGGCTCCCCCCCCTCCGCTCCAAACGCCGGCGGCGTCGACGGGGCAGCAAGCGGCGGCACTCCGAGCGGCGGGGTGCCCGGAGCCGGGACAGCGGCCGCCAAGTTGTGCTGGCCCTCCCCCCGCTCGCCCCCCCCCTCCTCCGTCGCCCCTGCCGCGGCTGCCGCCCCCCCGCCCCCCGCCCCGCCCCCCGCCCCGCCCCCCGCCTCTGAGGCGGAGACGGCGTCGCTCATGTTGCTGCTGAAGCGGCCCGGCGCCGAGACGCCCTCGCCACCCTCCCCCTCGCCCCCCTCCCCCTTCTCCGCCCGCGGCAGCTCCGTCCCGGCGGCCAGCGCCGCCTCTTCGTCCTCGTGCGCCGACACCGCCGCAGCCATCAGCGCGCGCGCGCGTGGAGAGGCGAGCTGCAGCAGCGACGGCGCAGACACGACCCGCTGCACGCCGGGCGGAGAGAAGGCGGAGGAGGAGGCGGGGCCGCCCGCGCCGGGCTGCGCAAGCAGCAGCCAGTAGAGCTGCAGCGCGAACCGCGGCGAGCCGCCGCAGAAGCGCAGCAGCGTCGCCTGCGAGGAAAAGAGGCGGCGGGGCGGAGCGGTGAGGAGGAAGGGCGGACGGCGGTGGGCAGCAGCTGGCGGCGGCTCCTCGAGCGACGCGGCGGCGGCGCGCGCGAGCCGTTCAGCGTCGGCGGCACGCCTGCCGCCCGGCGGGAGGTGTCATGGGGGGGGGGGGGGGAGACGGGAGGGGTAGCGGTCCCAAGGCGGAGGCCGAGGGCCATGCGGCGCGTCTCTTTAGCGGCTGGGCGGCGCGCGCCCGTCCGACGAGGGAGGCGGCGGGAGCGGCGCGGGGCGCGGCGAGTGGCCGAGCATCCCCGAGGCGGCGTGCGGGTGCGCGGTCCCGTCCACCGCAGCGGACGCGTGGTGCACAATCAGAAAGCCCGCCAGCTGAGGCAGGATCGCAAAGAGCGCCGCCGGCTGCGCCGCCATCAGCCGCACGAGCCGCCCGCCGACGTCGGCGTGCATCGGGTCGAACTCTCCGCCCCACAGCTGCGCCACAATCGCGTGCGCCTCTGCCCACACGCCGCTCCGCCTCAGCCCAACGCCGCTGCCGCGCCCACCGCCACCTCCGCCGCCGGGAGGGCTCGGCCCGCCTCCGGTGAGGCCGAGGGCGGTGGAGGAGTAGCCCGCGGCGGGTGGCGGAGGGCCGGTAGGACTGGTGGCGCCGGCGACCCACCCGCGGATCGTCGACATCGCCGGTGATCCCAGAGGCCACGCCTCTGACGACTCGGCCTCACCGCTCGCGCCTCGCCTCCGGCGCGCCAGCGGAGCGAGCATCGGACGGGAGGCTGAGAGCGGCAGCGGCCCCTCATCGTCTGCGTCGGCAGGCTGGAGCGGCGGAGTGGGAGCGATCATGTCGCGGCCGCCGGAGGCTCGAAACCTGTGGCGCTGTGGCGCGGGGCGAGTTCCGTCGCGGGTCGAGCGGAGAAGAATTCGCTGTCGGGCCTGCTTGCGAGCTGATGCTTCACTCATGCTTCGGTGTGAATCACGCCCGCTGTGAACGGAGTTGCTCTTTGAGACCAAGTGCGCTAAATAGAGCATAAAAATACCTTTCAGACGGTACCTTTATGTCCTCCAGAGTCGAAGAACTCGACCGGTGCGCGGTGGCTGGCCGCCAAAGTGGCTGGACGGCGCCGCGGCGCACACTGGTGAGCCGCGGAGCACACTGAGGGAGCTGTCCTCGGCGCAGCCGATCGGCTCCCGCGGCCTGGGTGGTGGCAGTGGCACTCTCTGAGGCTCCCTGATTTTTTCTGGTATTTGTTGAGCACTCTCTGGTCACCTTCGCCGGGCGAGCCTGGCTCTCGCTGCGCAGCGGCGCGACCCGCGGTGAGGCTACCGATCTTCGAACTGGGCTTAGTACTCAGTCAAGATATTGTGCATATGGTCGGTCTCTACAATATCTTGACTGAGCACCACCGATGAATCGGCAGCAGGGAGACAGGAAGGCTCGCTGTGTGAGTCGGCCACGCAGAGGGTCGGAACCTGCGTCGCAAGAGGATAAATAAATAAATAGACCAGCCAACCCCTGGTGGGAGTAGGGCAGCAACCCGACGGGCAGACCCGCCCGCTCGGAGGGCGTGCACCACACAGCACACAGACTTATCTAGGCACTGCACGGCTCCTCGGGATTTCTGGGGAGCTGGGACGTGTGTGAGAGAGAGATTTTTAGCAATACCAAACAACTCTAACACTCACACGTAATTTGGGGCCTGGTTTTGTTGTGTGTGTGCGTGCGAGCGTGCGACGTGATCCGAGGACTTCCCGAAGTTTTTGCGCAGCGGCGCCGCCAGGTGGCCGCGAAAAAAAAGAAATTTGCCGCACTACCTGATGTATTGAGAAGAAAATACGGTACAACCCCGGGCCCGAAATCGTATAGACAGTCACCAACACGGGGTCCACAGCGGAGTCCGCTCGGAACTCTCCAAGGCGCAGAAAAACAAACACCAGCGCCCCGTGTCATGATAGCTCCGTCGGCCAAGCAAGCGTCTGACCCCCACCGCCCTGCACTGCTTGCCAGCCGCTGATGAAAAAGGTTCAGAAGGCGGTCGGGTTCAAAACGCCTTCGGGGCCTATGCGCTTCACCGACGAGGACAAGATGGAGGCGCACGGACCACCATTTCCCAAGAAGTCTGCCGAGGCGACGCTGGCACGGCTGCGCAAATTGCCCGGCAACAAGCTGTGCGGCACGTGCCGCACGCCCTCGACGAACCGCGGCGGTTTCGCCGACGTCGTGTTGACGTATCGCATTTTTGTTTGCCGAGACTGCCGGGAGTCGCACGGTGTCGCGGGGCACGAGGTCAGGACCGCCGAGCGACTTGCCAAACTGGACGTCCGGGCCAGCCTGACGCCGTACGAGGTGGAGGCGCTAGCGCGGGGCGGCAACGAGGTCAACGTCGCCACCACCTTTGCGTTGCTACCCGCCACGTCGTTCGAGTGGCCGACCAAAAGGACTGCGTCGTCGGTCGCAGAACGCACACCGCAACACTTTCTCTCTCGGCTGCCTCTGGCTCAGATCTTCGCGCCCCCATAGGAGCGCGACCAGTTTGTCCGGGCAGCCTATGGGGAGAAGAAATGGGCCTCTCGCGAGGACACGCCGGAGGAAGCGCCGCCGGAGCCGGCGCCCGCGCCCGCGCCTACACCGGCCGCTCGGTACGACTCGCGCGGGGCAGCCATGCGCCTCCCCGGTGCCCCCGGGTACGTGCCGCCGCCTCCGGCGGCGGCGTCGGCGGCGCCCGCCGTCGCTGTCGCCGCCACTGTCAGCCTGCTTGATGCTGCGGGGGCTCCGGAATCACCTCCTCCTCCCTCAGCCGAGTCCGAGCTGGTCGACCTGTTCGCCGCGCCCGCCGGGCCAGCCGCCGCGTCGGTTGCTGGCAGCGAGATGTCCGCCGCCGATTCCTTTGGAGCTGTGGGCAGTGCTGGCGCGATCGACTCGCCCTGGGTGCCGTCCGACGCGGAGCTCTCCTCGCCATTCGCAGCGGGTTTGCCGATGCCGGAGGCGGAGGCGGAGGCGGCACACCTGGGCTTCCGCAACCTCGCCTTGACCTCGGACGGCGGTGACTCCGGCGCGGGCATGAATGCGGAGCCCACTTACGCCTCCGTGCGCTCCCCCCCCCCCCCCCCGCGCGCGCGCGCGCGGACATTGCGTCGCCCATTCACGGGAGGATGCGGCGGACGAGTAGGCCCCGATAGCGGCAATGACGTTTGCTGACGCGCTCCTCGAGAGCGCAATGAATGGGACGGTGGCCGCGCCCGCCAATGCGCCCGCCGCAGCAGTCGACTCTGACGCGGCGCCTCCGCCGCCCGCCGCCATGGGCACGGGGTGAAGCGCTCGCACAGACGTTGGCGCCGCAAGCGCCACCAACAGATTTCCCGCTCACGCACGTGTGCCTTGTGCGTGTATAGGAGCGGCCTCGGCATAGGCTGGAGCGCCCCGCGCCCTCTCGTGTCGCCGCCGAAGCCGTTGGCGTCGCCATTCTACCCGCAAAACGCCGGCCGCCCGTCCATGCCAGTGCCGCAAGCCGGCATCGCTGGGGTAGGAGGGTTCGCGGTGAGCGGAGGGGGCGTGCCGCCTCGCTACGTGCGCGGTATCGACAACAACACCGCGGCCGACCCAGCTTTGCTGCAGCCTCAACGCATGGCGACTAAAGGCGCGCCGTCGTGGCATTACCCACCGCCCGGCCGGCCTGACTCGCTTCTCCGACATTCTTGAACGTTTAGTATGCGCCGGCAGGCGACATCATGTCTATGTACGCGCAGAGCGCTCCGCCGCCAGCCCCAGCCCACGCGCTGCTCGGCGTGATACCGGCGGCCTCGTGCGGGATGCGGGTCGGGCCAAGCGGTTGAGCGGGGCTTAGTGGGAGAAGCTACTCCTTTGCAGTCGTTTCGCCCGACCATGTGCCGTTGGGGGTAGGTCCCGCATGCGCCGCTCCTTGGACCGCGATGGCAGGCGGCGGCGGCGGCGCTGGAGGTGGCAGCGGTGGCGACGCGCCCGCTCTGCCCCTCCTCCTGCCAACGAAGGTGCAACACCAGTAGTACCCGAAGACTTAGTCGACACCGCTCAGTGTCTCGAGCTCAGTGTCTGCCCTATGCCAGGCGCCGAGCAAGGCGGACATCATGGCAAAATTTGGGTAGAGGCTTTGCGCCGCGCATGAGGCTTTGCACCACGTGACCTACCGAGTTGAGACGCGTTGGATATGGTACCGTGGGAATTCGGCGGGCGGCGTGGCCGCGCTCGCCGCCTTTTCCACTGATCTCCCCGAACTGAGGCGCGAGATGATTTTCTAATCCCGGAGATGGTCTACCTGTGTTAGTGCCAGTGCGCGCCAGTCCCGTGCCTAGTGTCGTGCGAGGGAGTTTTTTGTTGTAAGGCCACGACGTTGTTCTTGGAGAAGAAGAGGTAGCCCGAGTCTGGGGTGCCGACCTGGCCGATCGAGACGGACGGCGCGGGGAGGTCCTGGGTGCGCGTCTCCGAGCCGCAGTCGCGGACCTCGACGCCCGTGTGCTGCCCGCCCGCGTTGGCCAGAATGATGTTCCCGAACTTGCCGCCCGTGCCCTCGCGGAGGCGCATGATGGCGTTCGAGTCTCGTGCGGAGCGGGTGCCGCCGCCGATGATGGTCATCGAGTAGAAGGCGGGGTGCGAGCGGGGCTGCGAGTCGAGGTTGCCGCCCGTCTTCGAGTCGATCTCGGTGCCGTGGTTGCCGTCGACGCCGACCATGGCGAAGAGGAACTGGCCGCTGCCCTGGTACCCCTCGTCGACGTCGAACGCGTCGTCGCCCACAAACAGGGCCGAGAGCCACTTGACGTTGACGGTGCCGCCGAAGAACTCGAAGCCGTCGTCGAGGTTGAGGGCGACCTCGCAGTGCTCGACGGTCGTGCCCGAGCCGACGCCGCCAAAGGTGATGCCGTTGATCTCATTGTCGGCGCCGATGATGGCGCCGCCGTGCCACACGCGCACGTACTTGAGCGAGCCCGAGCTGTCGCCCGGGTCGGACCCGCCGTACGGCCTGCCCGAGATGCCCTCGATGAAGTTGGAGGCGTAGCTGCCGGCGGAGGTGGGCGCGCGGCCGAGCAGGACGAGGCCGCCCCACTTGCCGCGCTCGCCGAGGTTGGTGAGGCCGGGGTTGGCGGTGTCTGTCTGGGCCTGCTCCGAGGAGGCAAGCGCCGCCTCCGAGAGGACGGTGGTCATGGTGATCGGCCGGACCGCCGTGCCCTCGGCAATCAGCCTGCCGCCCTGCTCGACGACGATGGCCGGGGCGACATCGCCTGTGGGGGGCGCGAGGAGGCGGGAGGAGGTCAGCTCCATCGAGCGGCCAATCCAACGGGGCGGGGGGGGGAGGGGAGGGCGTGTTGGCCCACCTGGAGCCTGGCCGGTCGGCATCGCGTAGATCGTGGTGCCGGGCGGGATGGTGAGCGAGGCCGAGATGAAGAGCTGCGACGTGAGGAGGTACGACGTGTCGGCCGAGAGGGTGGTCGCGCTGTCGACGTCGCCGCCGAGGCGCGCGATGGTCCGATACTGCAGCTGCGCAAAGGGGGAGGGGGCGATGCCGGCGCAGGTGGAGCCGGCCATCTTGCCAGCGCAGGCGAGCCACGAGTACTCGCTCAGCCAGTTGTCCGACGGGCTCGCGAAGGCGCCCTTGCACGCGACGCCCTCGTAGAAGGGGTCGGTGGACGAGTCGATTGCCCCACTGCACATCTCCGAGCTTGCCGTGGGCAGCGGGCTGAAGGAGCTGCCGAGGCAGGTGTAGTCGAGGCAGGCGGCCGAGACGCCCGCGAAGCCCGGGTTGGCGAGGCGGGCGGCGAAGCCGGCGCTCGAGCAGGTCTTCGCGCCCGAGCCGTAGCTGAAGGGCGTGCTGGCGCCGTAGATGACGTTGTTTGGCGAGAAGAAGAGGAAGTCGGGGAACTGCTCGGGCAGCAGCGTGATGCCGCGGCTCTCGCTGCCGCAGTCGTCGTTCCTGACGCCGATGCCCGATCCGTACGCGAGGACGACGTTGCCGAAGCTGCCGCCCGTGCCCTCGCGGAGGCGCATGAGGCCGTCCGCGTTGGCGCCCGAGGCGGCCGATCCGCCGCCGAGGATGGTCATCGAGTAGAAGGCGGGGTGCGAGCGGGGCTGCGAGTTGAGGTTGCCGCCCGTCTTGGAGTCCATCTCGGTGCCGTGGTTGCCGTCCTCGCCGGTCATGGCGAAGAGGAACTGGCCCTTGCCCTGGTACCCCTCGTCCGAGTCGAAGGCGTCATCGCCCACGAAGAGGACCGAGAGCCACTTGACGTTGACGGTGCCGCCGAAGAACTCGAAGCCGTCGTCCAGGTTGAAGGCGACCTCACAGTGCTCGACGGTCGTGCCCGAGCCGACGCCGCCAAAGGTGATGCCGTTGATCTCATTGTCGGCGCCGATGGCGGCGCCGCCGTGCCACACGCGCACGTACTTGAGCGAGCCCGAGCTGTCGGCCGGGTCGGACCCGCCGTACGGCCTGCCCGAGATGCCCTCGATGAAGTTGGAGGCGTAGCTGCCGGCAGAGGTGGGCGCGCGGCCGAGCAGGATGAGGCCGCCCCACTTGCCGCGGGTCTCCAGCACGGTGCCCACCACGCTGGCGCCGGTGTCCGTCACGACCGTCGAGTCGTCCGTCTCCTCCGGGTTGAAGGCGGTGAAGGTGATCGGGTCGGCCGCCGTGCCCTCGGCCATCAGCCTGCCGCCCTGCTCGACGACGAGCGCGGGCGCCTCGGAGGCGGGGCTGCCGACCGGCATGGCGTAGATCGTGGTGCCCCGCTCGATGGTGAGCGTGACGCCGTCCAGGACGAAGACCTGGCACGACATGATGTACGTCGTCGACGCGACGAGGGACGTGTCCGAGCTGAGGTCGCCGCAGAGGTACTCGAAGCGGCCCGAGGGGCCGTCCTGCGCCTCCTCGCCGCACTCCAAGGCGCTCGTCGCGAGGCGGTCCTGCTCGGCGAGGTACGACCAGTCCTCGAGCCACAGGTTGCCGGCGCCAAAGGCACCCTTGTACGAGACGGGCGCGAAGAAGGACGGCGGCGGGTCGTCGACGCCCGTCCAGCCAGAGCCGCCGCAGGTGGGGCGCGGGTCGAGACGGCCGGAGCCGCCGCCGCCGCAGCCGTCCTCGTAGAAGCAGCCGTAGATGCCCGGGTCGGCGTACACTGCCTGCCACCCCTCGTCGGGGCAGCCCCTGTCGAAGGAGAAGGGCGGGTTGGCGCCGGCCACGACGTTGTTCTTGGAGAAGAAGAGGTAGCCCGAGTCTGGGGTGCCGACCTGGCCGATCGAGACGGACGGCGCGGGGAGGTCCTGGGTGCGCGTCTCCGAGCCGCAGTCGCGGACCTCGACGCCCGTGTGCTGCCCGCCCGCGTTGGCCAGAATGACGTTCCCGAACTTGCCGCCCGTGCCCTCGCGGAGGCGCATGATGGCGTTCGAGTCTCGTGCGGAGCGGGTGCCGCCGCCGATGATGGTCATCGAGTAGAAGGCGGGGTGCGAGCGGGGCTGCGAGTTGAGGTTGCCGCCCGTCTTCGAGTCGATCTCGGTGCCGTGGTTGCCGTCGACGCCGACCATGGCGAAGAGGAACTGGCCGCTGCCCTGGTACCCCTCGTCGACGTCGAACGCGTCGTCGCCCACAAACAGGGCCGAGAGCCACTTGACGTTGACGGTGCCGCCGAAGAACTCGAAGCCGTCGTCCAGGTTGAGGGCGACCTCGCAGTGCTCGACGGTCGTGCCCGAGCCGACGCCGCCAAAGGTGATGCCGTTGATCTCATTGTCGGCGCCGATGATGGCGCCGCCGTGCCACACGCGCACGTACTTGAGCGAGCCCGAGCTGTCGCCCGGGTCGGACCCGCCGTACGGCCTGCCCGAGATGCCCTCGATGAAGTTGGAGGCGTAGCTGCCGGCGGAGGTGGGCGCGCGGCCGAGCAGGACGAGGCCGCCCCACTTGCCGCGCTCGCCGAGGTTGGTGAGGCCGGGGTTGGCGGTGTCTGTCTGGGCCTGCTCCGAGGAGGCAAGCGCCGCCTCCGAGAGGACGGTGGTCATGGTGATCGGCCGGACCGCCGTGCCCTCGGCAATCAGCCTGCCGCCCTGCTCGACGACGATGGCCGGGGCGACATCGCCTGTGGGGGAGCGCGAGGAGGCGGGAGGAGGTCAGCTCCATCGAGCGGCCAATCCAACGGGGCGGGGGGGGAGGGGAGGGGCGTGTCGGCCCACCTGGAGCCTGGCCGGTCGGCATCGCGTAGATCGTGGTGCCGGGCGGGATGGTGAGCGAGGCCGAGATGAAGAGCTGCGACGTGAGGAGGTACGACGTGTCGGCCGAGAGGGTGGTCGCGCTGTCGACGTCGCCGCCGAGGCGCGCGATGGTCTGCCCGTCAGCTTGCAGCTGCGCGAAGGGGGAGGGGGCGATGCCGGCGCAGGTGGAGCCGGCCATCTTGCCAGCGCAGGCGAGCCACGAGTACTCGCTCAGCCAGTTGTCCGACGGGCTCGCGAAGGCGCCCTTGCACGCGACGCCCTCGTAGAAGGGGTCGGTGGACGAGTCGATTGCCCCACTGCACATCTCCGAGCCTGCCGTGGGCAGAGGGCTGAAGGAGCTGCCGAGGCAGGTGTAGTCGAGGCAGGTGGCCGAGACGCCCGCGAAGCCCGGGTCGGCGAGGCGGGCGGCGAAGCTGGCGCTCGAGCAGGTCTTCGCGCCCGAGCCGTAGCTGAAGGGCGTGCTGGCGCCGTAGATGACGTTGTTTGGCGAGAAGAAGAGGAAGTCGGGGAACTGCTCGGGCAGCAGCGTGATGCCGCGGCTCTCGCTGCCGCAGTCGTCGTTCCTGACGCCGATGCCCGATCCGTACGCGAGGACGACGTTGCCGAAGCTGCCGCCCGTGCCCTCGCGGAGGCGCATGAGGCCGTCCGCGTTGGCGCCCGAGGCGGCCGATCCGCCGCCGAGGATGGTCATCGAGTAGAAGGCGGGGTGCGAGCGGGGCTGCGAGTTGAGGTTGCCGCCCGTCTTGGAGTCCATCTCGGTGCCGTGGTTGCCGTCCTCGCCGGTCATGGCGAAGAGGAACTGGCCCTTGCCCTGGTACCCCTCGTCCGAGTCGAAGGCGTCATCGCCCACGAAGAGGACCGAGAGCCACTTGACGTTGACGGTGCCGCCGAAGAACTCGAAGCCGTCGTCCAGGTTGAAGGCGACCTCACAGTGCTCGACGGTCGTGCCCGAGCCGACGCCGCCAAAGGTGATGCCGTTGATCTCATTGTCGGCGCCGATGGCGGCGCCGCCGTGCCACACGCGCACGTACTTGAGCGAGCCCGAGCTGTCGGCCGGGTCGGACCCGCCGTACGGCCTGCCCGAGATGCCCTCGATGAAGTTGGAGGCGTAGCTGCCGGCGGAGGTGGGCGCGCGGCCGAGCAGGATGAGGCCGCCCCACTTGCCGCGGGTCTCCAGCACGGTGTCCACCACGCTGGCGCCGGTGTCCGTCACGACCGTCGAGTCGTCCGTCTCCTCCGGGTTGAAGGCGGTGAAGGTGATCGGGTCGGCCGCCGTGCCCTCGGCCATCAGCCTGCCGCCCTGCTCGACGACGAGCGCGGGCGCCTCGGAGGCGGGGCTGCCGACCGGCATGGCGTAGATCGTGGTGCCCCGCTCGATGGTGAGCGTGACGCCGTCCAGGACGAAGACCTGGCACGACATGATGTACGTCGTCGACGCGACGAGGGACGTGTCCGAGCTGAGGTCGCCGCAGAGGTACTCGAAGCGGCCCGAGGGGCCGTCCTGCGCCTCCTCGCCGCACTCCAAGGCGCTCGTCGCGAGGCGGTCCTGCTCGGCGAGGTACGACCAGTCCTCGAGCCACAGGTTGCCGGCGCCAAAGGCACCCTTGTACGAGACGGGCGCGAAGAAGGACGACGGCGGGTCGTCGACGCCCGTCCAGCCAGAGCCGCCGCAGGTGGGGCGCGGGTCGAGACGGCCGGAGCCGCCGCCGCCGCAGCCGTCCTCGAAGAAGCAGCCGTAGATGCCCGGGTCGGCGTACACTGCCTGCCACCCCTCGTCGGGGCAGCCCCTGTCGAAGGCGAAGGGCGGGTTGGCGCCGGCCACGACGTTGTTCTTGGAGAAGAAGAGGTAGCCCGAGTCTGGGGTGCCGACCTGGCCGATCGAGACGGACGGCGCGGGGAGGTCCTGGGTGCGCGTCTCCGAGCCGCAGTCGCGGACCTCGACGCCCGTGTGCTGCCCGCCCGCGTTGGCCAGAATGACGTTCCCGAACTTGCCGCCCGTGCCCTCGCGGAGGCGCATGATGGCGTTCGAGTCTCGTGCGGAGCGGGTGCCGCCGCCGATGATGGTCATCGAGTAGAAGGCGGGGTGCGAGCGGGGCTGCGAGTTGAGGTTGCCGCCCGTCTTCGAGTCGATCTCGGTGCCGTGGTTGCCGTCGACGCCGACCATGGCGAAGAGGAACTGGCCGCTGCCCTGGTAGCCCTCGTCGACGTCGAACGCGTCGTCGCCCACAAACAGCGCCGAGAGCCACTTGACGTTGACGGTGCCGCCGAAGAACTCGAAGCCGTCGTCGAGGTTGAGGGCGACCTCGCAGTGCTCGACGGTCGTGCCCGAGCCGACGCCGCCAAAGGTGATGCCGTTGATCTCATTGTCGGCGCCGATGATGGCGCCGCCGTGCCACACGCGCACGTACTTGAGCGAGCCCGAGCTGTCGCCCGGGTCGGACCCGCCGTACGGCCTGCCCGAGATGCCCTCGATGAAGTTGGAGGCGTAGCTGCCGGCGGAGGTGGGCGCGCGGCCGAGCAGGACGAGGCCGCCCCACTTGCCGCGCTCGCCGAGGTTGGTGAGGCCGGGGTTGGCGGTGTCTGTCTGGGCCTGCTCCGAGGAGGCAAGCGCCGCCTCCGAGAGGACGGTGGTCATGGTGATCGGCCGGACCGCCGTGCCCTCGGCAATCAGCCTGCCGCCCTGCTCGACGACGATGGCCGGGGCGACATCGCCTGTGGGGGAGCGCGAGGAGGCGGGAGGAGGTCAGCTCCATCGAGCGGCCAATCCAACGGGGCGGGGGGGGAGGGGAGGGGCGTGTTGGCCCACCTGGAGCCTGGCCGGTCGGCATCGCGTAGATCGTGGTGCCGGGCGGGATGGTGAGCGAGGCCGAGATGAAGAGCTGCGACGTGAGGAGGTACGACGTGTCGGCCGAGAGGGTGGTCGCGCTGTCGACGTCGCCGCCGAGGCGCGCGATGGTCTGCCCGTCAGCTTGCAGCTGCGCGAAGGGGGAGGGGGCGATGCCGGCGCAGGTGGAGCCGGCCATCTTGCCAGCGCAGGCGAGCCACGAGTACTCGCTCAGCCAGTTGTCCGACGGGCTCGCGAAGGCGCCCTTGCACGCGACGCCCTCGTAGAAGGGGTCGGTGGACGAGTCGATTGCCCCACTGCACATCTCCGAGCTTGCCGTGGGCAGCGGGCTGAAGGAGCTGCCGAGGCAGGTGTAGTCGAGGCAGGTGGCCGAGACGCCCGCGAAGCCCGGGTCGGCGAGGCGGGCGGCGAAGCCGGCGCTCGAGCAGGTCTTCGCGCCCGAGCCGTAGCTGAAGGGCGTGCTGGCGCCGTAGATGACGTTGTTTGGGGAGAAGAAGAGGAAGTCGGGGAACTGCTCGGGCAGCAGCGTGATGCCGCGGCTCTCGCTGCCGCAGTCGTCGTTCCTGACGCCGATGCCCGATCCGTACGCGAGGACGACGTTGCCGAAGCTGCCGCCCGTGCCCTCGCGGAGGCGCATGAGGCCGTCCGCGTTGGCGCCCGAGGCGGCCGATCCGCCGCCGAGGATGGTCATCGAGTAGAAGGCGGGGTGCGAGCGGGGCTGCGAGTTGAGGTTGCCGCCCGTCTTGGAGTCCATCTCGGTGCCGTGGTTGCCGTCCTCGCCGGTCATGGCGAAGAGGAACTGGCCCTTGCCCTGGTACCCCTCGTCCGAGTCGAAGGCGTCATCGCCCACGAAGAGGACCGAGAGCCACTTGACGTTGACGGTGCCGCCGAAGAACTCGAAGCCGTCGTCCAGGTTGAAGGCGACCTCACAGTGCTCGACGGTCGTGCCCGAGCCGACGCCGCCAAAGGTGATGCCGTTGATCTCATTGTCGGCGCCGATGGCGGCGCCGCCGTGCCACACGCGCACGTACTTGAGCGAGCCCGAGCTGTCGGCCGGGTCGGACCCGCCGTACGGCCTGCCCGAGATGCCCTCGATGAAGTTGGAGGCGTAGCTGCCGGCGGAGGTGGGCGCGCGGCCGAGCAGGATGAGGCCGCCCCACTTGCCGCGGGTCTCCAGCACGGTGTCCACCACGCTGGCGCCGGTGTCCGTCACGACCGTCGAGTCGTCCGTCTCCTCCGGGTTGAAGGCGGTGAAGGTGATCGGGTCGGCCGCCGTGCCCTCGGCCATCAGCCTGCCGCCCTGCTCGACGACGAGCGCGGGCGCCTCGGAGGCGGGGCTGCCGACCGGCATGGCGTAGATCGTGGTGCCCCGCTCGATGGTGAGCGTGACGCCGTCCAGGACGAAGACCTGGCACGACATGATGTACGTCGTCGACGCGACGAGGGACGTGTCCGAGCTGAGGTCGCCGCAGAGGTACTTGAACTCGTGCTCGCCCGATCCAACAACGCTGGTGGCGAGGCTCAACGCGGCCAGCGCGCGGAGCAGCATGCCGCCGCGGCAAAGCAGGTGCCACCTCAGCATTGCGGCGGAGCAGTGCTTCCACCACCGCCGGAGCTTTGCTCGTACCCCCAGTTGAAATATGATGACACGGATGAATTTCGGCGCTTTTCAGGCCGTCGGCCAAACACAGCTGAATGGAAAGAGGTTGTGTGTCGGTGTCTTGTGTGTGAATTGCAATGGTTGATATCGCTCTTTTATCATGCTTTTGATCCACGATCCTCGACGTTCGATCGACTAACTACCCATTTTTCATTCATTCACAAACAATCACTCACAAAAATCGGTCCGTCCTAGTCTTGATGGCGGCCGCCGGCAACCGCGCGCGGGGCGAGCCAGAATATCGCTCCTACAGCTCCTCCTTCTCCCCCTGGCTGTGCTGCACAAGCAGCGCAATGAGCTTTCGCAGTTCGGCCGCCTCGCCCGGCGCCTTCTTCTTCCCCAGTCTCTTGAGCTTGCGACGGGCGAGATCGACGGGCACAATGCCGTCCTCGAAGGTCTTGTCGGGCAACGTGCGGGCGTGCGGGTCGGCTCCCGCCTCAAGGAGCATCGCCACCACCGGCAGGCTGCCCTTCTCCGCAGCCTTGTGCAGCGGCGTCCACTCATCGTGCTCAGCACAGGCGCTCACATCGGCGCCGTGGTCGATGAGCAGCCGCACCATCGGCTCGCCTTCCCAGGCAGCGAGGAACAGTGCGTCGCGGCCCCTACGCACACCGTGACGGGTGATTCAACAGCAGCAGCATGCTTCCGGCCAAGCGTGTGTGTCGGCTCCAGGCGTTGGTTGGCGACGGGTCGCCGCCGGCATCGAGAAGCGCTTGAAGCGTCGCGACCTTGTGCCGCACGACAGCCCACATGATGGCCGTATAGTTGTACAGGCCGCTCGCCGACGGCGACGCGCCTTTGCTGAGCAGCTCAGACACAAGCGAAGGATCATCTGCGCCCTTCGCCTGCACGAGGCTTATGAGCTGGCCGTCGACCGTTGATGCCTCGCCCGCGTAAGCGTCCTCGTCCTCCTTAAGGCTGGCTAGCTCTGTGGCGGAGACAGGGTGGAGCAAGAGAAGCACGAGCAAACGCCACATGTACCCGGGTCAGTGGGCTTGGCCGACGGCCCGGGCGAGCATTTTCTTTTTCTTTGTAGCTTGTCTATTACTCACAGGCTCTGAGGGCGTGTTGATCGCGTGCCGGCGGGGTGGCAACCTTACGTCTACTCAAATAAATAAGATAAGTCCTAACAAACGTATCCATGTCCATGTGGCATGCCGGCGTGGACATGGTCCAACATCAGAGCGCATCTAATTGTACATCTGAAGCGAGGCGGTGGGGGGCTCCAGCTAAAAACGAATGTACAGCGCCGCGACGGGCGACCCTGGCGCGCGCAATGTGCGCATATGGCATAAGCGCATCCTTGTGAGGTCAGCGAATCCGAATCTGGTAGCCGCCGATCGACTCGTAGAGATTCCTCGAGCGGCGGCGCGGCCGCCGCTGGCTGGAGGCCGTCCCGAACGAAAGCCCGCCCCACGCGCGAATCGCCTCTCCGCCCCAGCCGGTCGTGTTCGTGCTGCCTGCATCGGAGGCGCCCGAGCTTGACGGCGAGGGCGGCCGTGGGCCTGTTTCGCCATCGGGGAGCGGCGCGAGCATGGTCTCCCCACCCGGGCAGCTCACGAAAAAGCCGCGAAAATCTGAGCCTCCAGCCCCCACGCTCCCCAGGTCAAGCGCCGGCGGCACGGGAGGGGCGGGAGCGGCCGAGACGATAAGCTCGACGCACTCGGACTGCGCGATCGCTCGCCGGCGCTGTGGCGGCAGCGAGACGCTTTGAAGCGTCTGAACCGGGTCGGCGCCCGCCGCGAGCAGCCGGCGCACAACCTCGGCGTGGCCTGCCATTGCGGCGGCGGTGAGTGCGACGTGATCCGCAGTGGCGCCATGCTGAAGCAGCACGCGGACGTTGTCGACGTCGCCGCGCTTGCTGGCGATGTACAACGGCGTCGCGCCCGAGTGGGGGTCCCGCCAGCAGGCCGGTAAACCCGCCTCGATCAGCGGTTCAAGGCTTCGCCCGCGAGCTGCGGCGTTGTAGACGAGGTGGCCATTGGCCGAGCGAGAGCCCGGCAGCACGGGCGGGCCGAGCATCAGCAACTCGGCTTCCCGGCGGCGGCTGAGCCAGCCAGCGCCGGGCAGCGAGCTCGAGTGCCGCTGCTACTCGCCGCTGGACGTCTTCGCCAGCGGCGGCGGCGCGAGCAGCGCCGAGCCCGTGCCGTCGATCCTGTACCTACACGGCGGCGCTTTACCTCGTCTGACCTCGACATAACAGCCACATTTTCTTCTTCTTCATACACTACGACCTTGGTTCCAACTTTTTGCGGGGTATGGTATGGTAGTGTCGCGGCCCAAAGGGTGGGGGGGTATGGTCCTGACCGCCCATCCCCGGTCTCCGGGAGGCTGGGTCTGTCAGCAGGCGGGGGGGTATGGTCTCGAGGTGGGTTGCGCGAGGCTACCATACCATACCCAGCAAAAAGTCCGAACCCTGGGTCGGGCTCATATAGGCAAGCGTGGGCCCGAGGAGTTCTTTGCCGGGGGCAAGCAGGTGATTACACTGACCCAAATACAGCAAACCAAACAATACGGCCTGATGGGCGCCATACGCGGCAGAAAGAATTCTCTGGTGCCGCGCGCAGCACGTCGCTAACTTTGGGCGCGTCGTGCAGACGTTCAGACAGGCGGTGGCACGGATCGTACGGCGGGCCAAGTGGGGCCGCATCATTAGGGCCCTAAGACTGCGCGCACGAAATGGAGAAATGATAGCCCATTCTTCGCGATCAGCCCCTAGTATGTGGCCACGTGTGAGGGATCCAGGACCGCAAGGTCCCAATCCACGTGCCGGGTATCACATCACAAGGTACGTGCTTCGTGGGACGGGTACGCGGGGGTGGGACTAAGTAACCGCGGGCGGGGGCAGTATCACGCGACCGTTATACACACGGCGACCCCTTGAGATTTGATTGAGATGCAGATGAGCTCGCGAGCTCGCGCGTGTGTTTCGTCGGTCGGCCGTCCTGTTCACACATCTCATTGAGATTGTTATTCAAATTCCATGTTCACAGCAATTGTCTCCCCTTTCGCCGCTGTCTCTGAGCGTAGCGGGATCGCCGACTTGGTCGCCCCGACCGCCGCTGCCAGCCGCTGGCGTGACCGCGTCCCTTTTGTCCCTTTTGCTCCCACTCTTTGCTCCCTTTTCCCTCGCCGCGTAACTTGCGCCCCTTTTGAAAACTTTTATTTTGTTATATTAAACCCTTTTTTCACCACCTGAGATCCCGAATCTCAGCCCTGCAATTATGACCCCAACTGCCCTGCCCTGCCCTGCCCTGCCCTGCCCTGCACCACGTGTGTGTGTGTGTGTGTGTCGTCGTGGTTTCGTATCAAGAATACTCACTCACTCACTCACTCACCTGCACCACGCTGCCCGGCGTCTCTCACTTTCCGGGACAGCCCCGCCCTTGTGAGGCAGGAAAGTGGTGGCTACTATGTATGTAGAAAGATGAACAACAGTCAGGCTCGGACTGGACACCAACGCGGTATGGCTACTCCGCGCACCTGAATTCTTTTTGGTAGGCTCGGCCTCGCAGCCGCTCGGTCGCGCGAGCCGTTCCGCTGTGCAACGCTCTCGATCTCTCGCGCTCTCGCTCTCGCTCTCGCTCTCTCTCTATTTACGCAGGCCACCCCTCGCGGCCATGCCTCGGCCGATGTCGACCGCCGAATCGGCCTTCATCCTTCGAGCGCTCGGCGAGGGCCTCCGCGTCGACGGCCGGCGGCCGCGCGAGTCGCGGCCGCTGAGCGTGGCGTGCGGCCTGCGCGAGGGCTCCGTCGAGGTGCGGCTCGGCGAGACCAAGGTGATGGCTGCGGTCAGCGCGGAGCTGGTCGAGCCCTTTGCCGACCGGCCGACTGAGGGGCAGCTCCTCTTCTTCGTCGAGCTCTCGCCGATGGCCTCTCCGGCGTACGAGCCCGGCCGGCCGTCCGACTCCGCCGTCGAGCTCGTGCGGCTGCTCGAGCGGGCCTTCCGCAAGGCGCAGGCGGTGGACGTCGAGGCGCTCTGCATCGTCGCGGGCAAGCGCGTCTGGTCCATCCGCTGCGACGTGACGCTCCTCGACGACCGCGGCAACGCCGCCGACGCGGCGTGCACCGCCGCGCTCGGCGCGCTGCTCCACTTTCGGCTCCCGGCGGTGAGCATCGTCGGCAGCGGGTCCGAGGCGGCGGTGAAGGTGCTCCCTCCCGAGCAGGCCGAGCCCACGAAGCTCGTCTTTCATCACATGCCTGTCTCGACCACGCTCGGCCTCTTCCGGCCGGCGGGAGGGGGCGGCGGCGGCGGCGGCGGCGGCGGGAGCGGCGGCGGCGGGGGCGGCTCCGCCGCCGTGCTGGCTGTCGACCCGACGGACCGCGAGGAGCTCGTCGAGGAGGGGCGGCTCGTGGTAGTGACAAACCAGTACGACGAGCTCTGCGCGCTGCACAAGCTCGGGGGGCTACCCGCGCACCAGGCGGGGGCGGGCTGGGCGGCGGGCGGCGGGCGCGCGGGTGCGCGGGACACGTCCGGGACGCGTCCGCCCCACGCGCCGTAGGAGACCGTCTCCGAGGCCGTGCGGCTCGCCGCGGCGCTGGCTCCGTCGCGGCTGTCTGCGGTGCAGGCGGCGATGGCGAGGCACGCGGAGGAGATGGCGGCGCGCGCTGTCGTGCTCGCCAAGACGGGGCGGCTGCCGCAGAGGCAGGCGGCGGGCGGCGCGACCACCGTCGAGGCTGGCGCGGGACCCGCCGCCGCCGCCCCGCCCGCTGCGGGCGAGGGCGAGGGTGGCACCGGCGGCACGGGCGAGGAGGCGGCCGCCCCGCCCGCCGCGGCGGACGTCGAGATGGCGGACGGCGGTGCGGCGGCGGGAGAGGAGGAGGTGGAGGAGAGCAGCGCGGCAGCGGCGGCGGCGGCGGCGGCGGCGGAGGGAGCGTTGGGGGACAGCGACGAGGACGAGGCCGCGACCGCGACGTTAGTCTCGCCCTTTGCGGCGGGCGGGACCGCCGCGGCGGAGGCCGGGGGCGGAGCAGGGCGGGGGACGGGGGCGGTGAGCAAAGGCGCCGCCGCGCCGCCAGCGAAGAAGCGGAAGACTGGCAAGGCCGCCAAGAAGAAGGGCCGGTCCTGAGACGTAAGAGAGCAGCTCCCGCGCTCGGGGCGTCCGTGAAGGGAGAGGCGAGAGCGTGTGTGGCAGGGAGAGGAGGTACCGGGGGTGGGGACATGCTGCCAACGTGGAATACACGTGCAAACCAGCGCCTACGCATGGTGTGTGATGTGAGCAGTGCTCAAACTTTACCGGTATGGGAGTTTTTGGCTAATCAAACCCAAGGCCTGCACTACCGTATCCGTAATCAAAAACCCGAAAAAGTGGCTAGAGTGGGGTACGCGCTCGCGGGATACCAGTTCGAGTTGCCTCAACGGATCGAAATCAAAGCGAGTCGGAGCATCTGAATTTCCCCCCTTCCGGGTTGTTGCACAGTATATGGGACACGATGTCTCAAATATGAGGGGTTTTGACTCTCCTACCGGCTCGCTGAGGGCGAGGGCGGGGGTGGCGCCGGCGGCACGGGCGACGTATCGGCTCGCGAGGGTGGGGTGTGCGAGTACGAGACCGATACGTCGCAGTTCTCTTGCGTAGGCGGTTAGTCGTGCACTAACCCTGAGGATACCCTTCGGAGTCGCTCCTCATCCGAGGGTGCCTAACCATGAATACAAGGCGGTTTACGACACCGGCGGGGTGGATGACGGCCATAATCCCCGAGGGCTCCGAGGCGTTTGGGCACTTCGTGCTGATGGTTCCGGCTTTAGCCCCGGCGGCGCCGCCGGGCAAAACGAGGGCGACGTAGAAGAAGATGAACTGAACATCCTTCCGCCTGGCTGGGCGGTGTGCGATGAGCGGTGGTGGCGGCGCTCCAAGAGAGTGCGCGAGGAAGAGGGCTTGCCCCCCCCCGGCTTGCCCCCCCCCCCCCCCCCCCCCCGCCCGCCCGCCCGCCCGCAAGGCGCGAGATCCACCCTACCACCGTGACAAAACTCATCCCCAAAGTGACTCACTCAGCTGTTCCACCGCCGATCCGATGTACTTTTAGCTTAATGGGAGACAGGGGAGAGGGAGACGCGCTTTCTTGGCCCTTAGGGGCCCTACTCAGCGCAGTCTCTCTCCGATGCACCCATTTTTTGGAGACATTGATTTTTTCTTCTTGGCCGGCGTAGCCGTAGGAAGGGCTTAGTGGCCTGCCATGTCACAGGAAGGGCTGTGGTTGCAGATTACCACCCATCACTTTGTTTTGGTATAGACTCGAGATGCTTGATTTCTTTTCTTGCTAAATTTTAAAGAAACTAACGCCGAGTTTCATCGCCCAGAAGGCCGACGGCCAAAGCTCGAGGTGTGGCTGGGCCGGTCAGTGGCGGTCAGATCGCCAGGTCGAGGGTGTGGCTGGTCAGTGGCGGTCAGATCTCGACCGCCGGGCAGAGTCGCCAGCCGCTCGCGTGCTCTTGAGGCGATGCACCTGCTGTGCCACGCCCTGCTCGCGGCCGGCGCGGCCGCAAAACTGAATCTTCGCGCCGGCGGCGCCAGCTTTCCCGCCGCGATGTACCAAGACGTGAGCTTTGCCTACAGCTTCCGCAAGCCCGCGAGCGCATCGGCCGACATCTCATACCACTCAGTCGGCTCCTCGGCGGGCAAGCGATGGATCAAGGACGGCACCCAGCGGTGCGAAGACGACGTGCGGCCGTGCGTCACGCTCGACTGGGCCGCCTCCGATTCCCTCCTCACCGAGAGCGACTACGCCGCTCAGCCGGACCTGCAGATGTTTCCGACTCTGGCCGGCGCCGTGGTGCCAATCTTCAACCTGCCGAACCACACCGAGGGCGAGGGGCAGGATTTGCTGCTGACGCCCACGCTGGTGAGCAAGATCTTCCGCGGCGCGGTCACGCGCTGGGACCATCCCGAGATTGTCTCAATCAACCCGCTCCTCGCCCTCCCCGCGGAACGGATCCTGCTCTGCGTGCGTGCGGACGGCAGCGGCACGACCGAGATCTTCAAGAAGGCCCTCTCCGCATTCGAGCAGGAGTTTAAGGAGCAGGTGGGCGCGGACAGCGGCACACGCTGGGGCCTGGCCAACGTGACGCGCCGCCGGCTCAACAGCGGCGTTGCTACCTATGTCGCCCACACGCCGTACTCGCTCGGCTATTCGGTACTCGCGGAGGCCGAGTCGGCGGGCCTCCCGTTCGCCGCGCTGCTCAAGGGAGATCACCGGGTGCGCGCGTCGCCGACCTCTGTCGCGTACGCGCTCGCCGAGCTCGGCCTCGAGATCGGCAACGAGCGCGAGGTGCTGACTGCAGACGTCCACAACGCGCTCGGGCTGATGGCGTGGCCAATCTGCGGCTACACCTACCTGGTCATGCGCACCAACCCGCTGCCGGCCGAGGTCCCCGGCTCGTCGCTGGAGACGCGGCGTGCGGTGGTCGACTTTTGGCGCTGGTTCTACACGGACCCGCAGGGCGTCGTCGCACGGCTAGCCGCGAAGAATGGCTTTGCACCCCTCCCTCCTATTGTCTCGGAAAAGGTGCTGCCGTTCCTCCTCAAGAGCATCCGGTGGCAGGGCGTGCCGGTGGCCTTGCCGGAGCCCAAGCCGTCGCTGACGGTGGTTGGGCCGGTGTGGCTCTCGTCGGCGTTCGAGCAGCTTGGCATCATCTACGAGCAGGACCCGCACTCGAACGCGGAGACGAGCTACGCCGTGGTCAAGGACGGCAAGCAGGAGCTCTTCTGGCGCTGCAGCGCTCGAGCAGCGTCGGGGACGGCCTTGACAGCTTGGGGAGAGCTCGACTGCGGCGGCGACGACGACGACGACGACGACGACGACGACGAGGCAGCGGCACCGTCGCCGCCACCCGCCATCGGGTCGGTGGTTGTGACGGCGGAGGCGTGGGAGGCGGTGGCGTCGGGGGACGAGGGCGTCGCGACTCTTCCGCTCGCCGCCGTCGCCATCGGGGTTGCGTACACGCTCGTCCCGTGCCGGGCCAACCGCACCTGCGCCGACGGCGAGGGCGCCTCAGAGCCGCTCGTGCTCGACGCGTTTGCGATCGGCCGCCTCTGCTCGGGCGAGATCCGCACCTGGGACGACGACTACCTCGTCTCGCTCAACCCGTGGCTCGTCGGCGTGGGTACCGTCCCGATCGTGCTGCAGGCGGAGCCCTCGACGTCGGACACCATGGCCGCGCTGCGGGACAAGCTGCAGGCACTCGGGCAGCGGACGGAGCTCCTGACAGGATTTCTGAGTCACCATCGTCGGGACATGCTGCAGGCGCTCGGACAGCTGACGGAGCCGGACGGCGCCTTCTGCCCGGCGGCACACGTGCAGCCTTCGTCGGCGCGGGTGAGCTCCGCCGTCCTGCACGACGAGTACTCGCTCGGCATCCTCCCAGTCGGAGGCGCCGCGCCCGGAAGGCTGGGCCAGCCCGGCGACGTGCACGATGGAATGAATTGATGAATCACTCGACATCTAGGCGCCGTGCCGCACGGTTGGGCCAGCCTGGCGACGTGCCCGCCGCCTAAGAGCGGAGAGTGGCGCTCTCTGATCTTTGACCCCGCCGCCGCAGCGGCTTGCCGCGCGCGCGCGATGCCGCCGGCAGTCGCGAACTTGCGCAGCTGCTCGCGGCCGCTGAGTGCCGACTCTGCGCGCCCCACGGAGCCGTGCTATCCGCTCGCGGTCTTTGCGCTTCTGCTGGTCCCCACCGATTTCCGCGGCGACGAGTGCGCGGCGCTCGAGGCGGAGAGTGTGCCCAAGCAGCTCGCGCGCTACCTCGCGTGGCTGTACGGACTCGACACCGCCGACGACAGCAGCGGAGTGGCGCCGCTGCACCGCGCGCTCGCCCGCGAGTCGATGGCCTTCATGGGCCGCGAATGCGAGCTGGACGAGGCGCGGCGACGCTTCCGAGACACCACCGTCCACGATGTTGTCCCTGCTCACAATGCCTTCAGTACCACATCACCTCGTGCGCTGGAAGCAGCGGGCGGCATGCCCGCACCGCCACTACCCAACCCACGATGTCTCCTGGCCGGCCGCCTGCCACGCCGCAGGCGCACTTGGCCCACGAGCTGACTCGAGAGGCGCTGTACCAGCTCACGTGCGAGACATCGCCGAGAGATCAGCGAGACATCGCCGAGAGATCAGCGAGACATCGTCGAGAGATCGCCGAGAGATCGCCGAGCTGCCGAGCGACCTGCTGCCCCGCCGCACCGTTGGTGCCCTGCTTGCGCTCGTACCGCGCCGTTTTTTGCGGTCCTGCCACCATCCTCCACCAAAGGAGGCTCTCCATGCCCGCCTCTGCAGATGCGACGGCCGCTCGCTGCTCCGGCCCGACGACACGAGCGCCGAGGTTGCGACGGGTTCGATCTTGCTGATCACGTTTAGCTCCGTGCTGGGCGCGCTGGCCACCGTCCTCCTCTTCAGCCTCGCCCTCTGCACGCGCCACCGCCGCAACATGAGTCGCCGCGCCGCCAGCCTACGCGCGTCTCGCGACCGGGCACACATGGACTTGCAGCTCGTCACCCACCGGATCAAGGCCGGGTTGCGCGTCTCCTTCGACGCGGTGCCCAGCGCCGAGGCGCCGTCCCTCTCGATGCCGCCAGGCCCGCCGCCCGGCTAGATCTCGGCTAGCTCTCGGCGAGCTCTCGGTGGGATCTCGGCCGCATCTCGGCCGCATCTCGACCGCATCTGTTCTCGGCTGTATCTTGGCTGTATCTCGCCAGGCCCGCCTTCCGGCTCGTCTGGCTGCACGCTCGCCGACCGCGGGCACAGCGTCGGCGGCTTGGTGGCGGGATTGCGCCGCAAGACGCGCGTCGACAGCCTCCACGCGGAGGGCGCGATCTCGCTCCCCGAGATCCCGCTTGAGCTGCTGCAGCTAGTCGCCAGGGCGGTGCCTGTCGACGACGCGTTTGCGTTTGGCAGCGTCTGCACCCGCTTTCGGCGAGTCATGTGCCAGCGCGGCTCGCAGCACGCCCGCTTCCCGTGCGGTGTGCGGACGAGGCACGCGGCGGCGTGGGCGTCGGCGGCGCGCCTGGCGTGGGCACGGCAGTCAGGGTACAAGTGGCGGGCCTCGGACGTCGCACTCTGCGCTGAGCAAGGCCGCTTCGAGGCGTCGCCGCCGTCCCTAGCCCGCCCCCTCCCGAGACCCCGCCCCCACTCACATACCCCTCCCGAGACCTTGTTTGTTCCCCCCACACCCACCCACCGCCACCAGCGCCATCATCGCCGCCACCATCGCCACCGCCACCGCCATCGCCACCGCCATCGCCACCGCCGTCCGCACCAGGTGCTTCAGTGGGCGTGGGAGCAAGGCTGTCCGGCGGACGAGCGCACTTGCAGTGCGGCGGCGAGGGGTGGCCACCTCTCGGTGCTGCGATTTGCGCGGCAGCAGGGCTGCCCATGGGATTCGCGCACGTGCAGTGCTGCGGCGGCGGGAGGCAGGCTCGAGGTGCTGCAGTGGGCGCGGCAGCAGGGCTGCCCTTGGGACGCAGAGACGTGCAGCACGGCGGCCAGGGGTGGGCATCTGTCGGTGCTGGCTTGGGCGCGGCAGCAGGGCTGCCCTTGGGGTGCAGACACGTGCGCCGAGGCGGCGGCCGGAGGCAGGCTCGAGGTGCTGAAGTGGGTTTTGGAGCAGCGCTGCCCTTGGGACGAGCGCACTTGCAGTGCGGCGGCGAGGGGCGGCCACCTCTCGGTGCTGCAGTTTGCGCGGCAGCAGGGCTGCCGATGGGATGCGCGCACGTGCAGTGCTGCGGCGGCGGGAGGCAGGCTCGAGGTGCTGCAGTGGGCGCGGCAGCAGGGCTGCCCTTGGGACGCAGACACGTGCTCCGAGGCGGCGGCAGCAGGCAGGCTCGAGGTTCTCCAGTGGGCGAGGCAGCACGGGGCCCCTTGGAACGCGCTCGTGTGCATGATGGCCGCGGGAGGCGGCCACCTCTCGGTGTTGCGTTGGGCGCGCGACAACGGATGCCACTGGACAGAGCTGACGTGCACCGCGGCCGCAGCCGGCGGGCACCTGCAGGCGCTCAAGTGGCTGCGCGAGAATGGCTGCCCGTGGGACAGGCGCGTGCCATTTCTCGACGAGCAGGCGTCTACGATCCTGTCCTTCCCTACACTGCCGCGCTTGCGGGCTGGTTGAATGAGTGCGTGCCAGCGGTGCGGCAGAGATTGAGTTTGAGCGAATGCTGTATGCGCTTACGCACGGCGAGGGGCAAGGGCGCGGCGGGCGCGGAGGGGGGCGAGGGCGAGGAGGCGGCCGGAGAAGAGGAGGGGAGCCCGTTGGCGCGCACAACTAGACGACGGCCGCCAGAACGACATGTCGTCAGAGCCGTAGCTCCCGCGCCGACGCGCAGGTTCGTCTTCCCGACGGCGACCATCGCGCAGACTAGGCAGAGCACGGCCGACGATGAGGTAGATGAGGGGGGAGGGCTCCACCATGCACCACATGCACATGTACATGTGTCTAGTTCTCGGTCCCCTCCCGAGTCCCGAAAATGCCATTCCGATGCCGCCCTAGTGTCATTACCATTGTACACTTACTCTCTCTCTCTCACGTCTCTCTTGTACATTTATCGGATATCGCGGCCCCGTAGTGCGTAGTAAAATGCGCAGAGCTAGAACTTCTCTTTTATCGTGCAGGGCGGGGACACATGTCCCTAAATCCCATCTCGTCTCTGCAGAGACTGAGTTTGACCGTTTTATTATTTATTTATTTCTTTTTCGCTCCCGAAGAGTCCCGTACGGCGTACGGCTTTATCGATATGCGATATCGTGTCGTGTGCGCACTCGGTGAAATATGCGTGGGTCGTGCTAGGCTAATTACCTCCCTACGATACCTTACCTAAATCGCCGCCGCAGGTGCGTCATGACGTTTCACGCGCCTCCGCCTCGGCCGCCGCCTCAGCCACCGCCTCCCGCAGTTGGGCCGCATGGTCGGCAGCGAGCCGCGCCCCGGTCTCCGTCGCAACACTCTCCGACGTGCCTTCTCCCGCCGTTGCGGACGAAGAAGACCTCCGCCGTACTGGATCGATGCCTAGCCTGCGCTCCCTCGAGCCGTGGGGACTAGACACGGCAGGCGTAGGAAACACGCAACGCTTGCCCAGCCGCGCGCACCGGAGGCAAGGCTCGTCCTCGCTGTAGTACTCGCATGCAGTCTTGGACCTACGCGCGCCACGGGCGATTTGCGGAAGCTGTGGAAGCGATGCTTGGCCGCCCCTTCACGGGCGAAATGGTGGGGGGTGGCTGACGCGATGCAGCGTGGCATATCTCTGCCCCCCCCCCCCCAAAACCCACGGGACTTGCAGCGCCTGTGGCACTCGGTACAAGCCCGCTTCCGCCGTCGCAGCGCGATGGCGCTGCCAGCGCTGCCAGCGCGACCCAAGCCGCCAACGCCACCTCCGCAGCCCGCGCCACCCGAGATGATGGCGCCGCCTGCGCCGCCCAAACCGCCTAAGCCGCCGCCCAAGCCACCGACCTCGCCGTCGTCCACCGGCACCGGCATCAACGCGCCACCCGCCACCGCTCCGCCCCGCGCAAACGCGCCCCCGAACGCGCCGCCGCACTCGCCACTTGGCTCGGCGAACGCGACCTCCTAAGAAGCTCACGACTCTCGCGGCGTGAGGTGTCTTCTCGGCAGATCGCCGCGCGACGAGCCGAGCACGTGAGACGCCTCCGCCCACGCGAAGGCGTCCTCCCCACCCGCCGCCCCATCGGCCTCGGCCGTCCGGGCTGTTGTGCTCAGGCCGTCGCACTGATTCGGCTCGGCGGCCGGGGCGCCTCGGGGGGGGGGGGGGGGGCGGGGGCGTGTGGGTAGGGGGAGTGCGACCCGAAACAGAATTGAGTACATCTTATCATACCTTGGTGCGAGCTGCTGCTTTGCATGGCCGGCGGCGTGCAGCATCGTTTCCGCAGCAGCTTCCCAAAGAGTGACCTATACACTGGGGGAAGACGTGTGACCGCGGCTCTCCGCAGGGTGGACGTCGCCCTCTCCTCTCGCCCGACCGGTCGCCGCCGGTGGCGTTCGCGTCGACAAAGCGCGCCAAGACCGGCTCGATGCGGAAGCTGGCAGGGTCCAGCTCGGTCTCCTGCGAGATGAAGCATAGGCGGGGCGGAGGTAGTGCGGCGGGGGAGGTGGAGTGGGGCTTGGATCAAGCGATGAGGGAGGGCGTAGAGGTGGCTGTGAGACTGGCTGTGGAGGGGACGGCTGGCCGGTGAGGCTCTGCTCTCTCTGAGTGTGGGCGACGATGATCATGCCGATGGTGCGAGTGGATGCCATCTTAGGGTGCGGGGGTAGGAGGAGGGGAATGAAACCTGATGCGGCTATGCAAAGAGGCATCGGAAGGCGGTGGGCGCTAGTTGGGCGCGGCGTGCTCTCCTGGCTGCAGAGCGGGCACTTGTTGAGCCGGGCGCGCGAGAGGCAGCTGTAGCAGAAACGATGGGCGCAAGAGAGCACGACCTGTGCTCACGGCGCAGTGGCTGTGGGCGCGCACCCTTGCTCCGCACCGGGGCGAGGGGCGCGGCGGGGAAGGATGAGGGGGGGGGGGGGGGGTAGAGGCGGGAGGGCGGCACGCCGGCAAACTCAGCTTGCCCATGCAACTACTACACTCCGGGCCCTGACACCACAGACACCGGGTGAGTGACGGCTGATCTTGGCGGATCGGAGCTGGGCGGCAGCTGCAATCCGCCGAGGACTCGACGGCAGTGGCTCCGACAGCAGCGCAGACGACCTGCTCACATCGCGACGGCCTTTGGTCCGGGGATGTGGTATTCACGGTGCACCAGTCAGAGCGGACGACGCGCGTCCGCGGCGACGCCTTCGGCTTGCGCAAGGGAGGCGGCGAGGAGGCGCGACTGGCAGATGGAGAGCGAGCCTGTCCGCAGCAGAGCATGTGAGGCGAGGAGCGAGTGGCGCCGAGCCAGACGGCGGGGGAGGGCGATGTCCGATAAAGCTCATCACAGAGTCACCGATCAAGATTGGCGAGTGGCGGTCGTGCTTTTGCACGAGCTTTGTCGCGGCGAGCAGGTTGAGCAACGCGTAGGTGCGCAGCGCGTCCACCTCCTCGCACAAGCGCACGAACGCGCCCACGGCCTCGAGCTTGTCCCTTGCCACCTGGCGGAGTGTTGAGCCGAGGTGGCGCGCAGCGGGACGGCGAATGTGGGGAATTGGGCGGGGCGCCCCGGCGGCGAGTGGCGGCGGCGGCGGCTGGCGGAGGGTGGGGATATCACGTGCGCTCTCGCTCGTTGTGGTGGCCCTCGCCCCCTGCAGCAGCGGCAGCAGCGTCCCCAGCGAGACAGTCCCAAACGCCTCGACCCGGCCGCACACCCACCGGCGCGGCTCGTGCAGCAGGGCGGTGAGCGCCTCCAGCCGGGTGCACAGCTCCGCCTCCATGCTCTTCATAAGGTTGTTCACCTGCGGGAGATATACACGTTTTGCCGTTTGTCGGGCTAGCTCCCAGAGGGAGAGAGGAGCTCATGCTTGTATTGAGGGCTAGAATCGCCGTACGCGAAGAGGCCGGACCTCTCAGACCCCTTGAGGCGTTGGATGCGTCTCGCACAGCACAAGGGGCATCGCGGCTCTCCTCGCTTTCGCCGCCTCTGTGGGATGGAACGCTGGAGCCTTGGGGCATAGAGGATAGCCGCACGCCTGGTTGATCGCCGAGAGCAGCTGTGTGAGGAAGATGCCCTCTATCGCCGAATGGCTGTCGCTGTCCGGATCCAACCGACGCAGCGTCTGCTTGAGCTGATCGTACGGTATGAGCTTGGTAGCGAGGCGTGGGTGGCTCGCGGCGGTCAGCTTGTCGCCATACAGCACGGGGGGGCGGTCAAAAGACACCATTGGGCAGCGAGTCAACAGATAAAGGGCCGAAGGGCAGCTGGGGAGAGGGGAAACGCCGAAATTGACTGTTGACTCGCCGTCGGCGAGGGCACAGGCTACGTGTGTGTGTGTGTGTGTGCGGCGGGCGGCTTGCTGCTCGCGGCGATGGCGAAAAACTCGTCTCGCCACACGCCAAGGGCTTATGCTCTGGCGAGACGTGAGGCGCATGCGCCCAGGAGGGGAGGGGGCATGTGTAACGACACTGCTACTGTAGAGATGCCTTTCGGGGCCCAGAGATAAAACTTCTGTGATGCCATGCGTGACCTAGTAGTGTCCCCAGCTATGGGCGTGTCCACGTTGGAGCCAGGTGTGGTGTGGGCGCGAGAATAGCTCCGCCGTTCATGGAGGCAACCGATGCGAGTCGACTGGTGCGTGAGCTTTTTGTTTGTTTGGTGTGTGTCGTCGTGGTTTCGTATCAAGAATACTCACTCACACACAGGCTACCTACAACTGTAGGTAGGCACGCGAGCGTGTGTGTGTGTGTGTGTACACACACACACACACGCACGCGAGCACGTCCTGCCCGCTGCCCCGGGCAGGAGTGAACTTGCCATCATCAGAGAACTTTTATCTGTGTTCGTACACACTTAATTAACAAACCTGTCTGCACGTCGCGCGCGCGTGAACAGGGCTCCAGGCCCCAAATGTGAAATGACGTGTGAGTGTTAGAGTTGTTTGGTATTGCTAAAAATCTCTCTCTCTTAATTAAAGCTACGGGAGGGAGGTGTTTCCTCTGTGAGTGATGTATAGATAGCTCTTACGAACGTACATACACACGAGAGAGAGAGAGAGATCCCCTTTCTCCCATTACACGAGAGAGAGAGAGAGAGAGATCCCCTTTCTCCATCAATTAGAATTCTTTTTTGGGGACAACAGCGTCTCGACAACAGCGTTTCCGTCGGGAAGACCTAAATGCCCGCCTTTAGGATCAACAACACACCACCATGAAGCGCCGATCGATGTCCGCACACGCGCTGGCGGAGGTAGCCACTGCGGTGGCGGGCGGCTCGCCTTCCTCCGGAGGCAGTCCTCGCGGCGGGAGCGGCAGCCGCTCGTCGCTCCGCCCTCGGCGAAGCAAGGAGAGGGAGGGCGAGACGGTCGAGGGGCCTCCGCCTGACTTCCGCTGCCCCGCGGCCCAGCCTCCGCCTAGCTTCCGCTGCCCCCTGTCCGGCGAGCTCATGCAGGACGCAGTCCGGCTGGGCGACCGCTCCTTCTCTTCGGCGAGTCTGCGAGGGCGCGGGATGTCAACTTGGAGGCCGCACACACTCCTCCCCAAAGCGGATCACGTGCTGCGCAGCCAGGTCCATGACTGGCTGTGCGAGCGGTACGCGTCGGTGGTCCTGCGCTTGCGCATGGTCTCGGCCGTCACGTCGGCTGCGCCCGAGGCGGCGGCGGCGGCGGCGGCGGCGGCGGCTGCGCTCGAGGCGCACGACGGCGCCGGCAAGGTGGGCATCGCCGTGGCGGGCGGCATTATACCGCTCGTCAAGCTCGTCAGTTGCGACGGCGATGCCACCCGCCGCGCCGCGGCGGCGGCGCTGGCGGCTCTGGCCTCCCACCCCGCCAACAAGAGGGAGATCGCGGCCGCCGGCGGCGTCCGCGCGCTTGTCGCGATGCTCTTGGCTGAGAGCCCCGAGGAGTCCAAGGCGGCCGCTTGCGAGGCGATCTGGCATCTGGCGACCGGCAGCGGAGAGAACAGGGCCCTGCTCGTGCAGGAGGGCGCACTCCCTCCCGTGGTTGCGCTCGTCTCCTCGCAGGTTGCGCAGAGCGCCGCCGTCCGAGTGCTGCGCCAAGTTGCTGTGGACGTCGAGCACGCGCGGCGCCTTGTCGACGCCGGCGTCATCCACCCGCTGCTGCAGCTCTTCATCGACGCCAGCCCGGCGCGGGTCGACGCGTCGGAGATCCTGTGGAGCCTCTGCATGGAGCCGACGAGCCGCGAAGCCGTCTCCGCCGCGGGAGGGGCTTCGCTTTGGTGGCTCTACCCCTCCGCCTTGCCGGGCCTCGCCGCCCGCGCCTACACGGCGCCGCCGGCGGGCCCGGCGCCGCCGCCGGCCGCCGCCAGCGACTGCGGCGACGACCCATGGGTGCCGGCCGCCGACGTGGCCTTCACCGACCAGGACTTGCTCTGCTTCCTGAGGGAGGAGGATGTGGAGGGGTCGCACGACTCCTGGCTCCAGCAGCTCGCGGGGCCCTTCTCCGGCTCTGCGCCACCCGCCGCTTCCTCCTGGTCCTCCTCCGGCTCGCAGGAGTCGCCCCCAAGCAGCCCTGTGTCGGATCCGTCGGCCAAAACCTCGAGTACCCCCCCCCCCCCATGACGCATGAGGATCAAGACAACACACCACCATGAAGTTGTAACACCGTCACAAAAGTGATGCACGTATTGGGAGCGCGACTGGTCTTCGAGTGAAAAGTAATCCGAGCAAACCCGCGGCCGCAATGAATTAAAAGGGGCGGTTTTCGAGGGGGAATCTGGAGAATCTGGGAATCGGCTCACCAGACACCACGGAAGACGGATCCCCACCTCAAACCTCTCACATCGAAAAACTTTTCACTCCAAGACATACTAGTTTTTTAAGGTGCTCTACAACCTAGGCACAAAAGATATGGCATTTGAGGCCATTTAGGGCCCCTTAGACGGTCACTGAGTAGGCCAAAATCCCCACTGGGCCGGGACCGCCGGGAGCAACCTTAAGGCGGCTCCTGTGTCCTGAGAATTCCAAAAGCTACAGCACTGGGCACGGAAGTCGGAACTGGCGCGCACTGGTAGGGTACACCCTCCGTAAATGTAGTGAGCTGTGAGCTGTACACGGAGCGAGGGTCTGTACCGAGGCGTACAGGAACGATCAAACCAAGATCACCATGCTGAAAGGGACACGCTGTCGGCCGACGACAATGAAGGACGCAGGCCGTCCAGGACACATCCCTCTGGGAACAATCTCGACTCGCGCGTCTCGAGCACCCTACTCAACAGGGACATCTCTCTACATACACGAGGTTAGTAGGAAGATGAAGAACAGTCAGGCTCGGACTGGACACCAACGCGACGAGTGGGGTATTCACGTAAGTAAACGCACAACCCCGGCCCGAAATCGCACAGAGTCACGCAACACGGGGTCCCAGGGAAGGCGAGCAAAAACCTTATCGCGCGCGCTAGACGCCGACTCGGAGGCCGCAGCTCACTGGAAGCTTCGTTGGCGCCTGTGCACGGCGGCGCGGATCGATTCTGATGTCGATGCTGTCCGCCGCGGTGCACGTCGCGACGACAGCAGCCTCGCCGCAGTTAGCGCAACTCCTCTCGCGCGCCACCGACCTGGAAACGAGCGGTGGGGACACGACGAGTGGGATTCACGGACCGTTTCCGCTCTCGACGGACGGGTGGAGGGAGTGCGTCGCGGGATGGGAGCATGTGCAGAAGAAGTGGAAGTCGCTCGGGCTGATCGCGCATCCGTACCCAAAGTCGGCCCACGCGCACGTTCCCGCGTGTCGCGCGCTCGCGATGCAGCCCGCGCTCCTCCGCGAGATGCGGGCCGTCATTGGAACAGATGACCTGATGCTCGCGACGATGTCGGTGCTGGTCAAGGAGGTGGGGTGGGAGCACCGGTGGCACACGGACGTGGAGAACGCGATCGACCGGACTCGCTGCAACGACACGAGCTGGACCGTCTGGCTGCCGCTCGACGGCACCGCCGCCCCTCACGCCGCCCCTTTGCCCCTCCACTCGCCGCCGCCATCGCCGCCGCCGCCGCCGCCACCTCGCCGCCGCCGCCTCCCATGCCGCCGCCCACTTCCCGCTCCGCCGGCCCCACGCCGCCACCGCCCTCAACCTTGCCCTCGCCTCCCTCGCCGCCTCCACCCTCCCCCTCCGCCGCCCCACAGGCGCCGCCCCCGACTCCTCGATGCTCATGGTCTCACACTCGCACGGCGCGAGAGACTTTGCGCAGGTGGGCAAGCTGTGGGCAAGCTCCCTACCCCTCACTCCCTGTCATGCTCCCTCTGTTCCTCCGCTCCCTCGCTCCGCTCCCTCCCTCCCTCCCACACACGCCTGCCTGTACTCCCGCAGGCGAAGCTGCACAAGCAGTGCAAGGTGTGCGCGAGGGCGGCTCCTCCTCCCCTTTCCCTCGGTCGGCAAGAACCGTAGCCTGATTCCTCCGCCCGCGCCTCACTCTCAGGTGTGCGAGGGCGGCGACTTCTCCTCGCTCTGGCGGCGCGGCGGCCAGCTCGCCAAGGCGCCGAGATCTCCGCTGGATCTCGGCTAGACCTCGGCTAGATCTCGGCTAGACCTCGCGGCTATACTTCGGCTACACCTCGGCGAGCTCGTCAAGGCGGCCTCCCTCCCCCCACAAGACCTCCGCCACTTTCTCTTGCAGGTGGCTCGGAGGGAGGTGTCGCCGCACGCTGCTCTGGTGCAGCTGGCGGCCGCCGACACTCAGGCACACGTGCACACGCACACGCACACGCTCGCATGCACACGCACACACATGCACACACGCATCCGTCATTGCAGTCCTCAATCGATGCCTCACACCGGGGCGGGGATCCACGCACCCCACTCTCCATCTCGTGCAGTGTTTAGCCGTCTCCATCCGCGTGTTTCGACGTCAGGCGTGGGCTTTCCGCGGCGCCACGTGGCACGCCTCCTTCAACAACGCATCCAGCCGCAAGACGCGGACGGCGGTGCAGATGCACTTCATGCCGACGCGCTGCAAGTTCCGGTCGGCGGCCTCGAGATGCAGCAGCGATACAGCCGAGAGACAGCCGAGAGACAGCCGAGAGACAGCCGAGAGACAGCCGAGAGACAGCCGAGAGACAGCCGAGAGACAGCCGAGAGACAGCCGAGAGGCAGCCGAGAGACAGCCGAGAGACAGCCGAGAGACAGCCGAGAGACAGCCGAGAGACAGCCGAGAGACAGCCGAGAGACAGCCGAGAGACAGCCGAGATCATGACTGCAGGTCTGACACCGGCCTCGAGAACGCGCCGGAGCTGCCTACGTCCGAGCGCCAGCGCCCGCCGGGCATCGGGGCGGTGCTGCCGCCGGTGATCCCTCTGCAGGGCAAGGCGCCGCCCACGCCGCGAGAGGCTGTGCGATTCGTCAATCAGGAGAGGGGGTTCAGAGGAGTCGATCGCCACGATAGGCGTCGGCCACGCTGCGAGGCTCGGGCGAGGAGGCCGACAGCACACAGCCACACGGGACGGCGATGCAGCCGGGCCCTCCTCCCCGACCCTTCTCGGAACTGTCCTCGATGCAGGCGACGCACAACAACTGGATGTTCCCCGACGAGCCTGAGCCGGCCGTCGTCGACGCGACGTTCGACCGGACGCCGAAGCGCAAGAGAGACTGCGCCGCCGCGACCTTCGCGCCCGAGACGCCGCTCAAGTCGCTGGCGCACGACCTCAACGCGGGCGGGTGGGTGGACAAGCTGTGCAAGCTCAAGAGCGGCGTCGACGCGCGCGCGGGCATCGTCGACAAGTCAAAGTGCAAGACGCACCAGCTGACCGGCCACTCGGCGGGTGCGCCAATCATGGAGTACCACACGTCGAAGCTGCGCAAGAACTTTGCCGCGCACGAGATGCGGACCCACGAGGAGATCGAGCTGGTCTACGTGCTGCGAGGCTCGATCCTCATCTCGCTCAAGCAGCGCGGAGAGCACACTAAGACGCTCTACCGGCGCGCTCTCGACGCGGCCTCGCCTACCCCCCCTTGAACCATTGCTCACCAATGATCAGCCGTTAATGAACGATAGGCGCACTCTCGACGCGGGCGACCTCGCCTACTATCCCGGCTGGCAGCCGCACTCTTTGCTCTCCGTCGAGCACGCGCAGGCGCCGGGCGAATGCTCTTCTCAGACACTGTGACACTCATCATCCTCAGCATGGCTTGCTCTCTTCATCATCCTCTCCTCCTCTCAGGCGGTCTATACCTCCTATCCTCCTAGACACTTCCTAGACACTTCCTAGACACTTCCTCTCAGGCGGTCTACCTCGCGATTCGCTTCCTCGGCAACCAGCCGGTGTCGGTGGAGGAGCGGGAGACGGACAGCGTGGTGGTGTGGCGCCGCTCCGACACGGCCGAGAGCGACCTCGCAGAGGCGGGTCAGCCTACCCGCCTCCGCCACTCGAGCTCTCTGCATCTCTCCGTCTCCGGCGGCGAGTTGCGCGGACCGCACGGCTCAACCGCCGGCGCAGGCCACGACCAGCTCCTGCTGGCGACGAGGGGCGAGGTGCTCTACGGCGGCGCCGACGGCAAGATGCGCACTCTCACCGCGCCAGGTGCGCTCTTTGTTCCGCCGCGCGGCGATGCGTGGTCCGCGACTTGTCTTCGACACTCTACCGTCAGCGTCAGCCTCAAAACAGAGGACGGCGTCTTTGTCATCAACGCCCTGAGCAACGCTGTTCCGTCCCCCCCCTGGACCGTCCACGACACGCCCCCCCCCCCCCCCCCGGCATGCTCTTTGTGCGACTTGTCCTCGAGACACGTCCAGGACCCCCCCCCCCCCCCTAGGCACGCTCTTTGTTCCTGCCGGCGCACCTCTGACCCTCTCGCCTGCGCCGGGCGCCGCGCCGCCGCCGCTGCCCGTGAGCAACAACGTCGCCTCGGCTCATCTCGGGCAATCTCCGCTCCTCTAGGCCCGCCGCCGCTGCTCGTGAGCATCAACTTCACCGAGCCGCGCCGCCGAGGCAGCGACGCCGACGCCTCGCACCACCACGCCAAGAAGGCGAAGCACCACACCGACGCCGACGCCTCGTTAAGCACGGTGCGGGGCTTGCAGCAAGCCTCGACAGACGGCGCGCCGTCACCGGGCGCTGTTCACCCGGCGGGCGCTGTTGTCCCGCGGCATCCGGGCGCTACCCCGCGAGCAGCTCGCGCTCACGCGCTGTCGCCGGGCGCTCTGCGCAAGAAGTACGGCGTTGACGAGAAGGGGCGGGCTCACCGCCCGCTCCCAGGAGGGGGGCGTGCTGGGGCGGCGCGTCGGCCTAGATAGAGACACGTGGCACTCAGCCAGATGCATGACGATTGGACACCGGGCCGCTAGCGAGACGGAGAGAGGCCCGCACAGGAGCGACACACAGACCACACACGGACAAGACACCTCCGTCCTCGGGGCTGCACAACACACTCTGAGCCTCGGTCGCCCCCTCTCCTCCTCGGCCGCAAAGGCGCCGACCGCTGCTCCGGCAACGGCGAGCACGCATCCTCCTGCAGCCTCCTGGTCCCAGCGGCTGGCGAACCTCGTGCTCGAGGCTAAGGCGCTGAGCCAGCACGTGCCCATCCGCGGGCGGAAGGATGCGGGGCTGTCGCCGGGCGCTCTGCGCAAGAAGTACGGCGTTCCACCGTTAGAGCCGTAAGCGGTACGTAACATATTCTTCAGGTTCACCTCTGAAGCCCTGATACAAGATTTTTGCCGTGCCGCGCCGTGCCCATGCCCATACCGCTAACTCGAGGGAGCGCAGGCAGCGGCCAGGGCGCCGGGACGCTCCCTCTCCAGACTCCACCGTGATGCTCCTCGCCATCATCGTCACCGCGACGTGTCATGTGTCAACTCGGCGGGACGGGCGTCGCCCGCGACATGCGCACGTAGCCCGACAACTTTCAAACGCTCTGCAAGCCGCGGGCGGCTCCAACTGTCAATGTCGTCTCGCATTGCCGGTACGCGGCCTGGCTGCTCTCTCTCTCCTCCCCCCCACTCCCCATCGAGACTGAGCCCCCGGTGAGCACGGGCTGCGGCGCGACCCTTGCCGTCCCCGCGCACGCAGGTCACCATGGCAGAGCTGCTTTGTCGTGCGTGCTCAAGCAGCGCGCAACGGTCGCGCCCACCTGTCACCTCGCCTCGCCGGCTGCATCCCGCTCGCGGCGGTCGCCACCATCCCTGGGTCACCGCCACTGCCCCTGTCCCTGCCGCCGCCGTCGCCGTCCGATTCCTCCCCGCCGCCCGGCCTGATCCGCGGCGTGCAACGCCCCCCACGCACAAACATGGGCACACACCTCGGCATCGCCGACCCCCCAGCCCCCTGCCGCCGCCGCCGCCGTCACTGTCGCCCCCGCTTCCACCCACTTGCTTTACTGCCGGTGTACGCGTTTCGCTAACACTCAGGGCCCGTTTTGCATGACCTGTCTCCACTCTCGCTGCGGGCCCGTAAGACACTCGTAGACACAAGCACACACTCTCACTACACTCACTCACACACACTCAGCCCACCCACAGCCGGCGCGCTCCTCCGCGCGCGAAAACCGAAATGCAGAGTGCACATCCACAAGGGCTAGTGTAAAATTCTTATTTCCGTGCACCTGTGTTTGTGCGAGTAAAGACAGAAAGAAAACACACGCGCGTAAAAAGCAACAAAAGTCACGAAAAAGCGATGAAGCTCACCCCGCTGATTCCCGTCGTCTCTCTCTCTCTGCTGGTTCCTTGCCAAAGCCTGGTGGCATTCAGCTCCGCTCCTGGCCAACGGCTACGCGCCCGCCCTCCGCTCTGCGTCGAGGTGGAGTGCGGCGTGCAGCGGACCGCGAGCGGTGGGCTCGGCATTCAAGTGGATGAACGGAACGCTATCGCCACATCGGACGGTCAAGAGACCTTGCGTGCGGGCGACATCATCGTCGCTGTGGACGGTGTGCGCCTAGACGGACGTCCCGTCGCGACCGTGCTCGAGCCAAAGGCAGAGTACATCTTCACCGTCGAGCGAGGTAGCGCAAGCGCAGAGTCGACACTCCTCCGCCTGACGGCTGCACACGCACAGGCTTCCGAGGAGGAGGCGGCGGAGATCCTGCGCGGCATTGAGGGCGCGGCCACGGCGCTGCAGCAGGACGCGGCGCCAGTAGCTTCAGCCGACTTGCTCGGCTTTTGGCGGCTTCGGTGGGCCTCCGACCCCGCACTTGCGGCCGGGTTTACTGGGTACGGCTCGGTGGCAGGCTGCAGGCTCGTCGCCTCGTGGCAGCGGCTGGCCGAGGCGGAGCCGACGCTGCAGGTGGTTGAGGTGATAGCGGACAGCAACATTGGAGTCCACCAGGTCGCCGCCCGCAAAGGCAGGTGGGAGGTGGGAGGCGTGGGGGGCAGTGACGCTCCCGCGCTGAGCGAGCTCTACTCGCGGCTCGAGTACGCGGACGCCATGGTTTCCGCCGAGCCCGTGCGCACCGACCGCTCCCTCGCCTATGTGAGCGACACGATGAGAGTCGATCGCGGCGCCGACGGCTTGCTGCTCGTGTACGTGAAGGAGGAGGCGTCGACCGCGACGGGTGAGCTGCAGCGGCTGCTGGCCACGCCCGTGGCGGGCGAGAGCATGCCGCGGTGGCAGCAAGCGGACCTGATGCGCCGCTACTCGAATGGGCCGGACGCTGAGGCGGGGTCGGTCCTCGGGTAAACGGCTAAAACCGGACCCATCAACATAAGCAAGGCATGTAGCCGTTATGTCCCCACCAGCGCACCTGTTGCTGCGCTGTGCGAGTTCACTGCTTGCTCTCTGCCTCTCCCCGCAAACAAACCATATCTGGTCTCATGCATAAAGCGCACGGGTGCCGGGCGATAGCTGCGGCAATCTCTTGCTAGTATGATCCAGTTGCGTCGGATCTGTCACTGTGTCTTCGTCCAACATTTTTTTCGCTCCACGGGGTGGCAAGGCTGCATCTTCAGCCAAGTGCTCGAGATCGTCACGCCTGAGACACACAGCATCGGTGAAGGAGGGCATGTTGCTCCCGAGTGGAGCCGCATCCGCGCAGGGTGCCATGATTGGCCGGTCGGGGGTTTGGCGATGCCCAAGCCAGCCTATCTTAGCGCGGGAGACCACCTTAGCGGGAGTGGTCGAGTGTAGACATCGCGGATTGGGAGCGCGAGCGGTCGGCCATGTTTGCCGCACGGTTGGCGAGAATAATCACGACGCCATATAGCTGGTAGCGCCAAAGGAGGTTGGAAAATAAGTCCGAGGCGCCTGGGCGCCGCGGGAAAGGCTCATGAAGGACGAATATGAGGTGGGTCCCTTCGGTCTTTGTGGCTGGGAAAACGCACTATCCTCGGCGTCGGATCCCTCGGATGACTTGCTGCCTGGCGCTGGTGGGTAGCCAAAGTAGACCCACCTGAAGGCAGCGATAGCCCTCGTATGGTTCCCCCTGGGCGTAGGAGATAATCGTGCGTGGTGACCGGGGGCATGCTAACCGCAACAGTCGTGCAACCGGGCCGTCAGTGTAGGGAACGCTCTCGTTCGGAGCGTCGGAGCTGTTGTCGAGAGCATCGCAGACGTTGCTGTCCTTATTCTCCGCCGGGGTAGGCAGTGGTTTCAAAATGCCCATTCGCCGCAGACCAATCAAGAGCAGCCCTTCCCGGTAGGTCGGCAAGCTGGCCAGACAGACCTCGCCTAAGAGCTAGGCTGCGCGTTGAGATATGAAAGGGATCAGCACTCACTGGTGCTGGCCGCTGTGCATGTGGCGCTCCGCCGCGGTGGCGTGTGTGCAGTTGTGGCGATCGACGCGTGTTTTTCCTCGAATGTGTGACTGAGACTGTGCACCGATCTTGTTTACAGCCATCAAGGTGCCGAGGTCACGCGGGAAGGGCGATTCAGCAGCGGCTGCTGTAACAAGTAGCGCGACGCGCGAGACAGACATGTTGTAGATGTGCGTGTGAGCTGCGCAAAGCTGGGAGCTGAGAGAGAGGATGCGGAACGTTGCTCGTTGGGGACGTCCGAATTTCCGCGATGACTAAATACGAAAATTACGTAAGAGCCACAACCCCCTCTCTCTTTTCTCCCAGTAAATAAATAAATAAATAAAACGGACACCTCTACTAGGAGATGGGTAAAAAGGAACAGGTCCCCGCCCTTGCGATCTTTGTGCAGGGTTCTTTGTGGGTGTGGTCGGCGACTAGCCGGGGTCGTCCTCCCGTCGATCTGGCAGCCACTCGATCGCCCAGTAAGCTAAAAGTACGTACATTGAAAATGCAGTTCACCTACGGGTATGTTCGTAAGAGCCACATACACTGAAAATGTACGTAAGAGCCACATCCAGTAAGCTAAAAGTACATTGAAAATTGGACCTATGCCTATTTCGTTGCACTCTCACCTCGACCACGTTCGCGTCCGTCAAACCCGTCAAAGCCGGCGAGGAAGTGGACCGCAGCGTGCTCCGCCGAGGATGACAGCGTGCCACGCGCGGGACCGCCGCCGCCACCGCCACCGCTCCCCGGCACGGTTAGCCGGCGCGCGTACTCTCCCATCAGGTGCGCGGCACTCACGCTGAAGACGGCGGCGCTGCACGCGCGAGCGACGCCCCTCGGCGCGGCGGGCGCGAGCGAGGTGAGCGCACGGTAGGAGAGCCAGCTGGCGACCTCGAGCCTCGCGGCGGGGTGCAAGGAGAGCACCCCTAGCCCAGCCGCCCAGCCGATCCTGTGGCAGGCCCCGCCGCCCACGTGCAGCAGCGCCGCGGAGAGGCCACCGAGGCAAGCGCGGGCGGCGGCGGCTCGCAGCACACGGGAGAGCATCTGCCGCGGCCGCCGCCGCCACGCGCCCACGGACTGGACCACGCTCGCGGGCACGGCGCGGCACAGCCCGAGCCTGGTCCCGTCCGCCCACCCGGCCGCCGCCGCGAGAGCAGTCGAGCCGGCGCTACCTCGCCTCGCGCCGTCGGCCTGCGCCCTGCAAGCCGCCTGCACGGCGACCGAGGCGAGGACGGGGCTGCCCAGGGGCGGCGGCGCGGCGAGGAACTCCAGTGCGCGAGCCTCGACGGCTTCGGCGACGGCGGACGGCGGCTCGAGAGGCTGGATCGCTGCCACGGCCGCCGCCGCCCGCTGCGCCGCCGTCGCCGCCTCGGCCGCATACGAGTCGAGAAGATGCCACAAGGCGAGACAGGCGGCGGCAGTGGTGGCAGCGGCGTGCGCGTGCTCCCTCCACCTGGATCGTCCGCGACATGGCCGCGATTGTGACGGCTCCGGCCGACCCGCAGAGAGCGCGGCCGACAGGACAACACCGGCGTGAAGGGCGGAGCGGGGCGCCACCTCGTCCGGCCGCACAGCGCACGTTAGCGCGCCTGCCGCCGCGCCTGCAATCGACGCACGCAGTGGCAACTGGCGTGGCCGGCCGAGTGAGCGGAGGCTCAGCATCGCACCATGCCACGTCGCACAGAGCGTGGCGAGCGCGGCGCCGAGGCCAGCCGGTCGGGCGTCTCCCGTGAGGCCAAAACTCAACGCAGGGCGCCGCACCGCACGGAGGGCGCAGCCCGCGAGCCAGCCGCATGCGAAGCAGCGAGCCACGCCGACGATCGGTGTTGCGAACGACATACGCGGAGGTTTCTCTTTTTTTCTCCGCTTTTCTTCACTGGATTAGAGAAACAGATCTTCCAAACTCGGTGTCGAACCACCAGCCCGACGCTCACTACAAGTGACAGCGGGTTGCACACAGACACAGTGTTCGAACCAAAATCCAAAAAGACAGAAATCGGTCTCAGCCCTACCTGGCCGTTCTATATTATAGAATGGCATCCTATAATGTAGAATGGCGTCTCGCGCGCGCTCACCCGGCCGCCTCGCAGCCCCAGCGGCCGGGGGGCGCTTGCCGGGGTTGAGGCTGGTCACACACAGGCGCCACTTTAACGCGGCGAGCCAGAGGAGTCACACAGGAGAGCCCCCAACATGCCACATTTTCAGCAGCAGACGGGCCGCGGTGAGGGCCCATTCTACATCGAAGAATGGGGTCCGCCGCCGTCCCCCACGGCCTCCTCACGCCCCCAGCGGCAGCGTGCCGCTCGGCCAGACTGGTGGGGTTCGCGGCAAGCGCCAGTTCAACACAGAGAAGCCCAACAGTCCGCAAATGAGAGTCATCCCCCCCGCCCCGGCAAACCAGAGCAGACGCCGGGGGCCGCGTATGGCGAAAGCAAACGCACGACGGCCGCCGGCAGCCGTTGAGCCGCTGCCGCCGTTCGAGCCTTGGATGTCCGTCCGTCGCCGCCTGTGGCGAGGGCAGTGGAAGTGTGAGATTTGTGCTCGCAAGTGGTGGGCGGGCGAAAGGGTCGGGCGGCAGAAGTGAGCAGACAGCGCGAATGCGGTCTACCTATGTCACATCTACTCCTCGTGTCACCTAGTCATGGTCCTCGCTTCCCTGCCCGGTCTCCGAGTCCTGCGCCTCGCCTGAGTCCTCGTCCAAGTTCGAGTAGTCCTCTCCTCGTCTCTTCGTCCTCGTCTTCGTCCTCTTCGTCGATCTCGTCGAGCCGGGTGGCTGGTCGCGGCGGCGGGGAGACCTCCTGCGCTCCCCAGGCGGCCTCACCGGAGCCTGCGGCGTGCTTGGGCCTGGCAGGGGGCGGTAGGGGGTGCGCTCAGTACAGTCGGGGGCCTGCACGCGCGGAAACGCGAAAAAAGAAACGCACTTTTCGGGCTGGATGTCGCGGGGGAGGGTGACTGCACCAAAACCCGCGAAGAATCGAGAAGGGAACTTGAGATTGGCCTGCGCCGCATTTAGATATCTAGTGTCCAGTGGTCGAATTGTGTCGGCGGGCCGAGTGTCGTTTCGCCTCTGTCGTTGGGGACCCTCTGAGGCCAAAATCAGCCAAGAGAGGCCACAGAGGCGGCACAGAGTCAGAGTCAAACCCTCTGTGCCGCCAAGCAAGCCAGGGGTCCGACCCATCCTCAGAGGGGGGTCTGAGGCCTCAGAGCGTCTACAACCCCCTAGTTATACATCACGCAAAGAAAAAATAAAGGAGCTGCGTGGCGGTGCCGTCCTTCTCGGTTGTCCGTTTTCTTTCTCTCTTTTCTCAGGGTGTATTTCCGTAAGCTTTTCAGATATTACTTCTCACGTTATATCATCTTTCGTGATCCAATGCTTCTTCTTGCATCAGTCGTGAAATCTCCGCGGATAGCCTAGTGAATGGTTGGGTAGTAGGGCTAGAGGGTCGCTCTACACTTAGCCTCTGCAGCGAGCAAGCGCTCAACTTAGCCCCCGCACGGAGCCGGGCTCGGACTTAGACGCTGTATGGTCGGGGGCCATGAACTTAGACGGCACAAGGCCAAATCCGGGTAAAACCCGGGTATACCTGCAAAAGTCCAGGTTTACCCGAAAAATACCTGGACGCGTCCCGACCAACGTATGCCGCGCACGACGCCATATCGCCTTGTCCCAGGGCCAGTGCGCTACTTGCGGCGCGCAACTCCTGCTCAAGTACGCGCACCGTACCATGTGCTGCCGCTATGCGTGCCTTAAGGCGGCTGCGGCGAAGCGGCGGGCGCGGCATGCCGATGGCAGTGCGGACGATGCGGTTGCGATGTGTTCTGCTTCAAGATCGTGGCGGTGCTTGGCATGCACTTGTGCGATCCCAATCAGCTCATCGCAACGCGAAGCAGCGCAACAAGCTGGCTGCTGCCAACAAGGCCCTATGCTAGATCTACCTCACGCGCGGATCGTTCAAAGAGGACCAGCATACACAGGCTTCTCTGACATGCGTTTGTTTGAGCTTGAGGCTATTTATGTGAGAAATGTTTGGCTAGAGATTGCGCTCAAGAAGAGCAACGAGAATCGGAAGAGGAGGATGCTGAGGCGGCGATTGCTGAGGCATGAGGAGGATCGATCCGGATTAGAAGGCGCCCGCCGCAGGCGAAGAAAATTTGGGGGCTAGCGCCGTATCGTTGATCACGGTGGGAGCCTCTTGGCCCCAGGCTGTGCCACGGCCGACTTAGCCGATGTAAGAGGCTCTCGCTGATCTTAGACCGCGTAAGCACCCCAGCGTGACTAGTCACACTTAGACCCGCTCAGCCTCGAGGCTCAGAACTTAGACTACTACCCAACCAGTGCCTAGTGTGACGCCCAGCGAGGGGCGTGCCTCTCCATGACCGTACCGCCCACGCACCCGACGGTGCGTGGAGCACTATAGCCCCCCTTCTAGCGGAGTGCACCCGTAGTGGCCGCGGCCCTCTCGCACTCCAAAGCGCAGGTAGTGTCTTCTGAGAGCGACGACCTGGCAGATTCCGCCCGGGCAAAATTTCGCACGGAGATCCGCGTTGCGTGCAGCGTAGCACGTCGCGGCCTCCCGTTGGCGTTTCCGGCGGGCCTCCTGCTCGACCGGAGCTTCGGAGCAGCCGTAGGAGCGGTTCTCTCTCCGCCCGCTGTCCAGGTAATGACGATGGAGTGCGTCGCTCTTTCCGTCGCAGTCGCCGGACCCGCACAAAAGAGCGCGGACGTCCGCGTAGCGCGCGGCGTAGCACGCCGCGGCCGCGTCGCGCATTTCCTCGTGCAGGATCGCGAGGGCCTCGACCGGTGTTTGGCCGCACCCGAAGAAGCGACCCTCGCTTTGCCCGCGGCTCCGGTAGTGGCGATGGAGCGCGGCGGCCTTCCCGTCGCAGCCGCTTGCGCCGCACGCGAGCGCGCGGGCGTCCTCGTAGCGCGCCGCGTAGCACGCCGCGGCCGCCTCGATCGCTCTCGCGGTCGCCGACGGATCTGATGGCTGCACACTCCGTCGGCACGCCTGGTGGCTGTGGAAGACGCCGTGGGATTGGGCTCGGCAGAGGTTTGGTTGAGATCCGGCCGCCCAGAGCGTCGCACCGCCGCTCCGGGTCGCGGCGTCCAGGGCGAGCGTGGTCCGCGCCTCGGCGATGTCCCGGACGAATTCCGGCCTGGACGAGCGGCCGCCCCGCCAGCCGCTGTGGTTGATCGCGTCGACCCGCGCGGCGAGCACGTCCGTGTTCAAGAAGTACTCCGTCGGGATCGACGACCACTTAGGGTACGAATTGGGGAGCCTGCACACCCACGCGACGAGGCTCGAGCGGGCGTCGGCCATGCGCGCCGCGAGCGGGGCGGGGTCCAGGAATAACACGTCGGGGTTCGCCCGTACGACCCACTCGTAGCCGCCCAGCCACGCCTCGCGCGCCGCGACCAGCAGGGGCGCGATCGCGCCCGCCTGGTGGCCCGGGTTCCACCGCGTCCACGCGAGGCTCACGTTCCGGTTCGGCAGGCGCCGCAACGCGTCGACCCACGGGGACGCGCGGGGTTCGGCGATCTGCGTTTCGCCGTCGCCGGGAGCCTTGAACCTGGTCCGGTCGGACGCGAGGCAGCCCACGTAGAGGAGGACGTCCGCCGCGGCGAGGAGCCGCGTGGCGCCGAGCGCGCGCGGCCAGCAGGACTGGAGGTAGACGAGGTGGCACTTCGCGCACGCGGTCGTCAGGAAGACGAGGACCGTCGCCGGCGGCGCCGAGGCGGCGTCGCCCTTGACGTCGCGGAAGACGGCGAGCGCGCCCGGCGCGAAGTCCGCGGCGCCCGCCCCGTACGCGTTCACGTCCATCGTCACGGCGGGGGCGGCATCCGCCGCGGCGGCGATCCCGCGGGCGGACGAGGCGTCCCCGCCAGGCGGGATGTGCTCCGAATAATTGCAGATGTAGTTCTTGGAGACGCTCATCGTTTGCGGGCCTCGAATCGCGCCGGAGAGGTGCTGCCATCGCTGGCCGCCCGGGGCCGTCTTCTCCACGCTCATGGCGGGCGCGTTCGGCGCGTCCGGCGCGCGCGCGGCTGAGTGGGACGCGAGCGCTGACATGCCACCTTCAAAGCTCTCTATCTCCGCGAGATCGGGTCCCCACTCCGCCGCCGTTCACGGTCGAGAGCGTAGTGCATGTGCGTAATGCGTCGGTCATAGGCCCACCCAGCCCCGATTTACGATCCCACTGCGTAAGACGTGTGCGTAATACACCGTGCGTAGCGCCCCGAGAGAGCCTCTCTGGCAAAGCTTACATAATACGGATGCGTGGTGCGTGGTGCGTAGCGGCCAGAAGGTCGGTGGTAACGATCGGTGCAGAAGGCGTGCGCATAATACGCAGCACATTTGAAATCACCGATCGCGCTTTCTGTCTGCACGCGTAAAGCGAGGCGTATGCGTGACGCATCACTGAGCCGCCACCCGGCTTGACACGGCACCAAAATACACGACAGCTCATGGTATCAGCGACGTCCTACGGACCGTGGGCATGGATGTGCATAAGGTGGCCAACAATTGCATTAGTGGCTCTTACATATCCATAGCGGGACTGACAACCTCCCAGCGTGTGTGGTGCCGGGCGCTCGAAGCGTATAGAATAGCGCCTTAGTCAATGCTCGCTGCTTCCGCCCCCTCCCCGCCCTCCCTGGTCAGCGCCGTTCGTGGAGGGCTAGGCGCTCCGGCCTCCGCCCGGGGCTCTCGCCTCTGTCTGCCGAGAGGGGGCTACCCTCTGAGGTCAACGCCCTCTGTGCCGCGCCAAGACAGACCCTCGGCCGGGGACCCTCTGAGGCCAAAATCAGCCAAGAGAGGCCACAGAGGCGGCACAGAGTCAGAGTCAAACCCTCTGTGCCGCCAAGCAAGCCAGGGGTCCGACCCATCCTCAGAGGGGTTCTGAGGCCTCAGAGCGTCTACAACCCCCTAGAGCCTAGTTATACATCACGCAAAGAAAAAATAAAGGAGCTGCGTGGCGGTGCCGGCCATTTCGCTTGTCCGTTTTCTTTCTCTCTCGCGTAAAATTCTTTCTCTCTTCTCTCAGGGCCCGTTGCCACCTGGCGAGTAGAGGCCCCGGCCACCCAGGGTACCCTCCCCGAGCACCCTTTCTTTCAGCGTTGCCACGTTTCCCGCTCCATCGAAGCTTGGAGTTGCTTCCAGAAGGCGTCAGACCACGCGACCAAGAGAGCATGTCCTTTGCGCTCTCCCTCGGCCCGCTCGCGCTCGGCTTCCACGCGCCGATGTCGGCGCCGGCGTCGCGCGCCGCCGTCAGCATGCAGGCCTTCGGCGTCATGCCCCCGCAGCAGGCCATGGGCAGCCAAGGCGCACGCGCCCGCAATGCGCCCATCTGCCGCGCGCCGGCCTGCATATCTAAGCCCGGACGCTGTTCCCAGGTCTCGAGCAGCCCATGACCTCCTCGATGCAGAACGCCGGCGGCCCCCTCGACTCCTCGATCCTCGTCCAGGGCGGCTCGCTGCGCACCTGGTCGTACCGCTCGCCGTCGGTCGAGCAGGTCCAAGTGGTCCTCAGCACCGAGGGCCGGCCGCTCGACGCGGACATCGAGCTGTGGCAGGGCCCCGACAACACCCCGTGCAAGATGCGCGTCTACGTCGAGAACGGCCAGCTCCGCCCCTTCAGCGCCGTCGTCGAGACGCCCCGCGGCCCCAACACGATCGCCATCCGCAACATCGGCCAGATCGAGTTCCCCCTCGCCGCCAACGTGGTCGCCGAGAATGTGGACGTCCCGTCGGCCGAATGCCTCGACACGCGCATGACCATCCAGGGCGGCGCCCTCCGCACCTATCCCTTCGACCCCTCGGTCGACAGCGTCCAGGTCCTGCTCAAGACGGACGGACGGCCGCTCAACGCGCGGATCGAGCTGCTCCAGGGCCCCAACAACAACAAGCAGGTGATCGAGCTGTACACGGAGGATGGCCTCGACCGGCCCTTCTTCTGCATCCTCGAGACGCCCGGCTCGGGCAACGTCGTCCGCGTCGTCAACACCGCCCCCGTCGAGTTCCCCATGACGGCCAGCGTCGTGCCCAACTCTATCAACCAGGCGCTCGACTCGACCGCCGTGCTCGGCGGCGACGTCGTGCTCGGCGGCGACTCCGGCTGGTAAGGGAGGCGCGTGCGGTGCCCGTCCCGGCGCCCTCCGCACGGGGCGGGGGGCGACGTACAGCTCTGTAGCAAAGTGGAGTCCTCGAGGTAGAAGAGACTATAGAGTCTCGCCGGGCTCAAGTGCGCGTGCGGGAGAGTGTGGTGCGTGGCCATGGCGTCAAGGCGTGCGATGGTGGGTGCGCGTCAGCCCGCGGATGGCCTCGCAAAGCGAGCGTGGGTCTAGTTAGTCAGTTGTCACGAGTGAGACATGAAAGCACATCTCTCATCGCGTCGGCCGCGCGCGCGCGGCGCACCCACACACACGCGAGGCCCCTGCTCTGCCCTCTCCTGGATCTCGCGACGCGAACACACTCCGCGGAACTCGAGAGAGTAAAGAGTTAGAGAGACCGCGCGAGCGGCGTGGACCATAGATCCACGCACAGTCGCAGAGAGACATCTCCTCTCCCCGCACCGGCAGCCCGGTCAGTAGAGAACTAGGAATGGCGCGGCAAGAGAAAAAGAAACTGCACCCATCCCTACCTTGGTTGGTGCCCAAAAGAAATAAATTGAACGGCGTCAGCTAGAGAAAAAAGAAAGTACACCGCGGCGTCTGAGTACAATAACTGGGAACCAACCTGTGGCTGTGACCGACCTGTGGCGCTCTGAAAACGCGCGGATGCCTCGCTTCGTGTCGCGCTTTCTGGCCCTCCTCGCTCTCGTGGCCACCGCTCGCGGCGCGTGCTGCGGGCCCGGACAGTTCTGCGGAGGCGACGGCAAAACGTGCTACGAGAACACGGCCGCGAATCTGCTCGTGCAGGGCTGCGGCGTCCTCTCGTGCTGCTCGTGCCAGACGTCCTCCATCGTGACCCCGAAAGGGCTCTGCACGTATCAGTACTGCAGCGGCGGCAGCGCCTTCGCCCTTCAGGTCACCGAGATCTCGGGCGGCGTTCGGATCACTGACCGCGAGCGCAAGAGCATCGTGAGCTGTTCGAGTCGGGTCGCCCCAAACTTCACGGCGGCGTGCGAGGAGATTCACCAGCCCGGTCTCGACCTGATCACAGTCGGCTACGACACGATGTGCGACCCTCGATGGAACAGCCTCTACTGCGAGTGAGTTGCGCGCGCGGCCGAGAGCGACTCCTTGCTCTCCCCTCCCCCCCCTCTCCCCTCTCCTGTCATCCACCCGCCATAATTGTCGAGTGAGCCGTACCGTTCGTCTTGTAGGACCGTCCCCTACTTCATCCCCTTCGTGAAGACACGCACCATACCGCTGCCGCCGCCGCCGCCGCCCTCACCGAGTCCACCGAGCCCACCTATACTGCCGCCGCCGCCGTCGCCGCCGCCGTCGCCGCCGCCCTTGCCGCCGCCGCCGTCGCCTCCACCGCCTCCACCGCCCCCGCCGCCCTTGCCGCCGCCGCCCTCGCCCCCGCCGCCCTCGCCGCCGCCCTCGCCGCCGCCGCCCTCGCCGCCGCCGCCCTCGCCGCCGCCGCCCTCGCCCTCGCCGCCGCCCTCGTCCCCGCCGCCGCCCTCGCCCCCGCCGCCCTCGCCGCCGCCACCAGCCTCTCCGCCGCCCGACCTCAGCGCTACTGTTTCCGCGGTCGCCCTCGCCGCACTCGGCGAGGCGCCCTGGCCAGCTCGCGGGCCTACCTTCGCGGCTGCGGCGCTGCTCGTGCTCGCCGGCGCAGCGCTGCTCGCCGCGGCCGGCTACTTTGGCGGCTTCCTCTTCGGCCGCATGAGGACGGGTCGGGCGGCGCGCCAGGGCGTGCGGCTGGAAGACGGGCCGGCGCCAGAGTCGCCAGGCTCGGCAGAAAGACCGCACCCACGCGCCAGTTCGTACTCCCGCCTCGCGCCACTGTCGTCTCAAGTGTCGCCTCCAGCGTCGCCCGTGGTCAGGACCCGCTCTCTCTCTTTCGGGAATGACCCGCTCATCGACCGGCTCGAGAAGATCGCCAAACTGAAGCGGCTGCTGGACGCGGACGCGATCACAAAGGACGAGTTTGAGAAGTGCAAGGCGGAGCTCATGCAGCGGCTGTAGGATTCTCCCAGAGGGGGTGTATTGATTGAGGAGCGGCTGAAGGACAGTGTGTGCCGGGGTGGACGTCTCTCTCGTCTGTGCTCTCACTGCTGCGTGCTGATAGCGCCGGATGGCGATGCGCCACAGTCTGCACTGTGTGTGAGTCACTCTCTCTTTTCTTACTGTGGGGCTGGGGGCAGCCTCGGGGTCGGCCCGGGCGTGTCGTTTTTGGATTTTGCCTTTTTGGATTTTGGCCTTTACGAAGTAACGAAAACACAAAACCGTGTTACGACTGTTATTGTATCACTCACTCACCGTCATCCTCTCGCTCTCCAGTCTTCCTTACTCTCACCGTACCGTACACCGAGAGACGGGGACTTCCCACTACCCGTCGATGACGGCCGCCTGCGCGTGGAGCTGCTTCGCGACGAGGGAGGCGTAGATGCCGTCTCTCTCGAGGAGGGCTGCGTGCGGCCCGACCTCGGCCACGGCGCCGCGGTCGAGCACGACGATCTGCGCGGCGTTAACGACGGTCGAGAGGCGGTGCGCGACGAGGACGACCGTCTTTCCGCCGTCGGCGTTTCCCCAGATCAGGTCGTCGAGCGCGCGCTGGACGAGCGACTCCGACTCGGCGTCGAGCGCCGAAGTGGCCTCGTCGAGCAAGAGGAGCCGAGGCTTGCGCAGCAGGCAGCGGGCGATGGCGAGCCGCTGCCGCTGGCCTCCAGAGAGGCGCTGTCCACGCTCGCCAACCTGCAGGGAGATATGGGGAGATATGGGGAGATATGGGGAGATATGGGCGCTGTCCGCAAGCTGGGCGAGGCACGAGACGAGAGCGGTGAGGCGGCGCAGGCAGGCGTGGGAGAGAGAGGTGAGAGAGAGAGGTGGCGCGAGGGCAGGCGCGGAGGGCTGGCCTTGGTCAGGTAGCCGTCCTCGAACGAGTCAATGAAGCCATGCGCCTGCGATCCATTGACACTCTAACGAGCCGATGAAGCCCTGCGCGATGGCGAGATACAGCCGAGAGGGAGCCGAGATAGAAGCCGAGACAGCCATGCGCCGCCCGCGCGGCGAGAATGAATGACGAGGATGCGCAGCGGTACGTATCAATCACTCCGTGGTCCGGGGCGCGGGGGGGGGGGGGGGGGCGTGCGCCTGCGCGGCGATGGCGGCCTCGCGCAGCTCCTCCTCCGTGTGTGGCGGCGCGCCGTAGGCGATGTTCTCCGCGATGGACGAGTTGAAGAGCTGGGTGTCCTGAGATATGGGGAGATATGGGGAGATATGGGGAGATATGGACGAGTTGAAGAGCTGGGTGTCCTGTGCGTCCAGACGAGCGGCGGTCAAAGACTGTGTTTGATCGTACAAGCGAGTGAGTCGAAGAGCTGCGAGTCCTGCGAGACGACGCCGGTGGCCGCATGCAGCGACGGCAGGTCGAGGTCGCGATAGTCGGCGCCGCCGAGGCGGATGGCGCCAGAGAGCGGGTCGTAGTAACGAAGCAGCAGGTGCACAAGAGTCGACTTGCCGCCGCCGCTCCGGCCGACCAGCGCGCAGACCGAGCCGGCCGGGACGGAGAAAGAGACGCCCTCGAGCACGGGGTTGCCGGGCCGCATCTGGTAGCGGAAGGCAACCTCCGAGATCTCGATCGTCCAGTCGCGGAGCGAGGAGACGCGCTTGCCGCCCGCCTACCGCACCACCCACGGACCTGAACCCAAGCTGGGTTCGGTACCCTGGAGGTATGGTACTAGGCGCGCCGGAGGGATGTCGGGCTCAAGGTCGACGAGGGCGAGGACGCGCTCGGCGGCGCCGGCGGCGCGCGTGAACGAGTTGAGCAGCCCGTTGAGCGCCTGCGGGGTGTGTGTGCGTCGCGGGCGCGTGGTGGGCTCGTGGTGGGCTCGTGGGCGTGAGAGAGTCTGAGCGGCCCGGCGCCTGCCACGCCGAGTTGATCATGTTCCAGTACCTGGCGGAGGAGGGGGGGGCCTCGGGCCCGTGAGGGGCGCGCGCGAGATTACCCCGAGACTACCCGAGACTACCCGAGATGAGGGGCGTGCACGAGCCGCTTGAGCAGCCACGACTCGACGTTGATCAGCAGCACCGCCACGCCAAAGAGCACGCCTTGCGCAGTGAGCACGTGCGCGTCCCTCTCCCACTCCCCGCGGAAGGAGATGCACTTGACTCCGACGTACACCTGCGCCGCCGTCGAGACGCCGAAGATGGCCGCCACCAAAAGGCCCTTCCGCACCTCCGCCGCCTCTTTGAGCGCGTGCGAGCGGAGGTGCTCCGCCTTGACCGCGTGGGTCGGCTGCGCAGCGCCGTTGCCGCCGCTCTCGGGTGGCACCACCTCGCAGACGCTGCCGCCGCCGCTTCCGTTCAGCAACAGGGGCGCCAAGCCATCGACCTCGGCTGGCGCCGCCGTCAAGTTTGGCGTGCCGCACCGAACGGCGGCAACGCCGAGAGTGGCGACCAGCAGCGTACGGAGGATGAGCAGGAGGAAGAGATCGAGTGTATCGTCACGAAAGTCACCAAGCTGAGCCCACGACCAGGCTGGCGGCGACTTGCTCCTGATGATGATGGACGGCGCCAGCCGTAGCAACAGCGTGCCCACGACATCCAGGACGAGAAGAGCGAGAAGCGCAGCGAGGAAGAGTCGGACGACACGGCCGCGCTTGCGTGTGAGGAGAAGCACGTCGAACTGTTCAGTGAAGCCCATCAGCCGCGCGCCTCGGAGCGACCAAGTCGCGAGGCAGGATATAACGCGAGCCAGTGGATCCCTAGAGTTTTTCACACGCGTATCTCGCATTTACTTGATATCCCGGCGCGTCCCGATAAACCGAAACTACGTACGAGTAGAGTTTGCAAATCACGGTCGCGGCCTTCCGCTTCCGACTCGCGCCTTCGCTTCACGGGCACTATTGTAAAAAATGGCCGGTGCGCGTGTGGAGTTGAGAAGTTCCGGAGTAAAAATTCGAACGCGTTCTCTCACGGTGACCAAAAATGTCCACCTCAGAGGCACCTCCGGAGGCAGGCCGCCGCACAGCTCCAGCTGTCGAACTGACCCGCAGCTCCTCTCAGAGCGGGAACTATGACGAAAGTTGATTGAGGCGGTTGTCAGGAATCATCATACGGATCGCATGGTGGCTCTCTCGCCGTCGGGGCTGCCCTCCTCCTCGGCGGCCAGCGGCGGCGCGTGGCGGAAGCGCTCGTTCCACGCCGTCGCGTTGGCATTGACCTTCAGCCGGAGCGCGTCCGGGAACATAAGGAGCGGCCAGCAGCCGGTGCGCGTGTAGACCCTCCTCATGATCTCGGGCTTCAGCGTGCCTTGTCTCGAGCTCTTGTCTACATGATGTATGATGTAGGCGAGGCATCGGTCGCGGTCGAGAATCCCACTGCTGCTCGTGCGGAAATTATAGCCGCGCGGTAGCTCGTAGACCGGGTGTCGCTTGAAGTACGCGTGCCACACCGCCTGATCGCTACCATCGACAGCGGCGTCGGCCGGCAATGAGCGCATCGCCTCGAGCATCTCAGCCGCCGCCTCTCGCGACGGCCGCAAAACCATCATTCCGCTGTTGATCCCGCCTTGCGGCTGCAGAGCGTCCGGAGAGTGGAAGACGGCGGCGGGCGCCTCTACAGAGGCAAGGTGGTCGACATTCCGGAGCACCTGGCAGTCGTTATCGAGGAAGATGACCTTGTCAAACTGCACGAGCATTCCGGAGCACCTGGCAGTCGTTATCGAGGAAGATGACCTTGTCAAACTGCACGAGGCTGACCACCTGTAGCTTCAAAGGTGCCCGCGAATATCTTGCGCGCCCAGGCCGGCGGCGCCAGCGGCGCGACGGGCAGCATCCGCGCTTTGAGCGCCTGAAGCCGCTCCTCAAACTCCGCGTAGCGCGTGGTGACGAGCGTGTGCACGGGCAGCGTGGTGGCCGTGAGGAGGAGCGAGTGGAGCAGGTCCACGAGCGAGCGGAACTGGTGCAGGTAGCGCCTAAAATCGCCGGGCATGTCTGGGTTCGGCGTGTAGCTGAGCACTGTCAGGATTGTCACGCGACCGCTGTCCGCGTTGGCGGGCCTCTCGATAATCGCTGAATCCAAGGTTCGCCCGCAGAGCGACGACGCTCGGCACTGGAGCGGAGCCCAGTCGGCCGCCGGTCGCTGGAAGCACCCCGACTCGGAACATGGGCACGCCGAAGCAGGGAATGCATCATTTCGCGGCATACATCGTGTTGCATAGTTGGATCGGTAGTTGGGGTCGCACGAACAGGCGATCTTCGTCGTCCCTAGCGTAGGACGGCCACAAACAGTCCGGGTCGCGTTGGCACCACACGAAAATATGCCGTGGCAGCCGGCACTAACCCACATTACGTCGGCGTGCCCAGGCACGCAACCGTAGTTCTGCGGCACGCCGTCAGCATGCCGTACGCGGCAAACCTGGGCAGCCGAGAGGTCGTTGCGCAGGCGCACCGCACACGTGTGGGCGATGCGTGTGCGGTGCGCCTTGTATGTGGGCGGCAAGTGGGCAAGACTGTACGAGCAGTTGTATGCTGGACGACCTGGCGGGTAGCCACAGTGTACCGTATTCGACGCACAGCGAAATTTGCCTCGGCAGTTTGCGACCCACATGCTGTCGCTTGCAGCGTCACACCCGAAGCTGCGTCCCAGCTGACATGGCGCGAAGCTTGTCTGCCTCACGAGCTCGCACTGGGCGTCGTGCGACGCCCTGCGTGGACGCGCGGCTCGGTGAAGGCCGTCGCGCCGTCGAAGGTCCGGCGGCGGTGGCGGAAGCGTACACTCGATACAGCCATGCGCATGTGGGGGGCCAGTTCCCGAGACGGGCATGCGCATGGGGGGGGTGCCGAGAAGGCTTCGAGTTGGACGTTCACGTTGGAGACATGTGTCTCCAAACTGTGCGACAAACTGTGGCGCCCGCCGCCGATACGATTGTTATTTTTTTTCAGGAATGGCCGCTGAGAGGGGCTGGCTCCTAGCCCGAGAGGAGAGCTTCCGAGACCCACTACAAGACCACGCACGCATCATCCCGCGGCCTGGCGGTCGGCGGGATTGCAATCAGTCTTCGCGTGCTGCCTGTCGTTCGCTCGGGCGCCTTGGGCGTCGGGGTGGGGAGCAGGGGACGCGGCTCTGAGCGCCCAGCGACGCGTGCCGGATGGAGTCCGGCCGCGGGTGACTAGGGAAGTTCGCTCAGGATGTGTGGCAGTCAGTTTGGCTGAGTGTCTTGTCTTGTGGTTCTGTGTGTCGCTCCTGTGTGACCGTCATCGCCCGTCCTGCGTCCACCCATACCGCGTTGGTGTCCCAGTCGTTGGTCGGACTGTGTTTCGCCTTCCCATCAATCAATCGGCCGCTGCGTGCTGCACGCCCTGCGAGCGGGGCGGGGTGCGCACTGTCCCTCTGTGTTCGTGTCAAAAATCTCAAGAAAATAATATTTCTCGTACATGGCGGCCTGGAGCGCGTCCTACTCCGACGGGTGCACCACCACATCATTCCTCCTCCGCCGCGGACTCGGGCTGCGCCTCCGGTTCCACGGGCTCCGCAGCTGCCCCAACCTCATCTTCCACCCCAGCCTCCTCCAGCTCTGCTGCTGTCTGCGCCTCTGGCTCCCCACTCTCCATCTCGGCCCCCGGCGGAGGCCCCTTCGCCACCGGCTGCGCCTCATCCCCGTCTACAGTAGGCTCTTCACCGTCTGCGGCCTCCGTTACCGTTGCTGTTGCCTCTTGTGCCCCCTCTACAGCCACCTCCACACCTGGCTCTGCCGAGGCTGGCGCCTCCGCTTCCTCTGCACCAGCCGCTTCGTCCTTCGCCATTACTAGCTGCCCTTCTCGCCCATCCTCCGCCTCCGCCTCCACCTCCGCCTCTGCCTCTGCCTTGCTCTCGGCCACAGCCTCTTTCTCCTCCGCCTCGTTCTCCTCCGCAGGCGTGACCGGCTCGACCCCAGCCGCCGTTTGCGTCGAGGGAAACATGGTCTCTGAGGACTGTTTGGCCACCGTGTGCGCTGCCAGGCGATCCCGCGCTTGTGCATTGTGCCGTGGGTTGTTCCTATAGTTGTCAACGACAGCTTAAGGGGGGGCGGCATGCCACGGCCTGGCAGTGAGCGGCCGTACCGCATAAGCCACTGAGCCAGGAGGGTCAATGGCTCGAGATGCTCTCCCTCCTCGGTTGCTTTGGTACATGCCTGCGGGAGCGGGAGAGGCCTGGAAGGGGGTGGGGGTGTGCGCAAGGGCAGACACCGCAGCGTCACCCGAAGCATCTCCTCCACGCCACACTCAAGGGAAGGAAGCAGCAACGTGCGCTCGAGGTACACACGCGCTGACTCGGCCAAGGGTGGCTGTAGGTCGGCCATCCTGCCAAGTGAAACGGCGCATCGCATGGTTTCTTCTTTCTTCCCACCACAAAACTCGAATCCGGCGAAGCCTCTGTGATTTTGTGTCTCAGATCGCAAACCCTGTCAGTCAGCAGTCCACCGTCAGGTACGTTCGTAAGAGCTACACAGTCAACATTCTTCTGAAGCTGACCCCCAAACTCGCCGCTTTCCTCCCGCTGTGATTCTGTGTGGGCTCTGTGTCTTGATTTGCCAACAATATACCTAAGACCCCCAAACCGTCCGTCCTGTTAGCATCTGTTATTGCATCCGTCATCAAATTTTAGATGGCGATCCCAGTAACAGGCCGAAGCCGTCACTGGCCGTCGGGGACGCACGCACGCAGTACTGCAGTAGTGCTCCAGCTCGTGTTCACCGCACAAAGCAGACAGTGTAACTATGGCAGGCTACAAGGAGATTGGGGATGGGCCCGCTGCCGGTTCCGGGGTGGGCGCCGAGCTTGTGCCAAACTCAAAGGGCTGGACGACAGCCGAGGCGCGTGCGCAATATCACACGCCTGCGGCATAGCCACGGGAGTTAGCCAGCTATGGTAGTATGCTAGCGACCGCTCGTAAGCTGGCCGATTGCCGAATTACGAAGGAGCGGCCGAGACTGGTAGTTGGGGGCAGAGCGTCCTGAGTTGTGCCGCCGCCGCGACCGTGCCGCAGGCTAAGAAGCAGGAGGCAGTGTGGGGGCGCAACGAGATCCCCGAGGAGAAGGAGCCGCTGTGGAGGATGTTTGCAATGCAGTTTGTCGGCACGATGCCTGCCATGGCGCGTGCCCCGCCCATACCACCGACAGGGCCGCCTCAACAGAAAACTGACCCCCGACGACCTGTGCGGGGCAGATTGAGATCGCTGGCCTCCTCGCCTTCCTGCTCAAGTCATACGTCGACTTTTGGATCATTCTCGCGCTGCTGATGACCAACGCTACGCTCGGTTTTATTGAGGAGATGAACGCGCAAGCCTCCATTTCTGCTCTCAAGGATGGCATGATTCGCAAGCTGCCGGTGAGCCTCCCCCTGCCACCTCGACCAAGCACCGAGAAGGCCAGAGCGATACTTGTACTTGTCCTGTGGCGTCGCAGGTCAAACGCGACGGAAACTTTACGCCGCTCGACATTGCTGAGTTGGTGCCTGGCGATGTCGTCTTCTTGCGCGGCGGGAACGTGGTGCCGGCCGACTGCAAGTGGTTGGAAGGTGTCCACGCCTGTCTCTCTCGGGACACTGCCAGGAGGTATCTCGTTCTGAGTCTTTCTATCCCGGGATAGGCGACGAGCTGGAGGTCGACCAGGCGGCGCTGACCGGCGAGTCGCTGCCGGTGCAGGTGCCGCGTGAGGACTCCGACGGCGAGCCCGGCTCGGGCAAGAAGCTGTGGTCAGGGTCGGTGCTGAAGACTGGCGAGGCGGAGTGCTTTGTGACGGAGACAGGTGTCCACACGATGATTGGCGAGGCCGCCAAGGCGATCCAGGAGTCGGGCGGCAAGCATGTTGGTGTCTTCGAGGGCAAGATTATCCTTGCCGGCCGCGTGCTCATCGTGCTGACGCTGATCGCCGTCGGCTCGCTGCTCGTGTACCAGGTTGGCATCCGCGGTGTGCCGCTCGAGGAGGTGCTCGAGATGTCGCTCTCGCTCGTCATCGCGTCGGTGCCCATCGCGCTGCCCATGGTGATGAAGGTCACCCTCGCTGTCGGCGCCAAGGAGATGGCCAAGGAGGGTGGCATCGTCACCCACCTGACCGCGCTTGAGGAGATCGCCTCCAATCGCGTGTTGCCGTCCTCCCATCCCTCCCTTGGCGTGTCTGTTTTGTTTCTTTCTTTTCTTTGTTGACCTGCTGTCAAGCTCCTGCGTCCTGCACCCCGGACCATGCCATCCTGCTGTCCTCTCTTCCCGGCGAACCGGCATGGTTTTTTTTTTCTGACGTGACTTGAGTGAGTGCTCGGGGCGTCACCATTCCAGCGGGGATGATCTCGCCCACTGGCAGCCTCTTGCAGCCAAGTGGCCAGCTGGGGCAATCTGTGTTCGGGCCAGTCGTTCCGCCCGCCTCGCCCAAGAAGCTCGCCTGGCTGGCCGCTCATCACTGGAGCCACGCCGACGACCTCAAGCGGTGCATGCGCGGAGAGTCATCGGAGGACGAGGGCGGCGAGAGCCCACGCAAGCGCAGCAAGCATGGAAAACGCAAGAAGCAGAGGGACAAGAAGAAGGACAAGGAGGACAAGGAGGACTCCCCCAAGTCTGTCATTCCCGCAGTGACGCCGCAGCTGTCTCCGCGCCTCGCAAACTGCCGCACCCTCCCCGGCTGCTACCGCTCCGCGGGGCTGCCCGAGGCGACCTGCAACGGCGCGCCGCTCATGCCAGGCCTCAACCTGTCGCCGCGGAGGGGCGGAAAACTGCCCGTCGCATCTCCGTCTCGAGCGGGGCTGGTGACGACTGGAAGGTACCCGCCACAGTTCCGCCTCGACTCGGGCTGGCCGTGAGAGCCCTGGCGCGCACTCGGGCGTGAGATGCCTGCCGCCCGGCGGCGAGAGCCCGATGCGGGGTCAAGTAGGGCCCTAGCTGGCGGCGTGGGAGGACGACGACGGATGTGCAATACGTTCGCGGGAGAGGCGGATGACCGATGGTCGCTGTTGGTGGGGTGGTCTCGAGTGGGGTGGTGTTCAGAGGGTCGCCCATGGGGCACGGTGTTCGTTAGACGGCCCGACTGAGGATTGTGCAAAAACGCGAACGGGTTGGCAGATCGTTGCATGTTTTGGGCAGGTTTTGGGGTTCGTGGACGTGGTTCACCACTCTGGAGAGAGCCACGCTGGCGCCGAACCTGACCTGTCGGACCTTAAAAGAGCGCAGTCTAGCGCCTGTGGCCGAAAGGTTTTGTTCTTTTCACAGCATCGACCTGCTGCTCCACGAGACGTTCGGCGGCGGCTTCTCGCCCACCGGCACCGCCGTTCTCAAGCTGCGCCGCCTCGCGCGCAAAGTTGCGCGCGGCAGCGTTGACCGCACGGCCTACTCGCCCAAGTACTCGCTCTCTTTTATGTCCCACCATGCAGAGCGCATCTCTCTCTCTGTTGTGCGAGGCGTGAACCGCGCCATTCGCTCTCACTCACCTGGCAACCCTGTCTGCACGTCTCGCGCGCGCGTGAACAGGGCTCCAGGCCCCAAATGACGTGTGAGTGTTAGAGTTGTTTGGTATTGAACCTCTCTTTAAGGTATTGCTAAAAATCTCTCTCTCAGCTTCGCGGCTCGAGGAGTCTCGAGCTTCAGCTGGGCGAATCATCCAGAGACTCTAAATGGCTCCAGACCGCGAAACACACACGTCGAGCCACCGCGAAGCCATGGCAATGCACCGGCTCGCTCACTTCTCCGCCGATCGCTCTCCGATGACCCCTACCGACCGCATTGCCTCCGCGGCACAGCGGCTTGCGCACGACTCCGCTGCAGTCGACACGCTCGAGGCCTCCTTCACGAAGCTGCTCAAGGAGCCACACCGCGAGCGTTTCCGCAAGGTCAACTTGAGGAGCCCTGCGATGCAGCGCGTCGCGGCAGTCGGCGGTGCGATGGAGATCCTGCACGCGACTGGCTGGGAGCACGCTCCGCACGGCCACCTCCTACTCAACACGTTGGAGCCTCGGCTGATTGAGGCGGCGACCGCGGCTTTGCAAAAGGTTCAGGCGAGCCATCCGGGCTACCTTCGGGATCGCGAAGGCCGCAGAGCGGGCGCTGCGCGCGCCCGCGAGAGCGCGGAGGCCGCAGCGGCCGACCTGGCTCGCCGCCAGCACTTTGCCAGCATGCTTCCGGCGGAACCGGCTGAGGGCGCTGCGGGCGCGGCGGCCATCTGCGTACACCTGGGCGGCGAGAAGAAGGTTTGGCGGCGCTTCGACAGCAACATCGACACGCTGAAGGATCTCGTCCATTGGGTCTCCTCGCTCGAGGGCGCCCCTCCCTCCCCGCGGCTCGTGAATGTCACGCAGAGCCCGTCGCTGCCTCTCGACAAGGAGCGGCAGGCGGGCCTCTCGCTGCACCACCTGGACCTCTGGCCGTGCGGGCACGTGAAACTGGTGGAGTGCGCCTGATGGCGTTCCGATCCGATCGTCGCAGACAAAGAGTAGTAAGTGGTCTTTCCGCGTTATGTGGGCTGTGAGTTCTTGTGTCCCTCGAGGGTCGCGGCCCGCAGGCAGATTTGTATCCCGAGTCGGCCCGCCGAACCTGTAGGGCCTGAAGGCTTCGTGCACTGTGGTCTGTTCCACCAACTAGAATTTGCGGGCCAGAATCAGTTTAAGGGGGAGGGACGCACGGCGCAGGACCAGGAGGCAGGACGCCAATTTTAAGTGTACGGGGTGGCTCTCACGAACATATACAAGCTGGACTGTTGACAAGATTTTGCCTCCCGGACTTGATATGTACGTGACCGGGTTTTTCTTCTTCAGCCTGCACCCGAGGGTTTTACCAAGCTGCCAACCCTATTCACCCACTCCGGGCCCTGGGCTGGTTGGTTGGTCCCGCACTCTGCGCACTCCAGGCCTCCAGATGTTGGTTGGTTAACGGGCGGCCACGCCGTAACGGTCGTAACGGCGCCTTCCCCTGGCACCCCAGCGCGTCTAACAGGCCACTGTGACCCTCGTGACGCAATTTCAGGAGATGGACAGTGGTGAGAAGATGGATCTGGGAGCCTGAAGAGACGTGAAATAGCCCATTTTGACCCATTTTGATGTCCTCGTGTTGAATACGCGGAGCGAAGAAATTATTGACCCGTGGGCGACCCTGGCAGGACCCTGGCCGGCCCAGGAGGTTGGATGGCTGGTCCCGCACTTCGCGCACTCGGGCCCGGAAACAGTTGGTTGGCTGGTGGGGTCTTTTGCGCAGTGTGCGTGAATAGGGTTGTCTGTGCTTGTGCGTCTTGGGTCCGGAGTTGTGCGTTTATGTGAATAGGGTTGGCAGCTTGGTAAAACCCTTCGGTGCTGGGGCCTCCTCGGCTCGGCGCACTGTACCCCGAGGAAGGGCCGCCTCCACGGCCGCCTCCCCGCGCATGGAAATCGGCTCCGCGTACGGTCGCCTGTGGTCGATACAGCAGCTGTGTCCATTCGCCGACGCTGGCCTCAACGCGCTCGGCCTCCTCGGCGCCGCCGGCGCCGTCGACGCTCGACCAATCCTCTCGGACGGCGATTTCTACGTCCGTCTTCCGCTCTGCCTGCTCACCCTCTTCTACCCTACGCGCAACGCGCTCCTCCTGGCGCACGTGGTGAACCTGGCGGCCTTCTGTGCGTGGACGCCCTTCGTCTGGGACCATCAGTATTGGGGTGCCGCGACGGAGGCCACGTTTGTGCTCCTCTCCATGCGCAGCGAGAGCGACTTTGTGGGCGCCGCTCGCGCACAGACGGCCTCACTCTACCTGGTTGCAGCCTTCTGGAAGCTCACCACCTCGTTCCTCGACTACCGGACCAGCTGCGCGACCGTCCTCGTCGCAGAGGCGCTTACCCCTGTCCTTCTCGCAGCGCTCCGCTCGGCAGCCTCGCTCAGTCTCACCTACGCTACAGGCGCTCGTCGCGCTGCCCAAGCTGCTCCAGGCCGTTGCCTCCTCGGCCGCCGAAACCATCTTCGTCGCGGCGCCGGCTCTGACCTTGGTGATAGAGTTCGCCGTCGGCCCTCTCCTCGTGATGTCGCCGCGCCTCGGCTTCCCTCTCCTCTCGCCCCGCACCGCCGCACCCGCCCCTCCCCCCACGCGAGTCCGCTCGCACACAGGCGTGCTACTCGGCCTCTCCTTCCACCTCGTGGTCGCCACCCTCCCCCTCAACTACGCGTGCGGGTCTGCCTCCGCAGCCCGCCCTCACAGCCCCCCCCCCCCCCCCACTCCGGCCACACACACAGGTTCTCCGTCAACTGCATCGTCCGCTACGGCCTCTTCATGCCACACCACGTCGCCGCGGCTCTACGGGAGGCCGCGTCGCTGGGGACTTGGACGGCAGTGCACGCCGCCGCCGTCGGCATCGCCGTGATTGGGTGCCGCCACCGCCCTGCTCCGCCCTCCCCTCGCTCCTCTAGCCAACACGCTTCTCCTCCGCCGCCGCCCCGACCGTGCAAGCAGGTGCCGCCACCTTCACGGCGGCATCGACACGCACTTTGTCGCGTGCGTGTGGCTTGCGGTCGTGTACGTGCGCTCGATGCTGATGACTTTGGGGCGCGAGCGGCAGGGAGGCGGCGACGCAGGCAGCACCTGGCAGCAGGCGTGGGACATGATCGACAGCGCCTGGGTCTTTTGCAGCCGCCACATCATCGTCGTCTCCAAGGATGCGATGCTGTCCCAGGACCAGCGCCGCCGGCTCAAGGAGATCGAGGCGGAGGAGAAGGCCGCCCTCCAGCAGGAGACCGCCCTCCCATCCACCCTCCTGCCACCGACCGGTCCCACGCCCCACACCCCGCCTCCCGCGTCCCGGCAGGTCAAGGCTGGCTTCAGCGCGCGCCGTGTCGCCATGGGCGCCTCCGCGCCAACCTGGCTCGTCGCTGCGGTGACGGGACTGACGCTGCTGTGGGGCGTGGCGCCGGCCGTGCTCGGCCTGCAAAACATGTCTGCCCTCACAATGTACGGGAACGTCAAGCACTGGGGCGGGTCAAACCACCTTCTCGTCCCGACCGGCCTCCTCCACCGCGCCGACGGGGCGGCGGGCGGCCTCGGCTCGCGGCTCTCGCTCGCGCTCGGCAACGACACACTCGTCCGCGTCGAGTCGACCGACTCTCGCCTCCTCGCCAGCCTCTCGCCGGCCGACTCGACGGACCAGCTGCCTCCGCGCGCGAGGCGGCTGATGCGGGCCGCCGGCGCGTCTGGCCGCTACTTTGGTGCCTACTACAGCCGGATGTACCACGGAGAGGGGCGCGGCGTGTGGCCGATCGGGGGCAACAACGAGTCGCCCGCACCCTACGCGCTGACTGCGTACGAGCTCTCCCGCCTCCTTGCCATGGCGCGCGAGCACGGCGAGCCCTTCTCCGTCCGGCTGACTCTGCTGCCGTTCCGCGCGTCTGCGCCCTCCTCGCCCGCGCAGTGGCGCGACTTTGACGGCCGCCAAGTGATCTTCTCGGAGGAGCCGGGAGCGAACCGGCGCAGCTGCGCCACTGTCGACGGCTCCCCGTGCAACGCGGCCGAGCAGACGCTGGCGGACGCGCCCGCGCCGCCTCGCTGGCTGCGGCGATTGCTGATGCAGTACCCAGTCCCGCTCCTACCGGATTCGGAGGGCGAGATCCACTGCAGTGCGTGAGCGGGATGTGCTTTGGTGCTCTTGCTGTGGGTGTGGCGGTGTGTTCGTCGAGAGTGGGAGGTTGTCTCGATGTAAGCGGGGGTCTATTGCGACGTCTTGGCGTCGCCCGTGTCCGCGTTGTATTTTATTGTATTTCTTTCGCGCAGAAGCACCGAGGACCTGTGTCGACAGGGGCGGCTACCCAGGCGCCAGGGGCCCACAGCGCCGCGCCGCGGTCGCGGCTCTCGTCGGCGCGCAGGGGGCTGCTTTTATGTGGACATTTCAAATTGCGGTCGCGCTTTTGGGGAGGTTGTTGTGGTATGTATGTGGAACGGAGCACACGGTTCGGGAGCAGCCGGGAGAATTCTTTTTGACGCGCCAGTCTGCACCTGTGTCGAGCCTGTCTGCTGTGAAGTGTGATGAGTGATGAAGAGAGAGTCGAATTTCTGATTTTTAGTGTCGTGCGAGCGTGCGAGGGAGTTTTGTTGTAAAATTCTGATTTTTTCTCGCCAGTCCCGTGCCCGGGGTCGTGCACTTGGAGCGAGGGAGTTTTGTTGTGAAATTCTGATTTTTTCCCAGTCGACGGTTTCACCTCCCCACATGGCGGAGGAAGAGAGCGCGTGCTACTCATACAGCGGCCCGCGCGAGGAAGGAGCGGTCGTCAGCATATCGGTGGAGGTCGAGGGTGCAGAGGCTGCTGCAGAAGGGGAGGAGGGGGAGCCGTCGGTCACCACAAAGTCGCGGGAGCTGACGTTGCTGGGCGCCCGGTCAACGGAAGACTCTGCCGAGGTGTCAGGAATAGGGTAGATGCGTCGCCAATGGAGTTTTGCCCTCACTAGTCCCTGCGAACGTAGTTGGGCAGCGCGACCTACCCCAACGGCGACGCTTACGAGGGAGGGTTCCTCAAGGGCGACCGGCACCATCAGGGCAAATACACGTACAGTGGTGGTGCGCCCGATCCCGAGGGGGGAGAGGCGCGACCGCCACGTGCAGTCTACGAAGGCCTTTTCGAGCGCGGGGTCAAGTCGGGGGTCGGAGAAATGACCTATGCCGACTCGTCCAGGCGAGCAGCTCTGCGAAAGAGTCTTCTCATGCAGTCGCCACGATCCACAAATCCTTTGCTCATGCCCAGGTACCACGGAGAGTTCAAGGATGGCCTGCGCGGTGGGAGCGGCACTATGTACTATGCCAGCGGCGATACCTACTCCGGGCAGTGGAGCGGTGGCCTGAAGCAGGGGGAGGGCACATACGTCTATTCCTCGGGCGCGACCCTGACGGGCACCTGGCGGGGAGGTATGATTGAGGTGGGCAGCTTCACCGACATGCACGGCAGCACCTTCAAGGGGTCGTTCTCCGGCGCCACGACGGCGCCCGCGTACGGCGAGGGCACGCTGACGATGCCGAGCGGCAATGCCATCCCGGTGGCGCGTGAGGGCGAGTTTATGAGTCTGTGAGTGAGCGTAGCCGCTTGAAGCGTATTGCAATAGGATGTATTGCAATATTATCTTGGTCGCTCGGATGAAATCGGGGCCTTGGAGCACTTGAGGGAACGGGAGCGGGGAGCGCATCGCGATACGGAGAGGGCAGGGGGGCTGGGCAGGATTCGCCTAGGGATTCACCCGCATACGACAGTGCGCAGGTCTCCACGCAGATAGGGATTCCTCTCTCGTATGTGGCTATATGGTCCATTGCGCTTTGTGCACTGGCGACGCTGCTGCGATGGGAGACTGTAGCCCTTAGCTGCTGCACAGCACCTTTGTGCAGTGGCAATGTCCACTGACCCATGGGGCACCAGCCTTGTGGCTTGTGGTTGTGCCATGAGCGCTGTGGTCGGTGACGCTGCTGCATAATTATGTGCATGTGCATGTGACATGTGCATGTGCATGTGCATGTGCATGTGCATGCACAAGCACATGCACATGACATGTGCATGTGCATGTTCATGTTGTGCATGTGCATGGGGTGCTGTAGCCCTAGGTGCTGCGCCTGCACAGCACCTTGTGCAGTGGCAATGACTCCCGGCACTAGTGAGCTTGATGTCCTCAAAATGTCCACAGAGTAGGTACTGGTTGTGCTCAGGATGTGCTCTACATCAACAGGGGTGCCCCAACTGAGAGGCTGCATTTAAGGAATGAAACAGCTTTGCAACTGCTGCCCAAGTTTTATTGATGGGCTGCAACTTCCTGCCACCTTGGACACCTCGACAGCGACACCTTCAGACGCACAAAACACCTTGACAACACTCGACACCCGCTCGAAACCCTCTCGACACCCTCGACACCCTCGACACCACTCACCCCCTGGGCTAGGGCTCTCTAGCCCGTAACCCGATGCCAATCATCCGGCCCGCTGGGTGCGCTTCTTAGCTCCCCGGCCCTGGATGTGCGGTTAATGACTGCACTCCAAGTGCTCCAAGTACTCCTCGACCACCTCGACACGGACAAGCATGGTCTCAGCCTCGCGACAGGCCTCGACCGCGGCCTCGACACCTCTATCCCTCGAGCCTCGACAGCAGCTCGACACCCTCGCAAGGAGTGTCTAGAATAGGTTACTATTCATGATTAGTGCTCTGAATAGTGAGGTTGCAAAACTATTCAGACCTGAATAGAGGCACTCACAAGCTATTCAACTCATGACTAGAATGACCAGCTCTGACCCTCCATTCATGAATACTATTCAAGATGCATGCGCTCTCCCGGCGCCCTTCGGCACTCCGCTCTCGATCACTACGGCTAGTTGCTGCCAGCCTGCACCACGTAGCCCTCTCCATAGAAAATTTTCTTTTCACCGCTGTGCGCGTGCGTCGGAAAATTCTTTTCCCTTCTTGTGTCGACGGCTCTCGCTGCTCCTCTCTCCTTCCTCTCTCCTCTCGCTCGCCCGTCGAGCAACCAACCAACAGCGAGGACGCCGGCGCCTCGGACTGCCGATGTGGGTGCTCCTCGCCGTCGCGCCGCCTCGTGCGCCTCGCGGGCCCGCCACCATGAGCCTCGCCAAATCTCAGCCCTGCAATTATGCCCTGCCCTGCCCTGCCTGCCGCACTGTGCCCTGCCCGCACACTGCCGCATAACTGCCCTGCCCGATCCCCTACCTGCCCCGGGTGTGAAACCCACACTGCCCTGCCCGACCCAGCGCACACTTCCCGCCCCCTCTACTCAGTGGACACGAGGGGTCGGGCAGGGCAGTGTACCATGCGGAATCGACCCTATGCCTATCCAGTGCTCACTCAAGTGCTCAAGACTCAAGTCACAAGTGGACGCGACATTGGCCTAAGCACAATATTCTCGAATATCTCCGAGAATATAGATGGTCCCGCGCACTTTCGTATTCGAGAATATTCTCGAGAATATAGATGCCCCGGCGCGGCTTTTTCTCAAGAATCTATGAGTTTTCTTCAGCCCTTGACCTTGGTTGACCTCGAGTCTCAAGATATTCTTGAATATTCTCGCCGTTACATCGCGGCGTCTAGAACGGTCTTGACTAGAGCTTCTCGAAACAGCTCTTTTGCCCCCTCAAAAGTAGGTTTTGGGTCGATGCAGACGGAAATCTTTAAGTTTTGGACGTTCCTGAGCGGTTTGGGAGCACAAACCTCTACTTTAGAGCGATTTTTGGCGTCCGCTGACCTCTCGCGTGGTGAAAATATTCTCAATATTCGAGAATATTCTCGAGAATATAGATGGTCTGGCGAGAATATAAGCAAAAGAATATAGATAGTACTTGGCGAGAAAAACGTGCTTAGGCTAAACGCGACACTAGCTTGTAGTTTTAGGTTTGTAGTGATACGAGAATACGCACCGCCCCCACGCAATACCATTCTACTCGACGAGAATACGATAAAGGAACATCTGCCAATTCTTTTTGCTAAGATTCTTTTTGCTCGATTTCTTTCGCTTTTTGGGCGAGACACTTTGGCTCTCGCCGCCGTGCGTGTGTGGTTCCGTGCCAGCATCCGCAAACCGTGTGGTTCCGCGCGAGCATCCACTGCGTGGTCCACGCACGTCCGACGATGATGAATCCCGAAAGTAAACCCTCCCTCTCCTCCTCGCCCTCCGCGCCGCCTCGTCGCACACTCTTCCGTGGCGTTTTGCACGCTTGCGCCCTCTCCGAGCGACACGCCTCCCCTATGCCGCGCAGTGATGAAGGCGGCGACCGACATGATGTCCAAGATGTCGCCCGAGGAGATGAATCAAATGATGGAGGCGCCCGCAGTGCAGCATCGCCGCCTGCCGAAACGGCGCGCTCTCTCACCCTCCAGCCTGTCTGCGTGTGCAGATGACAAAGAAGATGGACCCGTCGATGATGGCGCAGGCGCAGGCGATGATGAACAACCCCGCGATGGCGGCGCAGGCGCAGCAGGCGATGCAGAACCTCTCCCCTCAAGAGCTCAAGTCGCGCATGGCCGGCGCGTCTGCGGCGATGGGAGGAGCGCCCGCCGCGCCAAAGCCGAAGTCTGCGGTGGAGCAGCTCAAGGGGTCTTCGATGGTGATCGACGAGGAGGTGCTCAGCCACGTCGAGCGCGCCGAGGCGCTCAAGCTCAAGGGCAACACGCACTTCAAGGCGGCCGAGTACGAGGCGGCGATCGGCGAGTACGAGCAAGGTCGCCTCGCCCGCCACCGCAGCCTCCCCGCATCCATGCCTCCCCGCATCCATGTCTCCCCGCATCCATGCCTCCCCGTATCCGCTGCCTCCCCGTTGGCATGCCTCCCTTCCTGCACGCCTCCCTGCCGTATGCCTTCCTCCCTCCCTCCCCCTCCCCCTCCCGGCTGCCCTCTGCGGGCGGGAGAGGGGGGCGAGCGAGCGTGCCCGCAGCCCCGTGCCGACTCCTGAGGGGCGTGTGTGTGCCGAGTGCTGAGGGGCGTGTGCTGCCGCTGCAGGCTGTGCCTTGGCGGAGGAGGCGATCCGCGAGCTGTCCGGCGTCGACGAGAAGGCGCGGCCGCACCGGCCCGCCGCACGCGATCGGGCGCCTCCGCGCTGTTTCAGAGGCCTGGCCAGGGGCACCTGCAGGGGGGTACCACCACCCCACTCATGCTCACACGTCTTGCGAGAATGGGGGCGGCTAGGTGCGAGGGGGGGGGGGGGGCTGCTTGAAGAGGACCCGCATCTTACCGTGACGCCTCCTCCCACCGCGCCGGCAGGCAGTCATCGAGCTGCTACACGCCTGCCACCTCAACACCGCCTCGTGCCGCCTCAAGCTGCGGCAGTGGGGCGAGGCGGTCGAGGCGGCGAACACGGTCCTGCGCGACGGGCCGCACCGCAAGGCCCTCTTCCGGCGCGGGCAGGCGTACCAGCAGCTCGCCCGCCTCGACGAGGCTCGCACCGACCTCAAGAAGGCGCCGCGCCGCCGCCCCGCGCCCGTCCCGCGCCACCGCCCGGGCCCGACGGCCGGAGCCATGAGGACGGCTCAAGCCCTCCCGGCACGCATGCCTGCAGGCGGCCGCCATGGACCGGTCCGACGCGACGGTCGCCGCCGCGCTCGCCGAGGTCGAAAAGGCTCTCGGCGTCGAGCCGTCGCCGCCGCCGGCCGCGCCGCCCGCCGCCGCCGCCGCCGCGCGGCCTCCGCCCGGTGGAGTGCCGACGAAGCCCGACGGCTCTCCCGACTACGCGCAGATGGAGGCGACGGGCCGTCGCCGGGGTGTGCGGCGGCTCTGCCCCCCCGACCGACCGACTTGCGCCGCGCCCCGCCTCAGGCAATGATCGACAACATCTCGCCTGAGCAGATGAAGCAGCAGGCGGGCGGCCTCGGGAGAGATGGGGAGAGATGGGGAGAGATGAAGCAGCAGGCGGGCGGGCGGGGAGAGATGGGGAGAGATGGGGAGAGATGAAGCAGCGGGCGGGCGTGCTGCGAGATATGGCTGCCTCTCTTTGCTGCCCCTCGCGCGCCCAGGGACAGCCGAGGGACAGCCGAGATGTGACACGCCACAGAGGTGGAGATGCCGCCAGAGTTGAAGCAGCGCGCGGCCGCTGTCGGCCCCCCCGCACGCACCCCCCTCCCCCGCCCCTCCCCCCCCCCACCTCCCCCCCCCCCTCCCCCCCCCGGCCCAGGCGGAGATGATGCAAAACATGGACCCCGCGCAGCTGGCCGCCATGAACCCGCAGTTTGCGGGCATGGACCCGGCGCAGGCGAGGGAGCCCTCCCTTCTCTCCGGCCGGAGCCACTCTCCCCCCTTCGGCGCGGCCGAAGCGCCGCCTCGACCCCTCTCCCCTTCCGCCACCTCGCCCGCAGATCAAGGCGATGTCGTCGATGATGGCCAACATGGACCCCGCGACGATGAAGCAGATGACTAAGATGGCGTCGCAGATGGGGGCGACCGGAGGCATGCCGGGCATGCCTGGCGCACCGGCCGCGCCAGCCGGCGGCGGCGGGGCCAGCGGCGGCGCGGCTGGCGGCGCGGGCCCGTCTGCTGCCCCGGCGCTGCCCGGGATGGCCGGGATGGCAGGTGGGGCGCCGGGGCTCGGCGACGGAGTCGACATGATGGTGCGCGCGCGGGCGGGCGGGGGCGGCAGGAGGCGGCCTTGGACCTCACCCCCGCCCGGCCGCCCTCCCCCTCCTCCTCGCAGGCGAACATGAGCCCGGAGATGATGCAGGCGGGGATGGACATGGTCGCGAACATGGACCCGGCGGCCCTCGCAGACATGGCCAAAATGATGGGCATGGATCCCGGACAGGCGCCCCCCGGGGTTTTCCAGGGCCCCGCCCAACCGGAAGCCGGCTTCCCCCCACCCCACTTCCCCCACCCACCCGGCTTCGGAAGCCACCCCCCCCCCCCCCCCCCTCCCCTCTCGCCCAGCCAGAAGCGCCGCCACGCGTCGCCGTACCGCCTTCCCTGCCGCGCCGCCCACCCTCCCTGCAGGCGTCAAAGCTGCAGGACACGATGGCAAACATGTCCAAGGAGGACCTTGCCAAGTGGACCGGCCGCGCGCAGACGGTCGCCCGCTGGACGGCCAAGCCGCTCGCCCTCTACCGGAAGGTCTCCTCCCTCGTGCCGCCAACCTACCTGCTCGCCGGCTTGGTCGCTCTCTTCGCGCTAATGGTGCCCTCACCAAGCACCGGGCCCGCCCCCCCCTCCACCGCAACCACAACCACAACCACCTCACCCCCCCCCCGCCTCCCCCCGCCTCCCTCCTCCAGGTGTACGGCCACCAAACCGACTCCTTCTGACGCGCCCGCCTCGTTGCCGCCGCGCCCCTCTCTCCGCGGACTGCCCAACACGCGCTGCTGCCCACGTGTATCTCTCTGTCTCTCTTCGTCTCTTGCCTCCTACGCGCCTGCCTCGCCTCTTGCCCCGCGCGCACGCGGGCGCAATGCCACTTGCACGCTCTACCGCTTGTGTGTCCATGGCACACACGGTCGCTGCGCGCGGCGGTTCGCAAACCGCCAGTGCGCCGCCGCGCGCAGCTCGGTCGCGGCGGCCCTTGTGAGGGGCTGAGGGCTGTGCAGCCCTCACAAGGTGTGTGCGCGAGAGGCCACACACCGCGGCGACCTCCACACGATGCGCCGCAATCCCACACACGCCTCGCGCGCGCGCCCGACTATATGGGTTAATATCCGTGAGCTCGCGACCCGCATGATTTTTCCCGCGCCGCTCCAAAGACAGCCGTACATGGTACAGTGTTGGCACACCATCAAACGCTGGGCTACCTCTTTCTATTGACGCCCTTGCGCTTGGCCTTCCGGCTGACACCCGCTGCGTTCTGCTTATGCTGCCGCCGCTTCACCTTTCGTTTCACCTTTGCGAGTCCTCGCCGAACCTTCTTCTGCGAGTCTCCTCCTGTTCGAGAGCCCATCGCAGCGTCGCCATCGCCATCGGTCATGGAGGTGCCTGCAAGCGCGTCGACGACCTTGTCGAGCGCCGAAGCCGTCTTGGCCCGTGTGACTTGCTTCTTGGACTTCAACTTCACCATCTGCTGTCGCCTCTACTGGCTGTCACCACGGTCGCTGCAGACCTGTTTTGTTGCCCGAGGAGCGTGCTGTGCAGTATCTGTGCGTGGGCGTCCTCGCAGTCGCCCAGGCAAGAGCGTGGCTGTCAAAAGCAAGAAATCACGCGGTTCGTCCTCCCATCCCTCCCTTCCAAAATCCTGCTCGTGCAGGTGGGGACCCTGTCCTCGTCCCATCCCTCGTTTGGCGTGTCTGTTTTCTTTCTTTCTTTCTTTTCCCTTGGCTTGTCTGTTTTCTTTCTTTCTTTCTTTTCACGAACGAATGGTGGAGTCGCGTGCGCTCGGCTTTCTAGTGCCAGGCTGAGCGCGCAGCGCACGTACAGAGAGAGGAGAGGTACGAGCCATTACTCGAGAGAGGAGTGCGCGAGCGAGCAGGAGCCGAGTCCCGAGCGAGAGGGGTGGGTGGGGGCACGCAGCGTATTTTTCGGTCTCTTCTTTGGGAAAGAATTCTGACCCCGTGGTCATATGTACGGCCCTCTTCGCTCTTGTGGCGCAAATATAGCCGTCAGACCAAGGAAGGTCTCCCCAAATACGGCGGGGCGCCCTGCCCATGGCAAACAACCGGCCGGACCTTGCTCAGCACGACGCGCCGACCGACATCGGTGCTCGCAATGCCCGCCCACCCTGACGACGATGGCACTCGACGTTCCGCACCTTCTTCATGCTGGAAGCTGAGTTCGTGCGCAAGTTCCCAGGCAAAAGCCTGCCCTTCTTCCAGGAGCTCCGTGACAACTTCACCGCTGACGAGCCGCTCGTCAAAGTGGCGCTCGACTACGCTGACGTGGTGAAGGGCACCCACCGTCGGGCCGAAGCCCGTAAGGCACTCTCTCCCTAACCCTAGCCTTCTCCCGAACCCTAGTGTGTTTTGTTGCCTCCGTGCTTTCACACTCGTCTTGTCGTGTCCGTCCACTGTGATTGCGGCCGTCCACGACTACGTCGTCTCTAGAGAACGTATCAACCCCCTTCTGGTGCCGACCGCGCCCCCGCGGGGCACGGCCGGACGTGGTAGCGTCAACTGGTCACGACCAGCACTTTGGGGGAGTCCCTTCACGCTATCCCAGATATGGCCGGCGACTCGCTGGCGGGGAGCCTCGGGGAGGTCCCCGCCAAAGATGTCGCAGTCATCGCAAAAGCCGCTTCTGAAGAAGCCGCAAAGTGGCTCAAGCGCAACAACGTCGAGGCGGGCGCCGGCACGCTCGCCTATGCCGGCACCCTCCTCAAGATCAGCACCTCCAGCGACCAGAGGACGCGGACCGGCATATTCATCCTCATCGCATCAGGGGGCACCGTTTACATCGAACCCCTCTCAAGCAAGGTCATCGCGAGCGCCACCGACGCGCTGATCAAGCTGTACCTGCAGTCGGACACCCCGGAGCGTCGCACGAGCATGTCCGAGTACGTTGAGCTCTCTTTCGCCGACAAGATCAAGTTGCCCCAGCAGTTTGGAGGCCCCGCTACCACCGTCACCCGCACCCTGGTGGACGACACCGAGCTCAACCGTTTCGTCTCCGTCTCGCACGTGGACAAGCGCGCCCTCGCTGCCATCAACAACGCCGTCTACCAGGTCCTCCTCGACAAGATCGTCGTCGGCGAGCGGCCCCGCGAGGAGATCATGCGCCTCGTCGACGGGCTTCCTGGGCTTGCAACCGCAACCACCCTCCTCGTTGCCCTCTACTCCAAGGTCTCCGGTGCCGACCCCGACCTCCAGGAGCGGGCCTACGAGGAGCTCGCTCGGACGCCCCTCCTCGCCGGCGGCTTCGGGCGGGAGGCCGAGCAGGTCCTCGCCGAGTTCAAGCAGCTGTGGCACGCCGCTAGCCGTCGGACCGCTGAGACCATCCGACGGCCAATCCAGTCTCACTCGAACATCCCGCGCGCAGGGTTCCCGGATGGGAGCCGCTGGTCACTCTGACCCTGTCGTCACAACGCGGGAGCACTTGCACGCCCTTTGCGCAGCTCAGGAGCGTCGAACCGTCACGCGCCATCACGAGCGCCGGCACGTTCTGATCTCGGCCCCCGCCGCGATCATCGTCTTCGACACCGGTGCCACCGAACACATTCATCCCAACCAGGCCGACCTCATCAACACCAGGCCGAGCAACGTCACCTTCATCGGCCTCAGCGGGGAGGCAGCCGACGCCTCCGTCGTCGGCGACCTTCCCCTCGTGCTCACCGACGCCGCCGAGAGGGAGTTTCCATTCCTCCTCCGCGGCGTCCACGCCGCCGCGTCCACCTCCAGAGCGGCGACCGCTGGATGCGCCTCCCGCCGTCGTCAACTCACAACGGCAGAGGGATTCGCGTCTCCCCCCCCCCACCCCCGCACCTTGTGGACGGTCTACAGCCTCATCTGTCGTCAAGGAGTCCACCATGCCCCCCAAGAAGTCGCGCGGTAGCAGCACGCTGAGCACGAAGCAGAAGCAAGTCGCAAGCAAGCTGGAAGTGCTTGCCTCCCTCCCCACGAAGCACGGAGGCCTCTCGCTCCCATGGTATCACCTCACGGGCATCTACGGCGAGGGCTCCTTCTTCGAGGACGTCGAAGGCGGCGACCTGCAGCTTGTCATCGTCCGTTCGGAGATTTCAGACGCGGCCGAGCACAACCGCGCCGCCCAGCGCTTCAAGATCTTCCTCGAGGCGGCCTGCCTTGGGTGGGACGAGAACAGGAGGCGATGGCGAGACAGCACGGGTCCAGCGCCTTGGCACGAGTTGACCTTCGAGAGGGAGAAGGCCGTCGAGGGCCGCCTGGTCGCCGATGCGGCCGTTTGGGCGCTGCGCGAGGTCGCCGCCGGCCGCATCCACACCGTGCAGGGCCCGCGCGCCCGCGAGCCCCAGTTCCGCTCGCCGCACTTCCTCTACGATCTGACCGCGGAGTCGCTGCGCGCCGCGTGGCTTCCGCTCGATGTGGAGGGGGTGTGCGCCGTCGTCCATTCGTGGGCGCGCAAGGTCAGCTGGAAGAAGCTCGACGAGAGGATGCTGCGCTGCTCGCCGCTGGGCGAGCACCTGCCGTCGCAAGCGCAGCTGTTCCACTGGCTGCTCACGCAGGCGGTGGGGCGGATGCCGGTGACGTACGCCGACGAGGCATACGTCGCACTCGCCACCGGCAGCGCGCCCGCCGCGCCCACCGGCAGCCCCGCTTCCGGGGCGCGCTTCGAGGCGGAGGCCGAGCGCAAGGCCCGGCTCGAGTCGATGGCACGCGAGAAGCCGCTCGCGCTGCTGTGGCGTCCCGACCAGCCGCAGCTCGCCGCCAACCTCGAGGCTGCCCTCGCCCGCAGCGCGGCGTCGGCGGCGCCGGGGCCGAGCGGGTCCGCGGCGGCGGGCCAAGCGGCGGCCGCGGCTGGGATGCCACGGCAGGCGGCGGTCGAGTGGGGTCGTGCGCTGTGGCACGAGCACGTGGCTTGCAGCTGGCTCGCCTTCCTTCGCGGCGCGACGCGCTGCCTGCTCACGCCCGAGCACGCGTGCCACGCCGCCTTCGCCGACGATGACACGTACCCCCTCTGGCGCTACACCAACGACGTGCTCCGGGCGCTTCCCGCCGAGATGCACCTCGTCGCGGCGTGCGCCGACAGCCCCGAGTGGGCAAACGTCAGCCAGACCTACGCCGAATGGCCGGCCGAGGCGACGCTCAGCCTCGCCGATGCGGCCCGCTCGCTCGCGCTCCATGCGCAGTGGGGGCCTAGCAAGGGCGCCGCGCCGCGCAAGGCGGCGGGCCTGCTCACGATGAGCGACCTCGGCTGGCGCTGGCGCGACGACAATAACATCTTCTCCCTCCGCGAGCCGCCGCCGCTCCTCCCGGAGCCGGAGGCGGACGTGCTGGTGCGGCTAGCGCGACCGGCGGACGGCGCGGCGACGGCCCTCCCTGAGGTGAAGGGGCGGCTCAAGAGAGCTCTCGCTCACGTCGATGCGTGCGTGGCGCTCTTTGACCACGCGCTCCACCTGCACCTGTATCGGTGGGAGTACGACTCCAAGAGCAAGTGCGACCTTTGCTTCTTCCTGGACCAGCGTGATCGAATCGGGCTCCCAAACTTGCCCGTTTGCGGTTCGCTCCTTCGCGGCGGCCACCGTCTCCATCTGGCCATGCCGCAGAAGCACCGCTTCGAGGACGACGGGCCGAGCGCGGCCGGACAGGTGCTGCTCGAAGGAAGTGCCGCTCAGCGGCAGGAGCTGCTCGCAGCCCTCCGTCAAATCGCGGCCGAACGGGGCGAGGGCGCGCTCGAGGGCATCGTCGGCGACGATCTGCGGATCGCGATGCCGCACTCATCGCAGCAGCTGGTCAACGAGTGCATGCTCGCCCTGCTCGCCCTGACCAAGTCTGCGCGCGTCTCCAAGCCGGCACAACTCGCGGCGGCGCTGCACCTGTGCAGGCTGCCGGCCAGCGAGGCAGAGGTTGCGGCGAGGCTCGACGCGCCGAAAGCCACACCGGCCCTGCTCGACGCGGGCTTGCGGCGCCGCCGCTGGCAGCAGCGGCGCTGCTTCTTCTTGGTCCGCCAGCACGGGCCGAGCAGCCATGTGCTCTGCCGCCTCCCGCGGGAGCTCTTCGAGCACGTGGTGAGCTTCGCGTGACAGACCATTTGGATTTGCGCGTCGAGGTCGATCGGACCGAACGAGAGTGGGCCATGAAACTGAATCAAATTGTCGATTGTGATTTGTGAGTATGTGACGAAGGGTGTGCCCTCTGAAGACTGAACAAGAATTGTTTCAAGCGGAGCACGACCGCGCGAGCACGCGTCCACATCCCTCTAATTAGTCTCGCTATTCCTTGGAGCCGAGTTGTGGACGGAGCGCTCGCTGCGGCCCTGGCGCTGTCCGGCAACGACTCGCTCCTCTCGATCGTGCAGATGCCGCGCGGCGTGCCGGTTGCGACCGTCGCGATCCACAACGCCGCCAACGCCGGCCTCCTCGCCGTCCGGACGCTCGGTACGGCTGAGCGGTCGGCCCTGCGCCGCCGGAGAGAGTTCTTTTTCGTTGTCATCACTCTCTTCTGGCCGACCCGACGCTGCGCCGCAAGATGGCGGCCTACATGGAGTCGCAGGAGGCGGAGGTGCTCGCACGGCAAGGCAGACAAGCTCGAGAAGGGCGGCTTCCGCGCCTTGCTGTGAGGCCACGAGGAGGGGAGCGGTGGGCAGCTCCGCTTGAGCTGGGGGCGCAGCGTGATCGAGAACTGGAGGATCACGCGGTCGTGAGGCGCATCGGCCGGGGTCGCGCCAACACTGTGCTCCGCCATTGGGTTCTCCTCACCCGTCGCCTCGTCCACGTTCATCCACGCGAGGAGAGAGCCCGCCTTGGGCGCCACCGAGAGCGGCGCGGCACCCGCGTAAGGGAAGTTGGTGTGGCCCGCCTCTTCCGGCGCGGCGTCCGTGAGATAGACGACGATGGTCATGTCGGCGGGAGTCCCGTCGGAGTAGCGGTCGACGTGGGCCGCGGAGGGAGAGGAGCCCGGAGAGTAACGGACGGCAGCCAGTGACTCGATGTGCGAGGTATCGACGTGCCAGAGCTTTGCGAGCCGGTCGAGGACCGGGGTTGAGGAGCTGATTTTGAGCTGGGCGCACGCCTTGCCCCTGTTCTTGTTGAGGACGCGCTGGTTCTCGCACGCGCCAAACTGGGTGGCGTCTGCGAGCCCCCTGAGGTAGGAGACCTGAACAAGCGAGTGGGAGTGGCGTTAACGTGGGCAGTGGAGCGGACCAGTAAAATTATTTTAAAAACAAAAATCTTCTGAAAGAAAGAAAACAGAAAAAATAGGAGGGATGGGAGGACGCTGGACGGCACGCAGCCACCACACAAGGATTTCACGGGAAGGAAGGATGGAAAGGTGTGTTGCTCCTAGCCTGTGACGCGCCCCGCCCTGGCTGGCGAGAGTGGCATGTGGTGTGACCGCGGGCTCCGGGGCACTCGAGGACCGGCATGTGAAGCGTGTTGCGTGTGATTCGTGTGTGAAGAGAGTAGAGAGTTTTGTCATTTGTGTTTTGTCATGTGTGCGAATGTGAAGTGGAGGGTGGAGCGAGCTCTGGAACCCACTGGAAGACACAACACACCGTAAACAAGCGAGTGACACAAACATCAGGCCGAACGTTACAGTGTGAAGGGCCTCAGCATACAGCCGCGAATGGGCCGCTACTATCTATCTATCCAAGGCCGAGACTTCGCCGCCAGGGCGAATCCCCGTGCCGCGAGGTAGGCTGGTCTCGAGTGGCTTGTCGCTTGTGGCCTCCCAGTGCGCGATGACGCAGGGCCGCTTCTCAGACATCCAGCCGAGGTCGATGCCAACGCAGTTGGCCTCATGTTGTTGCAGCAGGAAGAGGAAGAAGGGTCCAACACGAGACGCCCCTGAGACCACTCGAGGGACCATAGCCCTAGGGGGGCAGGGCGCCACCCTCAAAGAGCCACTTGCGCGCCGCCTCGTCCGGCACCATCTTATCGGCCCAGTCCTTGATGACCGCCTGGATCTCGGGCGACATGCCGTCCTCGGCAGCCTTGCCCTGCGCGCCCTTGCGCACCATCCCGCCCGGGAGGATGAATGGGAAGGGCATCAGCGTGCCAACCTCGAACTTGGCCTGGTTCTCCTTCATCCACGCGAAGCTCGTGTACTCGAGGATCTTCGGCCACTGCTCCTCCGTGGGCTTGAAGCCCAGGTGCTTCGCGATCTTGCGCACGCTCCCCTCGTGGTCCGCCTTCATCTCGGAGAAGTGCAGGAAGAGCACGTTGGGCTTGTTGCGGAGCGGCCACCAGCCGTTGACGAAGCCGAAGAAGAGCATCGTCAGCAGCCCACCCGGCGGCACGATCTCCGGCGGCATGTTTGGGAAGCCGGGCAGCACGCACTCGTCGAAGAAGGCCTGGAACGTCGGCTTCAGGAACTTCTCGCGCATCTCCGGCTCGCCCCAGTACTCGAACGCCTTTGGGTTGTGCGCCTCGATGAACGGCTTGAAGGAGACGATCGCCTCCTCCGGGTTGCGCATCACCACGATGTACTTCAGGTCCTCACGGTAGGTGGCGAAGCACCCCATCTCGGGCAACGGCGTGCCCTCAGGTCCGGGCGATGAGTGCGTCTTGAAGGCGCGTGGCACGTCGGCGGGCATCTTCTTCCAGCGCTCGAGGAGCTCCTCGTCGGGCTGGTCCGGACCCTCCTTAAACTCGGACCACGGCACCTCGGCGTAGATGTCCTTAAAGTCCGGGTCGCCGCCCGTCTTCAGCTGGTGAAAAATGTTCATGGTCCAAGTCGTGCCGCTCTTGGCAGGCACGGCGATGATCGTGTCGCCCTGTCTGTACTCGACCTTCGTCTGGAGCGGCGGTTGGAACCAGTTCACCATGATGTCGTCACCGAGCCCGGGCCGAGAGAAGCTGTGCTCTGGCTGCCTCGCACGATGGAGCAGGGGCCGCCTCTTGATTGCCGGCGTCCCTTCTTTGCGGTCTCCGCGGCGGTCACGAAAGAAGAAAGTTGGGAAAAAACACACAGGTTCTCGAGTCTGGAAGTCACTTCACACTTGAATCATCGCAAACCCCGTCAGCAGTCCTCCTCCGGGAATGTACGTAAGAGCTACATACACTGAAAAAGAAATCTGACTTTCGGCGACAGCCACCACCAAGTTCTCTCCAGCTCTCTCCAGCTCTTGCGCGCTCGGCTCTGCTGAACCACAATGAGCCCTCTCGGCACCGCGCTCGTGCTCCTGCACTGGCCGCTCGCCGCCGCAGTGTGGGACTTGCGAGCGCTGGCTGTGCGGCCGGCGGCGCCGTCGGAGGCGCCAGTGCTGCTCTCGCGGCTGGTCCGTGAGCGAATGAACCCACTGTCCGTGGACCCAGAGCGCTTCCTCGTGGCGTGGGACGAGCCCAACGGCATTGCAGCCTTTGGTCAGATACGGCCGCTCGGCTCCGATGCCTCCGAGCTCGCATCTCTCGTCGTCGAGCCGCGGTACCGAGGGCTCGGCGTCGGCACTATGCTTGCTGCAAAGCTGCTGGCGCGCCACCGCAGCGGTGCCGATTCGAGCAAGCCGCTGTACCTTGTCACGCTGCAGCGAACGCAGCCCTTTTACGAGCGGCTCGGTTTTGCGCCCGTATCTTCGCCACCCACTGAGATGAGACTGGAGGTCGCGGCCGGCTCGGTGGTCGCGCGGCTTGCTGCAGGGCAGAACCTCGTCTGCATGTCGAGCTGTCAGCATGACCGCAAGAGTGATACGTGAGCTGTGAGCGAGACTCAGTCTCAGTCGTTGTCGGTCGGGGGGGGGGGGGGGCTACCACCGGTTACGACTGTTCATATGCGGTTGGAAAAGAATTATCGCCGCGGTCCGGTCCGAGGATACCGCGCAAGATCGCAGATCGGGCGCGTGATTGCGCGATTTTTTCTCTTTTTCGGCGGGCGCGCAAGTGCGCGCGTCTGGTAATGCGCGCCGGGGCCTCGAGTACGCATCTCCACGCAAGGCTGTGCAAAGCTGCATGGCGTCACTTTTGTCACTGGGAGTCCCATCTGCGAGCCGCTGCAGATCCCACTCAGCCCTCGACTTCTGCATTGCCGACAGCGCAGAACAGACACTGCAAGGCAGGCGCTGGACTGGTTGGGACGAGGTTGCACGAGCCATGAGCAGCTGCGTGTCCGATAACATCCTCTGCGGAGGTTCGGAGCGCACGGCAGTTTCGCAGACAGTCGCGGCCGCCATGGCGCCCACTCCTCCGAATCGCACAATGCCAGCCGTGGCGTTGATGATCAGCTACTCGGTGCTCACGAGATCAAGACCGGGCGTAGAAGAAGAGAGCCGGCGGGGCTATTCGTGCGGCGCGGCGCTGGCGTGGGTCGCCCTCCATCGCAACTTGTCGTTGCAGTCGCCGAGTCACCACTTTGAGATTGTTGTGATCCACGACGACACGCAGAGTGACGATGAAATTGCAGCGCTGCACGCCGTGGGCGCGCGGACGCATAGAGTTGGCAGGGGGCAGCGGCAAGCCCTGTGCCTCTCCCAGACAACTTCTGGGTCGGCGAGCATCCGCACACATGCCATCCCCAAGAGCGTTTGCAACAGCTCTGGTCCTAACCCCAGCGTGGAGTTCAATGACGCCAGCGTGGAGTTCAATGACGCCGCCATCGTCGCCGAGCTCTACCTGGTGGAGCCTTGGAGGTTCGCCGAGTACGACGTGGCGGTATTCTTCGACACCGACGTCTACATCAAGCCGGACGCTAGCCATTTCCGAAAGTTCGAGCTGGCCGTCTCCGAGTTTCTTGCCTCTGGCCTAGAGAATGTGTTTTTCCACGAGCCAATGTGCAAGACGCCTCGCGGCTATGTATGCACTCAAGGCGGGTTCTTCGTGCTCAGGCCGAGCCTCGAGGTCTACCTTCAGCTGATGGGCGGCCTCATCTATGGCTTTCGCGGGGCAGCTGAGGGCTGGGGCGGGTCTGGTAATGCATCGCTCAGCTTTGTGAACCGCACCATGCAGCTCGGCGCGACACCGCCGCCGCGCCGCGATTTTGGTCGCCACAATTTTGGTCGCCACAGCAGCGTCGCTCTCAGCAACGACGCCTTGCAATCCCCCTGGACCTTTTTTGGCGCCGAGACCGACCAGGGCATCCTGACTTGGCTCTTCTGGCACCAGAGAGCGCCTAGGTCTGGGCTCGCGCCGAAGCCAAGCTTCATCTACCATTTTAACTCTGGCTGCTGCAAACCGCAGCGCCTCTACGGCGCCATCGACGACTGGTGCCGCGAGGCGCGGGGTGCGCAGTACAACCTTGCACATCACCGTCGAGGCAGCAACAGTAGTAGCGATCCGGCGGTGCGCCTTGATCAGATGGCACGCAGAACAAGCATCGCACTCGCAGGCCTGACTGGGGCGCGGCGTGCTTGCGAGGCAGCTGGCCAAGCTGGCGCGGCTGAGGAGCTGAGCTGGTGCTCGCGCAATATGGCCAAGCGCCTAGAGTGTGCGACCAGAAGCGAGCAAGCTGAGAGCCGTCAGACAGGTCGCCCCCGAGGGCAGGAGGACGCCTCGGGCGTGCTTCAGAAGAGCGGGGACGGGTGGTCCGAATACTTCGCCGAGGTGTACGGGGGCGGGAGAGGAGCCGGCGTGGGGTCCGACCCCTCCTTCTTCCAGCGACTCGAGATGCTATACTGGCCGCTTGCCACGGACAAGCTCGAGCGGCCGCCTCCCTTCACTTGCTTCCCGCCCACTGAGGATGGGGTGGACCCGGCGGGCAGACCGTGCCTCCCGGCATCGGCGCAGCAGGCATTGTGCAGCGGCAATGGCGATCCGGCGGTGGCACTCACCGCTCTCGTCACATCCTTTAGCGCCACGGCATCACCAGAGAATGTCGGCAGGCAGGTTCTGGGGATGTTGATGCACCCATCGCGCGCCGCGCGCCGCAACCACAGCTGGGTCGAAGTGACGCGAGTGGCGGCCGACTGCCTCGGCCTCCGCTATCCCGATGGCACACCGTTTGCCGAGGGAGCTTCCCGCGGCTTTCCCGACGACATCGGAGAGGGCGTCCACCGAGGCGACTACGGCTTTGCACCGGAGGCGACCAACTCGAGCGCCGACCTTTTCCCATACGGTTGCTGGCTCTTCCCCGCTCGCGGCTCGGGTGTCTTTGTCAATGTCGGGCGCACCCTCGTGGTCAGCACGCGGCGCGACGCCCATACAGCGCTTGGCATCCCGTGCTCGCGAAGCAACTTTGGCTGCTACCACCCCGGCGACAAGCTGTACTGTACGCGAGCCATGGCGAGAGGGTACGACTCGATCCAGATCATGCGTGGTCGCGGGGGGCTGCGCCGGGCAGAGCTACTGCTGTGCACAGGCTGCACCGCAGAGCCCGTGCGAGGCGCGTGCCTGCCCGTCGAGACGCGGACGGGCACCCACGCCCAAGCTCCGTGCAAATGTGACCCGTCGAGACCGATCATCAACTGTGGCACGGCTGTGGCGCCACACTTTGACTGCTCGCAGGACTGCGCGGCTCTGCGCCATTGGACTCCCAGCTAAGCGGCCGGCAACAGCCCAAAACGACCGGGCAATCTCTCTACTTATCTCTCTCATATATTTTCACGGAAGAAGTCCCCCCCCGAGCAGGAGAGATTAGGCGGCATGAGCGCCCGCCACACCCCGCCACGCGTGTTGGCGAGAATGTGCTCTGCACACTGCAGAGACGACGAACGGGAACAAGCTGACCCGCAGGCCCAGTGCCTCGACGAGGTGACTTGTGCGTTGTGGCGACCACCAAGAATTCGGGCTGCAGGCTGGGGCCTGGGGGTGGGGGGCGGCCGGAGCTGGGGCAGTGCAGAAGCAACACGTATGTCGTATCACCTCGAGCGTATATCACACAGCCTGCGTGACACGCGGAGCAGTCGTCAATGAGGAATGAATGAGCTCGCCTGCGGCGAGGGCGGACGAGAGGAGTGCACGGAGCTAAGTGCCTCGCCGCGGCCCTCGCAGGAGAGAGGAGTCGCTTAGGCCCTGGTGTACCTCTGATATACGGCCTGAGATGTCTTTTTAACCTGTTTTAGTGTCAGTGCGCGCCCGTTGCCGACCCGAATTCTTTTTTGAAGCGGGGCGCGTGTTGCGCCGCCGCCCGATGATTAATACCCGGACGAGGGCACCCACGCCGGAGTCCCACGGGGCGACGTCGCCGACGTCCGCACGAGACGTTCTTTGTGAGCCTTGCGCGCTCGACTTGCGCGCGTAAAGCCGTAAACCTAACGCGTCTCATTTCCTGTTCTCGAATCTTGCTTGACCAGTGTCTAAGTGTCGAGATCAATCTGTCGCTTGCCCCGCATCTCGAGCAGGGTCAGCTTCGCCTCCATCGCGCGATTGGTTGACCCAATGTCCGTGCATTACCAAGCATATGGTGCGAAAGCCTCAGGGTACCCTATGAGGTGGCTAAGTGAGGGTCTCTGGCCCACCCAAATAGTGCTCTTTAACTAACGGAGGCCTTTGGGGGCGACCCGGGGGCACCTCGGGGTCGCAGTAGCCCCTGACGGTCGAAACCGGACCCATCCCGGAGCTAAAATTCTTTTTAGCCTGGGGGGCGAACTGGGCGACGGCTGGGCGACGATAGCCTGGCGACACGATAGCCGGCTCCCGGCGCTTTCTCTGCAGGAAGAACGCCTCGCAATGCTGCGCTCTTCGCGGACGCTTGTCCGGGGCGGGGCCGTGGTGCTCGGCGGCTTGGGCTGGCGGCAAACTATGTGCGCGCCCGAGCCGGCTGAAGCCACGCCTTCGAAGACTCCGGAGACCAGCTTCTATCAGAAGTTGATGGCCTCTGCCGGCCTTGCAGCGTGGGTTGCCGCGACGTTTACGGACGCACCCCATGCCAATGATATCTCGAAATCCATGGTCCGCACGCCGAAAGACTATGGCATGGCGTACGAGGAGGTGTCTTTCCCGGCGACCGACGGCTGCCAGATCGCCGCGTGGTACATTCCCGCAAAGGAAAAGGGGTCGAAGAAGGTCGCAGTCGTCTCGCACCAGTCATGGTGACCGCCTCCCGCGCCTGCGCACCGTGCCCTAGGCTGCTCGCATCGCGCGCTATACCGCCTCACCGTTGTGGTGCTCCCTGCCGACCAGGTCATACGCGAACAAGTCGGGCATGGTCGAACTCCGCATGCCAGTGCTGCCCGGGCTACCCGGCACGATGAAGCAAGAGGCAATCGACTATGTCAAGCTGCACAAGGTGCTGCACGATGACGGGTTTCATGTGCTCGCCTTCGACATGCGCAACCACGGCGACTCGGAGCGCCGCCTGCCTTCTGGCTGGGGGGTCGTCGAGTACATGGACGCCGCCGGCGCCCTGGACTACGTCAACGCGCATCCTGTGCTGAGTCGCTGCAAGGTGGCGCTCTTCCCATTCTGCGTGGCGGGGCAGGCGATGCTCAAGGCGAACGCACTGCACCCTGAAAAGTTCAAGAACGTCGTCGCCATGGTCGCGACAAACCTGTTCACGCTGAAGAATATGTACCTCGAGAACCCGGCCTTCCACACCTTCTTCATGAGCGGCGGCGGGAGCTTCCAGTACATCAACGAGGAGACATTGGACAGCGCGCTGCGCGCAAAGCACGCGCAGTACATCGCCGCAGGCACGATTCAGGAGGACCCGAACATCGACCTGTGCGTCAAGCAGTTGTGCGCGACGACGTACGCTTCGAAGGTCAAGGTCCCGGTCCTGTATTGCACCCCCCTTGAGGACTTCGTGCCCAACCAGCGCGTCGACGCACCCGAGATCCTCAAGTCATTCCCGAACTGCGAATTCCACGCCATCGGGACCAGCGCGCCCCCGCCCTTCAGGACCTCCACGAACAATCGGTCGCAGGGCTACAACTACTTCCAGAACGAGGGATCGGAGGTCATGCTCGACTTCCTCCACCGGAACGGGCTGTGACGACGGCCTCGCCTCTGCCTCTAGCACCGGCCTTTAAGCAGCTGGTGGGCCTGCGGCGGAGAGCAGCCGCGGCGCCTAGTGCGCCCTCCCACACCTTAGTGCGGCGCCTCAGCGCGGCCTTACGTGTAGTAAGTACCTTAGCTTAGTCAGAGCTGCGCTAGTGCGGCCTTAGTACCTCAGTCGAGCTGCGCCGTACCGACACAATCTTTAAGCCTCACCAGCGCACAGGCCAGCGTGGTATGTATCACCTAAACGACAAAAGGGCCTGAATCCACCAGTGAACGGGGGGGAGAGAGCTCCTCTCTTCTCCGCGCCCCCCCTCCCCCCCAAGGCGCGCGATACACACAGAAACAGGGGTTTCCGGTCGGCGGCGACGTCGTGGGTCGACCTCTCATAAAGCCGAAATCTCGGGTCCAATCTCTCGCGCGTCTTCTCGCGGCCAATCTCTGGTAGAGATCCCGTCGGCGGCGACGGTCGACCGAGTTGGAGAGCTCGAAAGCCGCGATCGAGCGGGCGGGGAGGAGGCCCTCCGCCAGCTGCAGCGAGGGCGGTGGCGGTGGCGATGATATCAGCCGAAATGCGATGCCACCTCCCGTTCGGGTAACAAGCATGTTGACACACCCGGGAGCTCGTGTCGCGTGCTCGGACGCCTGTCCGCATGCACGCGACCGCGAGTGTGACGACGGAGAAAAATCTGGAATTCTTTTTTCGAAGCCCGGCGGGAAACGGCCGAGAGAGAGGAGGCGCTCAGCACCCGCAACCCCGCCCCCTTTGCATGCCCGGCCGAACGAAGGCTGGCTCGGGGTCCCGGCGCGGGCACGCGTCAACGGCGGCTACTGCTGCGGCGCTCGTGCTGCCGAAAAGGATCGAGGCGGCGGCGGAGAAGGGCAAGGTCGACGTGGTGCAGACGTGGCTCAGCGGGGCTGGGCGGGTTGACGCGACGTGCGTGCGTGGCGGTGTGAGCGGCTGTACGCTCCTGCTGATCGCCGCCGAACACGGTCACAAAGAGATTATCGAACTGCTGCTGAAGCGCGGCGCGGAGGCGGACGCGCGCGATGGCGAAGACCATACGGCGCTGATGGCCGCCGCCCGCTGGGGCTACGAGCAGGTGGCCGAGATGCTGCTGCGGCACGGCGTAGAGATCAACCTGCAGAACAGCGCAGGCAGCACCGCGCTGATGATGGCCGCCGCCAACGGCCACGAGCAGGTGGCCGAGATGCTGATTCAGCACGGCGCGGAGATCAACCTTCAAGCTGGCGACGACAGTACGGCGCTGATGGCCGCCGCCGCCAAGGGCGACGAGCGCGTGGTCGACGCACTGCTGCGGCACGGGGCGGAGATCGACCTTCAAGACAGTTGCAACGGCCACACTGCGCTCACGGGCGCCGCCTGCATCGGCCATCCCACCGTCGTGCTTCGCCTGCTGCGCGCGGGCGCGGACATGACACTGCGCACTGCGGCGGGCAAGACGGCGCTACAGATCGCCAAGGAGGAGGGCCACACCGAGTGCGGCGAGGCCGTCAGGACGTATCTCGGCGAGGTGGCGGGCCGGAGCACGGCGCCGGCGGCCGAGGCGGGCGGCGCAGGGGCGAGCGGCGCACCCGCAGGCGAGGCGGCGGCGGGCGCCAGTGCCGCGGCCTCTGCTTCCAGCGGCGAGGGTGGAGCGGAGACCGCGCCGGGCAGCGGGGCGGTGCCAGAGGAGGTCGTGCTAGCGGCTCGGCGAGGCGAAGAGGCGACGGTGCTGGCGTGGCTCGACGGTGGCGGGCGGGTCGATGCGACGTTCGAGTATACCTTTGTTGACGGCTCTCGTGAGAGCGGCGTGACGCTGCTGATGGTCGCGATGGGCAATGGCCAAGCGGAGCTGGCTGAGGCGCTTCTGCGGCGCGGCGCAGATACCTCATTGCTGACCAGCGATGGCAGCTGCTATGCGCTGGGTCTCGCCGCTGTGAACGGCCACAAGAACCTGGTCGAGCTGGCAGTGCGGCTCGGCGCGGAGGTCGACCAGCAAAACAGCGAAGGCGACACCGCTCTGATGCTCGCCGCTGACAACGGCCATCCCGCCGTGGTGCTCCGCTTGCTGCGGGCGGGCGCTGACATGACGCTGCGCGACGTGGACGGTGAGACAGCGCTGCAGATCGCCAAGGAGAAGGGCCACGCCGAGTGCGTGCGCGCCTTCGAGGAGCATGCGGCGGCCAAGGCGGCGGCCGAGAAGGCGGCGAAGGAGGCGGCGAGGGCTGCGGGGGCGGCGGAGAGGGCGGCGCAGAGGGCGGAGGAGGAGAAGGAGGCGGCGCGGCACGCCGACGAGCTGCTGGCGGAGGTCGAGGCGGAGAAGCGCGCCAAGGGCAAGAAGGGCAAGAAGAAGAAGAAGAAGGAGGCGCCGGCAGAGGCAGCCGCAGCCAAGCCCGCGCCGTTGGACAGGGAGGGGCTGCTCCAGCTTCTCGCGGAGCTCCACGAGGACAGGATCCGTTTCGGCATCACGGCGGAGACGTCGGTCGAGGGATTGGCGGAGGCGCTGGGAGAGGCGGCGGGCGAGGCGAGCGAGGAGGAGGGCGAGGAGGAGGGCGAGGAGGCGGCAGCGGAGGCGGCAGCGGAGGCGCGCCGGCAGGCTGAGGCGGAGGCTGCGGCTGTGGCAGCGGCAGAAGAGGAGGAGGCTGCCGCAGCGGAGGAGGAGGCGGCCGAGGCGGCAGTAGCGGCGGCCGAGGCGGCAGCGGCGGCGGCAGAGGCGGCGCTCGCCGCAGCCAAGGCGAGGCGCGCGTCAGTTGCCGCTGCGAGGGCCAGGGCGCGGGAGGCGGCCTAGCCCGCGCGCAAGGACAGCTGGCGCAGTGGCAGCCATGGGGAAGGGTCTCTCGTACTGTGGGGTGCGTTCTCTTGTGAGCGATCGTGGCTGTGGGCTGGGCCCCTGGGCCCTGCGCCGCGCGGGCGCGCGTGCAGTCCCTCGAGGTCCCGCCGGGAGCTGCTCACACAGCCGTAGGGTGGGCGGTGGCGCGAGAAAGTCGCAACTCGCATAGAGTGCGAGTGCATCTCTCAGAGCGCAGAGTGTGGGTGTGGCTATGGCGACACGGTGCAGTGGGGAGTGCGATCTGGTCACTCAGGCAGAGGGAGGTGTGAAGACGCGAAGAGAAAGTGTGGTTTTTTTACCGGATGAACAAGACGCGGATACGAAGCGTTATGATCTTTTGATAAGGGGGTTAACGGGGTTAAGAGCTTAAGGCCAGTGCGCGCTATGAACAGAGAGTGAGTGTGCTGGGCGCTGGGAGTGAGAGGATGAGAAAGTGCCCGGGAACAGTGGTGATGCCTGCGATGTCCTCCGACCTCCCGGGACCGAGCCGCCGCACGCGCGTCCGCGACACGCCGCGAGAGAGCCGTAGAGAGCCGAGACGGCCGCGCGGATGCCCCCCCGATCGCCGATGCGCGCGCCGGCGTGCGCGCGAAAACGGGTAAAGTTTTTGGGCGCGTGCTGAGGTGCGCTCGACACGCTTACACTGTACCGTACTGCAATAATAACAGAGGGCGATAAACTCACGTCACATGACCGCTAGGCGGCGCCACTGCGCACTGACTGACACACTTCGACACGCACACTTCACGACGCGCGCGCGACAGAGCGCCGCCTCCGGCTCTCTGCGCGCGCCTCTCCTGCGGGCTCGCCTGCTAGCCCGAAGCAGCCTGGGCGTCGCCCTCGCTGAGCGCCGCCTCCAGGTCGCCGATGATGGTGCGCGCCGCCGCGGGGATGCGCGTGCCCGGCCCGAAGACGCTCTTCACTCCCGCCTCGTGCAGCAGGCCGTAGTCCTGCTGCGGGATGACGCCGCCGGCCACCACCATCGCCTCGCAGCCCTGCGCCGACAGCTCCTTGATGAGCGCCGGCAGGAGCGTGCGGTGGCCCGCCGCCTGCGACGAGACGCCGACCACGTGCACGTCTGCGTCGACCGCCTGCAGCGCAACCTCGGCGGGCGTCGCAAAGAGCGGGCCGACGTCGACGTCGAAGCCCAGGTCGGCAAAGGCGGAGGCGATGACGTTGGCGCCGCGGTCGTGCCCGTCCTGCCCCATCTTTGCCACCAGGATGCGTGGGCGACGCCCGTGCCGCGCCGCAAACTCCTCCGCCATCGCCACGGTCGCCTCGATCTCGCCGCCGTCGCTGCGGAAGTCGCCGAGATAGGCGCCCGAGCCGACGGTGTGCGAGGGCGTGTACCGCCCCCACTGCCGCTCGAGCGCGTCCGAGATCTCGCCCACCGTCGCGCGCGCCCGCGCCGCGTCGATTGCCAGCGCGAGGAGGTTGCCGTCGTACGTCGCGGCGGCGGCGGAGAGCGCCGCGAGCGCCTTTTGCAGCGTGGCCTCGTCGCGCTCGGCGCGCAGCCGCTTCAGCTTCGCCTCCTGCGCCGCGCGCACGTCGAGGTTGTCGATGACGCGCGGCTCGACGACGGGCTGCTCGCGGCCGGCCGCCGGCGCGTACTTGTTGATGCCGACGATGACGTCGTCGCCAGAGTCGATGCGCGCCTGCTTGCGGGTGGCGCAAACCTCGATCCGCTGCTTTGGCATGCCGGAGGCGACCGCCTTGGCCATGCCGCCGAGCGCCTCCACCTCCTCGATGATGGCGCGCGCCTCCTCGACGAGCCTGTCGGTGAGCGCCTTTGGCCCGCGGGCGGCGGGGTCAGGGGGTGGGGCGGGGGGTTGGGGCTGGGGCGGGGGTTGGGGCAGGGGCGGGGGTTGGGACCGGGGCGGGTTGGGGCAGGGGCGAGGGCAGCCGGCGGAGCGTGTGACGCGGGTCGAGTCGGAGGAGGAGGCGTGGGGAGGGCCGTGTCGCCTCCATCATGTAGGAAGTGTCTAGGAAGTGTCTAGGAAGTGTCTCCTCCATCATGTAGGAAGTGTCTAGGAAGTGTCTAGGAAGTGTCTCCTCCATCATGTAGGAAGTGTCTAGGAAGTGTCTAGGAAGTGTCTCCTCCATCATGTAGGAAGTGTCTAGGAAGTGTCTAGGAAGTGTCGCCTCCATCATGTAGGAAGTGTCTAGGAAGTGTCTCCTCCATCATGTAGGAAGTGTCTAGGAAGTGTCTAGGAAGTGTCTCCTCCATCATGTAGGAAGTGTCTAGGAAGTGTCTAGGAAGTGTCTCCTCCATCATGTAGGAAGTGTCTAGGAAGTGTCTAGGAAGTGTCGCCTCCATCATGTAGGAAGTGTCTAGGAAGTGTCTAGGAAGTGTCTCCTCCATCATGTAGGAAGTGTCTAGGAAGTGTCTCCTCCATCATGTAGGAAGTGTCTAGGAAGTGTCTAGGAAGTGTCTCCTCCATCATGTAGGAGCCGCCCCAAGGGTCGACCACGTGGGGAATGCCCGTCTCCTCGGCGAGGATGAGCTGCGTGTTGCGCGCGAGCGAGGCGGAGAAGTCGGTCGGCAGTCCGATGGCCTAATTAATTCGTTCATTCGTTAATTAGTTAGAAGTCCGTCGGCAGTCCGATGGCCTGCGGCGGAGAAGTCGGCGAGGGGTGGGGAGGAGGCGGCGAGAGGGTGGGGGGGCGGCGGCGAGAGGCGGGGGTGGCGGCGATCGCGGTGAGAGGCATCGCTCCGCATGGGGATGGCGCTGTGCGTGCGGGTCGCGGGTGTGCGGGTGTGCGGGTGTGCGGGTGTGCGGGTGTGCGGGTGTGCGGTGTGCGGTGGCCTCGTCAAACGAGTTTGTGTGCAGCGACTGCGTGCCGCCCATCACCGCGGCCATCGCCTCGACCGTGGTGCGGATCACGTTGTTGTACGGCTCCTGCGCAGTGAGCGACCAGCCGCTCGTCTGGCAGTGCGTGCGCAGCAGGAGTGACTTCTCCTTCTTGGGGTCGAAGTGCTGCTTCATCAGCTCCGCCCACAGCCGCCGCGCCGCCCGCAGCTTGGCAACCTCCATGTAAAAGTTCATCGAGATGCCCCAGAAAAAGGAGATGCGCGGCGCGATGTCGTCGACGCCGACGACGCCCGTCGCCTCGGCCGCACGCACGTACTCGAGCCCGTCCGCCTGCGCACCGGGCCGGCGGCGTGAGAGTGCTGCGGCTGGGGCGGGGCGCTGGTGGAGCACGCAAGCAGCGGGGCGCGCGCGACGCGGCTGCCCGACAGCGATGCCGCTGAGGCCGAGTCTTGCGTGGCCTCAGAGGCGAACATAGAGCTCGCAAAGTCCATCGTGGCGCGGATGGACGCGTCAGGTTAGCGGTAGCAAGGGGTGACACCACCTCCGAGCGTCGCACTTTTGGGCACTCATACGTGCTACTGTATTCAATGGGTTGCGAGAAAGTTGTTCACAAAGCGGCGCGACTGCCCGACTGGTTCGCGACTTTTTATCACCGTTCACCGATCTTCAAGTGAGCCTCCCCAGGGGACCATCGGTCTTCCTCTTCGGTGCCTGCAGAGCGAGGCACCGATTCGCGATTGGAAAAGCACAGTGCGCTGTGTGCCCCAACCCCCAACACAATCGGGTGTTCCTGCGCGGCCCCTTTCCATTCCTAAGGGGGGGCTAGGGCCTAGGCCACGAGAACGCGGCGCGGACTAAACTTCGCGATTTTTTAATTTTATTTTCCAGATCACTGGCTCCTAGCAACTTCTTCGCGACAAGACCGACGGGTCGAGAACAACTTCTCGTCAAGGAAGGCGCTCGTCAAGGCGCTCAAGAGCGCGATTGGCAAGTAAAGGCGTGTGGGTGGGACAAAGGCACGCGGACCTGCGGGGTAGATAGAACCCAGATGACCAAAAATGGTAAGTTTGCGTGAACAGACTCTCTGCCTTCTCGACTCACGTCGACTGTCTGAGAGAGAGAGATTTTTAGCCATACCAAACAACTCTAACACTCACACGTAATTTGGGGCCTGGAGCCCTGTTCACGCGCGCGCGAGACGTGCAGACAGGGTTGCCAGGTGAGAGCGAATGGCGCGGTTCACGCCTCGCACAACAGAGAGAGAGATGCGCTCTGCATGGTGGGACATAAAAGAGAGCGAGTACTTGGGCGAGTAGGCCGTGCGGTCAACGCTGCCGCGCGCGACTTTGCGCGCGAGGCGGCGCAGCTTGAGAACGGCGGTGGGCGAGAAGCCGCCGCCGAACGTCTCGTGGAGCAGCAGGTTGAAGTTGTTGCGCTTGACAAAGATCGCGTCGTGGTAGAAACCGCGATGCGCCTTGACGTAGCCGTGGCCGGTCTTGTGGGAGAAGGGTTGGCTGGGCTGCCCGCGCGCCTTGCAGCCCATGTTCAGGCGGCGGGCCTTCTCCTCGGTGTTGCCGAAGGCGTAGGAGTGGCCAACGGAGGCGGGCGTGCCGCCACTCGAGGCGTTGCCAACGCCCGGCGAGGAGGTCTTGAGGAGGGGCGTCCAGAGCTTGACTTCATTCACCTCATCGCATCCTCCCGGGCCAGCGTGGGGTTCTGCGAGGTCGACCTTGTACCCCTCATTGTACTGCCGGGTGAGCTCTGGTTTCTCCTTGTCACCGTGCACGACCGGCGCGTTGGCCGGGGCGCGCATCGCGTCCGCCCAGGCGGCGAGGACGCCGTCGTGGGGCCGCCGGTGGTGGGCCTTGTTGTAAAGGTAGTCGCCGAAGAAATCGACTGGCATGCCCCGCTCGAGCGCGACCCGTAGGGTGGGAAGCGCCGCGGAGAGCCAAAGGCCGAGCTTCCGCTGGAGCTCGTCCTGGAGGATGTCGGAGGAGAGGGCGGTGGCGTACGTACCGTCGACACGGACATCGAAGGCCTTGCCGGCGAAAGGCGTTGAGGCGGAGACGAGGCGCGCGGCTTCGCGGTTGTTGACGGCGCTGTCTCCGAGGGACGGGTTGTTCTTGACGTGCACATCCCGCGCCTTGACGAGCTCCTGGTGCGCGAACCAGTCCTTGTGATTCTTGATGGCAGCGAGCGCCCGCGGCCGCGGGTACGTGGATTTGCAAGTGCCATTGAGAATCGCGTCGGTAGCTGGAAGGGACTCGGGCTCGGGGAGCGGGACGCTCTTGGGGTAGAACTCAGTCAGGTAGCCGCCGCAGACGGTGTAGTACTTGTTTTTGTCGCGGGCGGTGCGCTTCTCGCACACCTCCTTCCAGTCCGAGAGGGCGGACTCGTAGGTGGCGATAGCTGCGGCGATGGCGGGGTACTTGGACGCACCTGCCTCGTCGAGGGCGAAGTCGGGGTTGTGGGCGACGAGGGTGCGCCAGTTCTTGAGGAGCGACATGGAGAAGTCGCTGTCGGCTCGCGAGAAGGCGGTGTCGATGTTGCACCCGCCCATCTCGGTCGGCAGCTGTGCCTGGAGCCACGCGAGGTCGCGGAGCGCCTGGGGCGAGGCGTCGGCGCGAGCAATGCTCTCAAAGGACTTGCGGATGCGGTTGTGCGCAAACTCGAGAGCCTCGCACGCGACATTGGGCGGCGTGATGCCGGCAATGTACTTGGTCTTTGCGCAGGCAATCCGTTGGACGAGGTTGAGGCGGAGCTGCGAGGTGTTCGTGACGCAGTCAGTGTCGACGATCGTGTCGATGGCGTCGAGCGGCGCAAGCTTCTTCCTGAGGTGCGCGGTGAGCTCCTTTTTGCAGGCCTCAGGGTCGCCAAAGAAGGTGCCGACGGCCTTGAAGCAGTCCACTCGCCCCGTGGGTTTGCCCTCCTTGTCGCGGTGCGCCGGCGAGCCCCGGAGCCAGCCCGGCGCGCACGAGAGGTCGCCCTCGGGCGAGTAGATGAGCGACTTACTGACGCCGTCGAAGACGCTCGCTCCCTTCTTCTGCGCCTCGAGGAGGCCCTTTGGTCCGGAAGATTTTTAGCAATACCAAACAACTGTCTGTGGACTGTGCTTGTTGCGTCTTGGGTCCCGGTTGTGTTTTTCTGTGAACAGACAGCCCTGGACCCCGTGTTGCGTGACTGTCTCTCTGTCTGCGATTTCGGGCCCGGGGTTGTGCGTTTATTTATGTGAACAGACAGCGTGAACAGTGGTCGCCATGGTGCCACGGCTGACAGCATCGGTGAAGAAGCGTCTGGACGCCTTCTTGACCGCGGCCGCTGCACGGCTCGGCGCACAAGCCTGCGCGCTCTCATCTTTGACAAATATGCCGAATCATTTGACGACGACGTCAGCGATCGGACTAAAGTTGCTGGTTTGTTTCTCTTACTAAGGGTAAAAGGTTGCTCCCGCCTCAGTGGGAGCAGGCGCACATCGCTTGCAGGGAGGGGGGCGCGGTTCCTTTAGTCCGATCGCTGACGTCGTCGTCAAATGATTCGGCATATTTGTCAAAGATGAGAGCGCGCAGGCTTGTGCGCCGAGCCGTGCAGCGGCCGCGGTCAAGAAGGCGTCCAGACGCTTCTTCACCGATGCTGTCAGCCGTGGCACCTTGGCGACCACTGTTCACGCTGTCTGTTCACATAAATAAACGCACAACCCCGGGCCCGAAATCGCAGACAGAGAGACAGTCACGCAACACGGGGTCCAGGGCTGTCTGTTCACAGAAAAACACAACCGGGACCCAAGACGCAACAAGCAAGCACAGAC